AATTTTGAACTGTCTATATTGATGCTAAATAGCTCAATAACTTTTTAATTTTCTAAGAACAACAAAATGAAATTTAATCTTTCAAAAAAGCACTACATATTTTACTAAAAGCTGACGTCGGCAACTTTTCCAAATCAGAATATGTAGTGTGCAAAACAAAAAAAGGACCATTCTGAATAACTCCGAATCTAATGATTTTCACTTACTAAAACTCAATCTTAATGGTTCGAATAGGGGTTCAAATATTCTAACTGCTTAAAGCAGACACAAAAACATTTTTTTTAAATAAACGTACCTTTTCGTTTTCGTCGAATTTGAAATTATGACTCTTATTGGTTCCAATAGTTTGATCAGGAGAGCAACTCCAATTATGAAATCCTTCATGTGAATTTTACTTCTTGCGTATTTCGCAACATCTTGGGAATTTTTAAAGCTAATCGAGAAAATTTTTCTCATAAATATAAAATTCATTTTTAAAACGAAATTTCCATGCAAAAAAATAATATTTAATAATTTATATTTTTCTAATTTTAAATAATGAAAGCCGTAAAAATTTGTAAGGTGTACAAATTTTTACATTATTTTAAGGAATGCAATTTTGCATATCAAAAAACGAAATTCAAACGCAATCAATTGAATAATTCCTAAGAATTGAATTTTAAACGTATAAGTTCTTTAAAAATTCAATTTCTCAAGAACTATACAATCGAATTCATCGAATTTTGTGTTTTGGTATATAAAATTATATTCCTTGAAATAAAAATTTATAAACCTAATGTATAACTTATTATAACTTATTATAACTTAATTATAACTTTTTCATTTATCAATAAATAAAATAATGAAAATTATTTCGCGATTATTAAAAGTTACATGGTGACATAGATGAACGCATTTCATAATTCTGTGCAAATTTGCTCTAAAAAGTGTTTTGATTCTAAAAATTTTTTGATTCACTCTTAAATATTCCCATAATGTTGCGAATTACGAGAAAATTAAAGTTCACATTAAGCGAACTAAACTTGGGACCACTCTCTTGATCCTATTGGGATCATAAATCCAAATTGCAGCTACCTCCTATATTTTGAGGGTCACAATTCCAAATTTATCGAAAAAGAAAGGTGCGGTTTATTTTTTTTTTAAAAAGAGAACGTTTTTATGCCTCGTTTCGAAACTGAAAATATTATCTGCTTTAATTCATGTTGGAATACGCAGATAATAAAATTAACATTTAGGGATCCGAATTTTTGACCTTTCTCCTAACCAAACTATTGGGACCATGTTTTTCAAACTGCGGCTATCCCCTATAATTTGAGGGTCAGAAATCCAAATCCGTCAAAGAAAAGGTACGTTTGCTCAGAGAAGAAGTGTTTTTTGAGTCTGAATTTGTAGTTTAAAATATAATCTGCACATATTAATTGACATATTTAAGGTCACCCCTTCGAACTACGAGTATTAAGATTGAGTCCCAAAACGTATAGATCTGATAATTAGATCAAAAGCTATTCATGTTTGCTCTTTTTGTGCACTGTACTTTCTAAACATTGCTCCAATACTTTCCCCAGTGTTTTTTTCATAAGCTGGATACCAGATGAAATTCCGCATAGGGTGTTTAGCTAAATATAGCAGCCAGGCTTTTTACGGCAACCAAACAGTGCTGCATGGGCAAGAGACTAAAAGATAAAAATATATCGTTAAGTAATACGCAAACAATAATTCTAATACTATTAGTGTATTTTTTAACTTTTTCTATTCCATAATTTTTCGTACTGCAATTTAAATTAGTTTTTCTTTACTAAAGAAGGAAGTCGTTTTTTTATGTAAGTTATTTAAAACTAACAAAAAAAAAAGCAAAATCAGTAATTATTAGAATTTTTATTTCTTTTATTTCTTAATTTTTAAAATTTTTTAATTTCCTACAGGAATAAATTTCTAAGAGCCAGTATAAATTTTAGGAGGCAGATTTTTGAGTTAAAAAAGCATGTTAAATTTTACTGATACGATATTTTGATGCTATATTTCAGGCTTATCGTATTCGCAATTCGTAGAGCTCAGTCTGAAGATGTGTAAATAGCATGTGTTAAGAATTTGATGCTGGGCATTTATTTAATTTTATAAAAACCACCAATAATTGTGCTCAATTTTTTAAAATTGTTTTTTTAATATTTATAAAAGTTTTCAGTGAACTGTTCAAGCATAGACCATAAACTATGCATGGATTTTAAATCAAAATATAACTTTTTTAAAAATATAATAAGTGGTCTTCATATAAAGGTTGAGCTATATACGAAGCTGTATATTAATGGACTTAATGTTAGTGGACTCAAAATTAAACTTATCGTTAAACAAAGGCATTTCGCTTTTGTTATTGAATTTAGAAAAAAATTACACTTCATTAAAAATTGCCGAAAAATTATTGTCACCAGAAGATACTGTTCATATGCAATGGCCTGCGTACATCCCAAACCTAAATCCCGTAGAGAATGCTTTGGATGTCTTTGGTAGACACTAGACACAAAGAAAGCGCCCTCCCCGAACCTTGCAAAATCTATTAACCGCCTTGAAAAAGGAGTGGTACAGTAACACCCAAGGACTTCTCGTTAGTTAAGTGAACATCTTGGATAACAGATGCAAAACGTGCATTAGACACTAATACACGTTTTGCATCTGTCATCCAAGTATCTGTATCTATTATCCTAGGTTATTTTGCATTTGTTATCCGAGATAATCACATTGATTAATTCTGGAATAAAGACCAATTATTCGTGGCTGTTTGAAAATCATCCAAAGAGCATCTTTTTTATTTTCTTATTTTTCGATATGGCGATATCTGTACTATCTTGCATGGCAATAATTGCACATTGTCTTTATTAAATATGCACTTAGTGCACATGTTTTATTAGCAATTGCCAAGCAGTGCAGTTACATTTAATGTATTACAATGCATGCTTTTAACTTATCGAATAAAAACTAAATGTGTTTTAATATTAATTGCTGAGACGCAGGCTAAAATAAACAATTCACAGAAATAATTTCCCAGATTTTTTTCCCCAACATTTTTAAAGGACAAAATAAAGCGCGTCGCGAAATAAAATTCAAACAAAATGATACCTTACCTTAATTGCAAATTGGAAAGTCTTTATGTATAGAAAAAGATGCACTATGAAAATGGCTGTCTGAACATATCTTTTAAACAACTTTTTTAATGACAATTTCCTTTTAACAGAGTTAGGACTTCAAAATGCAAAAATTTCAATTTCAAAATAAAATGCAGCTTTGTTGACTTTTCTTTTTGAAATTAGGAATCTGTAGAATTTTAATTACCATCATGTTTTTTGGAAAAATAATCCGTATCCATTAACTTTATTATTGAATCCATAAAAAATTGATGAATTTAATTTTTGCATTAAATTTTTGCCTTTTTCTCAACTTGCTGAAAAAAATCAACAAAGATTTAAAATTTTTAAATTGTCATTTAATATGTGCTGTATTTCATCATGTTCACAACAAGTACTTATATAATTATGCTATATGAAATATATTAATGCAGCGATTTATATAAAGATAAATATAATAGATAATTTATATAAAGATTTATACCTGGCCAAATTACTTTAATACTTAGGAAACCAACGGGAAAAAAATTGAACAATTTTACATTAAAATTTTTTGTAAATTTCAATTAAATAATTGATGATTTTTGAAATTTTTTTTTGATTTAAACAAATTTTTAAATCAACAAACCCTTATAAACATTAAACCTTTTTATATATAAGAAGTAGCATTTATTTTTATACTCAATATGACCGCTTTCAAGCAGGCTCTCTGATGCTTTAGTAATTTTGTTTCATTCTAGTACCAAATTTTCCCCTCAGCAACTTATAGTGCTCGTATGCTTTGGTTGATCATGCACGCCAATTTTCATTACATTCCGTACTCTTGAGGCTCTAAGCACTTCACGTCATTTTAGGCGCACCCTGCAATTTAGATTTAACCCTAGAAAGAGTGAAGGGGCCAATGTGGCCATTATTTAGTCTATGTAGATTATTTAAACCTTCGAAGTCTTAAAATATAATAATTTAATTAAAACCTATTGACTTGATTCGTGTAAATCTATGATATTCGATTTGGCAAATGGAAATTTATTCGATTTGGCAAATGGAAATTTTTGACTGAACGGAACACAGACTTTTCAATTATGCATTAGTTTCTAAGATAATAGAATATTCTTTTCCTTACAAATAACATAAATATATAAAAATACTCTTACTTTTCTTATAACACTTGGGGACCTTAAGTCTACCTTATACATAAACGTACCTGAGGTTACGGGATATCTACTCAAGGTATTTTTTGATAAATCGCTGCGTTAATATATTTCAAATAGCAATAGTAATTTATAAGTACTTGGTGTGTACATGGTGAATTACATCACATATTAAATGGCAATTTAAAACTTTTTAATCTTTGCTGATTTTTTTCAGCAAGTTGAGAAAAAGGCAAAAATTTAATGCAAAAATTTAATTTTTTAATTTTTTTTTGGGTTCAATAATAAAGTTAATGAATACGGGTTGTTTTTGCCAAAAACAGGATGGTAATTAAAATTCTACCGATTCCTAATTTAAAAAATAAGTCTTCAAAGCTACATTTTATTGTGAAATTGAAATTTTTGCATTCAGCAATTCAAAAAATAACTTACAGAAAGTCAGAAGTACTCAATACTTTCTGTAAGCTATTTTTTGAATTGCAATGCAACAATAAAAGAGAAAGATAAAAAAAGAGGGGTTAAATTGGTTCCATCCGTCTTTCTAGTATTAATGGGATTTGGACACATTTCTGTAAACCTTTGTGTGTGCAACAATGAAAAATATCTGAGTGAGGCTCCTTCATAAATGTCATTTTAGTCTTATAATCACTCACGTTTTACTATCATAATTCCATACGTCAAAACGTATGATTGCATTTTTAGTTCTATTTTGCAATCAAATTTTTCTTTGCAGGCTCAACCTATTGCACCTGAACTCGTTGCGAAACTTCTTGGCAACCGAGTGGCAGTGAGCCCAATTGTCACAGTCGAACCCAGAAGACGAAAATTCCACAAGCCTATAACGTTAACCATCCCCGTACCTCAAGCAGCTACTAAAGGCATGATTAACCAATACAGCGGAGATGCGCCTACGCTGAGGTTGTTGTGTAGTATAACAGGTAGTACCAAGTCAGGTTTGTCTCGCTTTCTATCTTCTTTTTCCCTTTTTCTCTTTTTTCTCCCTTCTAAACCCCCGGCCGATGAAGACAGTTGTGCCAAAAGGATTTCTACAAAGTTTTGGTATGATTTCACAATATTCTTACTTGTACAATCTTGTTTGGCATTAGCATCAATTAACCTGCCAACTATTAACAACCTTAATCTTATTTTATTTGGCATGACAAACACAAAACCTCAATGTAATTTTTTTTTCTCATCTAAACAATTAGTTTCCATGCATATTGAGAATAGTTAAGTTCACACATGAATAAAATTACCAGCCAAAAGATAACTTTTAGTCGTTAAGCTTTATACTGAATATAATTACAATAAAGATTTAGTATATTTCTTGAAGAAATATTGTATAGAATAGCCCCAATTAAATAGACATTAAATAGTAAGAGTTAATATAAATTTCTAAAATCAATTTTGTTGCCGCTCAAATTTCCATTGAAACTAGATAAGTTTGCAAGTGAATAAAAATGCCAGCTATAAAATAACTCTCACTTCATAATCCCGATAGTGATTAAGACAATAATAATTAAGATTTTATGTATTTCTTGAAGGGAAAAAATATGAAATAGCTACATTTAGATATTAATTAAAATTAATGTTAAAAAAGCTAATAAGTTGATAAACTTGGCCAAGGAAATTAAACTATTTTATTTAGGTAAAATTGAAATGAATTTGTTAATTAATTTACTTAATTTTTACAAAAGGCATCTTAAAAGAGAAATTGTTTTTATCGACAATATTTAGTTTGATTCACATGTGTAACATCTTACTTTTGCTTCAAAATTTACAAATTATAAAACATTTCGATTCATTATACCTCAGATTATACACTGAAATGTCATAGCAGGTTAATGATAATTAACCTTTAGCTTACGGCTGATACAACATGTGGACCACATGTGATGGTGCAAATGATACACCGTAAACAAAGGGTTATTGAGTTGGGTCTACGGCTCCTGAAACACATACCTTGATACGTTATTGATAAAGAAAAAAAAAGTGCGGAAAAAAACTAAATAAAATTTTTCTTAGGATGTAAAATTTTAAGAGAAAATTGGAGGTTTAGTACAAAGTAAATTCATAACAAAGTTTTTAAAGTAAATTATCTTATACTGTCTTAAAATTTTTTAAGTTTAATACTTGACTGGGGCACGTCAAGAAATCAACTCTAAGAGTTAAGCTTTATTAAAATGAATCTACATTAAGTTGGCAGGTTATTTTTGTCTTTTCTTCAGTTGTTTATTTTCTATGTATTTTACTTTTCTTATACTTTGCAACAATTTCTAATTTTTTAGTGATTATTCATTTATATGATTGATGATTACTTATGTTATTAGTAATTAGTTGTACAAGTGAAATTACATAATTTGCATTGTTTATACAATTTTGTCATATCAGGATAGAACCAAAGGACCTATAGAACGAAAAGTATATAGTAGGTTAAGGCATAAATACGGGCATTAAACCTAATCTGCTCTAAGGAATAATATTTACGTGTTTGAGAATTTACATTCGTTATTTTAAGGGTATAAATATTTGTAACATTATTTTCGCGTATTTAAATGATACAATGTTCTCTTTAAACTTTTAACAAGCAAAATTCTTAAAATTTTCTTGTTATAAATTTAATATATTATATTTTCAGTTAGGTTTATTTGATCAAAAAAATTCGCTAGTACTGAAAATTTTACGAAAACCGTGCTACTAGAAATAACAATTGAGTCTTTTGTATGGTGCACAATTGTTTGTTTAGCACATTAAAATCAGTCACTATGGTTTCCTAGACTCATATGTTGCACTGATTTTCAGCCGTGCACCATTCTAGTCGCTTTAAATTTCTCTTCCTATATTAACCTAAAAATTACGATATTTGTTTTTAATTTATGATAAAAAAACTCAAGAGCAAAAAACAGGTGTAAATTCGGAAGTATACGGCAAATTTTTAATCTCAAGTTACCGACATTTCGAACCGAAACTGACATTATTTTTTTTTGCATCAGTTATATTGACTGTCGTCTGTGACTTTCTTTCCTCTTTTGTTTAAAGCTAAAGCAGCTATTTAAATATATGCCTGCACTTGCCACGTGAGTATATTTCTGGCTAACTGGGTTTAACAATGTTCTTTAACCCTTTTAGTTAATTTAGGCATAAAAGTGTGCTTTATTTAGTTGTGCTAATTTCTGCTGTGCTATATTTGTGGCTTATAAGTGAAAAATATTTTTTTAACCAGATCAGTGCATCTTAACTCGACGTATCGCAGTTTTTAAATGATTTAAATGTTCATCTTAGGGATATTTTAAGAAATAATTAAACTTATATTAAAACATATTTAAAATTGTACCTCATAAAGTGATAGCAGTTCGTAATTGCTTTATTTTTTTACGTTTATTTCTTTTGTGATTTTTACTTTTAATGTTTTAACTTTTATTTCAAATTTTGTTTTTAAATTAGTTTGTTTTTCAAATTGAGGTTTAAATCTTAAATTGCTTGTACTATTTGTAACGTGTGAGCTAATGCTTAAAATACCTTTTGTCACAACTCTTTTCAATTGTTGCTAAACTTTATCAGCTTTACACTGTCTGCTTGCTTTTTTTGCTATGCATTCAATTTATTATCTGCAACTCTTCAAATGTGTATGGTTCTTGTCTATTAGCAAATAAATTGTTTCATTTAAACTCCCAAATAATTTTTTTAAAAATTTAATGATTTTTTGTTGATTATTACAATTAGTAAAATTATACGGAACTAACTTTAATAATATTTTTGTGTTTAGTGTAAAGACAATTAAAATTAAGTAGGACAATAACAGGGAACTTATTTTTAATAATGTTTTTGAATTCAGTGTTACGATATATTAAATATATTTGTGGTCAGTGTTAGGACTAGTAAAATCATGTGGTACAGTACCATGGTGGAGCTAATTTTTTTATATTTTAGTGTCGAAGTAAAATTAAATTATTCGGGAAGTCAACAAGAGAAGATTAAACATTATTTTACTGCGTTTTTATAACTTCAGTGGGCTATATATTTTATAGACATTTTAACCATGTTCTTCAAAGTTTTTCGAACTGAAATTTTTTTTTGTTGCTCAATTTAGATATTAACTAAGTATATGAAAATGATTGAAAGTTCTATTTGTTTTTATTTACAAAATTGTCTTTCGACAAAAGCAAAGCTTTGAGATAGAAAAAAGTACATAGTTAATTTGTACTCATTGAAAATATTGACGATATACGAAACTAATTTTTAATTCATATAAATGAATTAAATTAGTTTCGGATGACAGCTGGCTAACTTTTTGTTTTTCATACTTAGAACTAATATGATAACAGCAAATTTAAACAATGATACGAACAATTAGTAATTAAAGTAGTATAATAGGAGAGAATACAAAGAGCACAATAGTAGTAATTATGTTTATAAATTTGAAGTCTTTTTAGATTAAGTATCAGTCTTATTTTTTCTATCTAAATTATAAGTAAAAATAAACAATGCATTTTGTAACATAATTTAGCTACTTATACAGGGTGGTTAAAATAAACGCACAGTACTCTGAGGCTCATAGCTCCTGTTCTACTGGACGGATCCGAATGAAATTTAAAATATACGTTATGTGGAACATGCGCTCAAGGTTTTTGCAATAAAAAAAAGGTTGAAATTTTTGCCGAAAATTTCGCCGAACTTTTGTCGAACTTTGAAACTTTTGTCGAAAATTTCAACTTTTTATTTATTTCAGAAACCTCGAGCGCATGTTCTACATAACGTATATTTTAAATTTCATTCGGATCCGTCCAGTAGAACCGGAGCTATGAGCCTCAGAGTACTGTGCGTTTAATTTTAACCACCCTGTACATATTATATTACATTTTTAGCTACTTATAGCTTACAATAATAAAATTTGAATTATTTTATTTTTTCAAATAAAAACAAATTTTCATACATGCTCATTAGAATAAAAATACAGTTTGATCCAAAATCACAGATCTTATTATGCGTATATATTTACAATTTTTATCGGAAATTGAGTCTGAAAATAAACGCATTTGGGTTCGTTAATCATTAATCAAACGCTGAAAGAAACGTTATCAACGAATCATTAAGAAAGAAGGCTAAATTATAACCATCACAACCAGTTTGATTGATTTAAAAGTGTTTCCAATAATCGAATTATCTCTTCACGGTTTCCTGTTTGATAAAATATAGTGATGTTTTTGATCCACCTGTCTCAATAGTGAATAGTTAAGTCTTGTTAATGTTTTTTTTTTAAATAATTTAAGGCCCTTCATTTGCATACTTTTTACTTTACTTTGATAAGACTTATAAAATATTATAAGTTTGGTTTTTAAAGATCTCCAAAAGAATATAAAAGCTACAATTTAGGCGCTTAAAATTTAAAGCGAAACTGTAATTTTTGTCTGTACTTACTACTTTGCTATAATGAATTGTCTTAGCTGGAGAACGGATCAACAGCATAAATATTTAAAATATATACACAAATTATATAATTTTTTTAAAAACATCTCCAATTTGGCGCTTTTTTCTTGAAAGCTAAAGTGTGTTTTTTGAAGCTCTTTCGCAAAAGTAGAAGTCACAGTTTATCACGTTTGAAGCAAAGTTATAATTTTAAACTATATATACCATCAGTGCATAATGAATTAGCTGATGCTTAGAATGGGCAAAAAACTTAAATAATTTGAACTATGTTATAGATCCTTAAAAAAAATCTCTACTCGGGTAGAATTTTCCAACGTAAATGAAAATTATTAAAATTAATGAATAATTCTCTATTTTAGCAAACTTTCATGAACCCAGACAATGGCAGCGTTTGAGTAAGTTTCCATAAAATTGAAAAATTAAATCACAATTGCTTTTTATTTCAATACAAGTGAGCCTATTTTTTATACGGGCTTTTTGATCGATTAAACTTGGCCTAACAGTCACGAATAATTGAACTATGAAAATAGCATATTATTTTTTCTATAAAAAATCGTAATTTAATATGACGACGGAGCCTTCGAAAAAAAAACACCCTTAAGGACGTTGTTTATGAAACACCTTGTACAAACCTACAATGCATTAAAAAGTTGAAAAGGAACATTTGATGCTTTTAAGTAATATACGGTCTCCCGCTGCGGTCTATACTTAGTTATGCGTTCGATTATTTATAAGTAATACTAAAATAAATGTATAAAAAATATTGTATTTAGGCTTTGATTTGTTTCAGGAGGCTCTTCCAAAGCACAGTGGGAAGATGTAACTGGCTCCACTCCGTTGACATTTGTTAACGATTGTGTATCCTTCACAACAACTGTATCGGCAAGGTAGATAAATATTAAACGTTGCATGACATTATTTTGAAGTGCTTTGTTAAAAATGTTAAAAATACACAAATCTGAGGATTTAAGAATGTATTGTGGTTCTCTGTTAGCTTAAAACATTGTCTTCCCAAGTCAAAATTTTTGATGGTTTTCCATTAGTGGATCAACATTATCTTGATGGTAACCATCAATGATTCCATCATCAACCATTATTTTTTTTGATGATAAGCATCGTAAGGAGCCATCACCTTTATGTAGGAATTCGGACTGATTTATGATGGTCCAACAAAAGAATAGCTGGCCAGGTGGCCGGGCTGTCAGCGTGCCTGACTGTGAAGCCAATGGTTGCGGGTTCGAGTCCCGCTTTGGGTCTGGGTGTTTCTCTCTGTGTGTTGTTCTCTGTTGTGTGAATGTGGCCCACCCTATAAACGGATATTTGTGGCAGTGTGGCGTGGGTAATGTTGCTCGCCTCTGGGACTTAGGTTCATAGGTGCCCACTGGGTAACGATAAATAGGCAACACTTCCGTCATCTTCCGAGATGAATAACGAATGTTAAGTGCCTGCCGTAGAAAAACAACAACATAAGAATAGCAACTTGTTTTGATGGTTTGTTAATATAGGAATTCGAACTAATTTATGATGGTCCAACATAAAAAGTACTGAAATTGTTTTGATGGTATAATCCTGAGAACCAACAAGAATTCCCATTAAACCATCATGGTTTAAACCATCATGGATTATTGGTCCATGATAGTCAAACTTCTCTTGATGGTTAACCATCATAGTATTAAAGTAGCATTTTCCATCCTTCCATGTAGAAGTTTGTTGGCATATCAAAAATCATGAACACTTAGAAGCAAAATGTGGGATGACGGTGACCATCAAATGATGTTGGACCACCAGGTATTGCACTGAAACCAAAATAAACCATCAAACATTTTTGATAGGAGCATCAAGAATTTTGACTTGGGTTGTAAATAATTCGTTTTATACCCGTGGTGATTGCGACAGGTGCTAAGACTGTTTTTTGAACAGTTTCCTGAGACAGCACGGAGAACAAAATTCTGGTAAAAATAACGTACTGCTTGGTAATGATCTTTTTGGTGGTAAAAACCATAATTCTGGTTAACAAAATTAAATATACGGTATTTAAACTCTTCATTTGGTAAATTTTCCCGCCATACGGTAACTACCTATTACCACACCATTAGCAAAAAATTCACAACTGATAAGGAAATTTATTTGAATAAATGGTTTTTATGCCATTATGCTCTATTGAGATTAAATTACCAAATTTTACATTTGCTTAATTTCATCACATTATATAACCATATTTTGTTAATTTTACCAAAATCATTATCAAAGCGCTTCTCTAAAAACTACGGAGATTTTTGGTAATCAATTAGAAGCAAAAACGAGGTAAATTTTAACATTCTGATAGTTTTGTCCATACTTTTTTTCTCGGTATATATTTACGTTCTTAAATCAGCGTTTGAAAAATTATCTAAAATGCTACTAATAACAGAAATGGCTCAAGAGGACTCAATTAATTCCCCATAATAACTTGTTTATTCGTGTATTGCTTTTAGTTTTCTTTTAAAAGTGTTGCCATAAAATATAACAAGTGGTAGAACAGTCATCTGCTAGTCCCATTGCCATTTGAACATAAACTCATTAGTTTTTTAGAATAGGATATTTTGATAACGACTATGCAGTTTCTCCATTTTTACAAAAATATCCATTTTTTAAAGCAATGTATTCTACATTAATATTGCTAATAGATGTAACTTATGTGTTCCTGTTATTTTAGTATATGAAATATAGTAGTATAATAACTTTTTATACATTTTAATACTTTGCAATCGACACTTCTCTCTTCAATTAAACGTATTAAATTCAGTTCACCTTTAGAAAGAATTTAAATCTTTTTCATTAAACAATTTTATGAATTTTATTTCATTATTGTATTTACTGTGTGCAGACACTGAGCAATAACTTTATCATGACTATCTCACAATTTTATACCAATGAGATATTGTGATGCATATAAAACAAATTTTGTTGACATGCTTAGAGAGCGTTATTGACAGGCTATGAAAAACATAGCACTTACACATCGTTGATGACCTAGTACATCCTATATTGTGATGAATTTATCCCAATGTCGAGGCATGCTTTCAATAGCATAATGAGCCATGCCAATCCGCTGGTAAAGGAATAAAGAATTTGTTTGAGAACGTAATAAATGCGTCACTTCAATCTGATTGAGATACGGGGATTGTGGTCAACACAATGAACACTTGTTAAATACAACAATAAAGATCCTTCTGAGATCTTGATCCAAAATTATACGGTCTCATACTATTGGAAAATTCTATTCGTATGCCATGAATACGAACTATCGACATCTCGAACGAGTCCGTTCCAAAATTTAGGCTATATTAGCTGAAGTGTGTGTGAAGGAAATTAAGAGCACGGTCATAATAAAGAAAAGCTTTCAGGGAATTACTGTGCATATGTTTTGTGTTCCCTTTTTGTGTCAAGAAAAATTATAAACTAAAATGTTGATATATATTAATTATTTTTCTTCTTTCTAAGGTTCTGGCTGATGGATTGTCGACAAGTAAATGAAGTCACTCGATACGCTACTGAATTATATCAAGAAGCAGTTTATGTGCCTTTCATGTCCAAATTTGTGATTTTTGCCAAAAGATATGAACCCTACGAAGCTCAGTTGCGTGTGTTTTGCATGACAGACGATAAAGAAGACAAGACACTAGAGTGCCAAGAGCATTTCACTGAAGTAGCAAAGAGTAGAGATGTTGAGGTCAGTAGCCTCAGTCACTGATTACATCTAATGAAATAGTTACACACTTAATCATGTCAGGGTTACGATCTTACTAATTTGCTTGAAACAATGTAATTTTTTAGATCATTTCAATTTTTGCGACGTTTAATTTTTTGTCCCTGAAAAAATTTTATATTCTCCTTTGTTAAAAATTTTGAGGCATGTTGAACTATTGTAACCTTCAAATTTACTGCAATCCTTATATAACGTCGAGTTAAACCATGTTATCGAATTTCTAAAATTTAAATTATAATATGGTTTAACGTGAACAGAAACATGGTTCAATATAACACCTTATTAAGGTCGTACTCACCAAAGCTCCAAGTATGAGTTGCTGTAGTCCTGTCACGCAACGTGTGCGTTTAGGCTAATTTTAGTCTCTTTAATTATTTACTGTATTTTAATGTTCTACTAATTAATTTCCTTTTCAGAAAGCCTAGACAGACGTGCTTTAGTGGGTCTGTAAGGTTGTAAGATTCGGTATAAGATGCGCGAGACCTCACACATTGCTTCCGAATGGCGGTTGGTGGTTATAGTGTTCAGTGGGCTTGGATCCTTGGACAATCTGAAGTGCTTGGATTATTCTGTCACGTAGGCAGCAACGAACAGTTGCTAACCCACATTACTACTTACGATGAGCGAACACCCTATTAAGGTCGCTGTAAATTTGTTCAACATTATGGTTTAACGTTGAGCCAAATATTAGTGTAGGACAGGGAGTTGTGCTTTTGGTTGTCCTAAAATTAATTAAAAAATGGCTTTGTACTATTTTGTTATGTGTTTTAAATTCATAAGTTAAAACTAAAATTATAAGTTTAATCATAAGTTATTAAAATGTCTCATTAAATGATTTCCCACAAAATTTTTAGTTATTTTTTATAATTAATTTCCCTTCAATTAAAATCATTATTTTGTTTTATGCAGGTTTTAGAAGGAAAGCTCCAATATTTGGAGTTTGCTGGCAATTTAGCTCCAGTTACTAAATCAGGAGAGCAGCTGAAGTTAGATTTCCAAGCATTCCATGAGAATCGCTTACCTTTCACGATTAGAGTTAAAGATCCTCATATGGAGCCAATGGGTCGCATTGCTTTCATGAGGGAGCCTAAGACAGCTCGTGGCGACCCACCTCAAACTCCAATATGCAATTTGAATGTTGTTCTGCCAGAAGTGGCATCTGTAAGTACTGAATGTGATTAGTTATCTGGATTATTTAAATAGTATTTGTAGCTGGTGTGTTTTTATTTCTTACACATAAAGTGTTGTGAATGAAGTTTATAAACATATATATATACTTGTTTTTAGAGTGAATCGTCATCCCATGCCGTGGAGTTGGTCACACTTGAAAAGAAGTACGACTTTATGCAAGAATCAGGATTGAGTAAGAATTTTTTTTTCTTCTTACATTTCTAATTGAAGATTTATATATTCAATTCAATTAATAAAGCTAATTTTTATTATTTTTAATATAGTAAATTCAAATATAAACTAAATATTTTTGCAATTTTCTTAATATCATTGAATAGGAGTTTCATAGAAGTTCATTTTTATTACGTAAAATTCATAATTTTTATGCACGCATAGTTTAACTGAGACACTTTAATATTTATTTAATTTATATGTTGGATAAATGAAGCACTTGTACAAATTTAACAAGTAATCTAACTAAAAAGAAACAAAATATTTAAAAAGTTAAAACGTTTATTTTAAATATAATTTAAATAAGTGTGGAGTCAGAATGGTCGAGATATTCCCTTTATCCTTTATCCAATTTGATTTTTTTTAAATTTAACTCAAAACGTAGTTTAAAAAAAGTTATATATTACTTTTTTTTAACTTAAAAGGGGACTGTGAAAAGTCAAGCTTTCCAATCTCGCCGAAAGTTACAAAAAATGGAACCCCAAAATATTTTAATTCTTAAATACATATGTACTCTCACAATTTACTCACACAATTTAATATTTTTATGAAATTTTGAATATTTGAATGCGAAAATAAAATAGAAAGACTAATTATTTCCCGTCCAATGACATAATAACTTATTCAAATATGCGGAATACCCCTTTTTCCATTGTTGTATTGTTTCAGATTTAGTTTGGTACCATTCGATTTTGTTTCCCTTAAAACTTAAGTGTCCTTTGAGTTTAGCGCAGTATAACTGCTTCCAACTGGTATGTAACTACAACCGGTTTTGGGATATAGGGATTTGAGAGTAATATTAAGAACAATAGGTTTTTATATAACTAAATGACTTATTGCGATAAACGATTTCCTAAAATAATGTTTGTCACTCATATTCATCAATGTTTTTATGTTTTACTTTCTTTCATACAAAAAGTGGAAATTGTAAGAACTATAATAAAAGAAAATTGCGTAAATAGTGTTTAACATACGCATTTCGCATCAATAAATATCTCCTAAATATATCTTAGATCAACAACGTTCGTCATGAAACTTTATACTTATTTTTGATCACAATCACTCCATCTGAATAAATGAACAAGAATACAACTTTCAATAAAAGTTTCATTGCTTAGCTCTCCTCAATATTTTGCTCTAAAGGTTATATACAATGTGCGTAAAAAAAAAAAGAAAATAAAAAAATTTTGATCTAATGATCAGATCTCCATGTTCTAGAACTTAGCGCTTCGAGGGGGGTAGTCAAATAGGCTAATTAATTGGTGTCGATGATATTTTAAGTTACAAAATAAGATACAAAAAGTAATTTCTCTGAATAAATATACCAATTTTTTCCGACTGATTTTTAATTCTGACCACAAATTTATAAGAGATAGCCGCAAACTGGGATATATGGTCCCAGTTGGTCACGACAGCGGTTTGGACCCCTTAATGTTAATTTTACTTTTTACGAATTTCGCCATATCTCGAGACGTTTTTTAGTGCATTAAAAAAATTCGCTCGCAGTTACACAATTTATTTAACCAAAGATAATGATAATAAGCAAAATGAATTTTTCGCGAGTATTTACTATTTTATAATAGTCGAAAAAATTTTGAACTGAAAGGTGAACAATTTCTTACATCATTTTAAAGAATGCATTCTTACATGGCAAAATCGGTCTAATAGTTCTTGAGAGTTAATAATAGTTCTTGAATAGTTTCCTAAATTCGATTTCTCAGAACGGTCCAAAGTTTGGACTCCTTAATGCTAATTTTTCTTATTGCGTATATCACTGTGTCTCAAAAGATCTTGAAGCGAATTGAAATTTTTTGCGCGCAATTGTAAAATTCGTAATCCAAAAATAATTCCATGCAAAATAAAACTTTTAGTAAATATTTATTATTTTTTATTTTAAGTAATAATTATCGGAAAAGTTTTGAGTAGTAAAGTATAAAATTTTTTATATAATTTTAAAGAATTCAATTTTAAATGCCAAAATACAGATATTGAGCGAAATCATCCTAGTAATCCTTGAGAAATCGAATTTTAAGAATACGACCATTTACATTCGCTTAAAATGTTCTCGAGATATGGGGAAATACGCAAAAAGTAAAATTAACCTTAAGGGGCTCAAACTTTGGACCGTTCTCCTGAACAAACTTTCGGGACCATACATTCTAGCTTGCAGCTACCCCCCCCCCTCCTATTTCGATTGTCAAAAATTCAAATCCGTCAAAAGAAAATGTTTATTCAGCGAAAGTACATTTGTGTCTAATATCGTAAAATTAAATATCGTCTGCACTAATTAGTTAGTATATTTGAGTCACCCCCTTGGAGCATTCTAGTCCCAGAACGAAAAGATCCGATCAAAAGTTTTTTAGAGGGGTTTATTTATTTTATGTATTTACTTATTTTTTTGCTCACTGTACTTTATTCTGCTGAAGAATTGATGCTTTACATATAGTTTTGTATCTTATTTTCAGGCAAACCTGAAGTTATTCATAGGGCTGACCTTAGACTGTCAGACATCGCTCGCGAACTAGATAAAGATTGGGTGCCTTTAGCTCAACAACTGGAACTCTCAGACAGTGATGTGTCGCAAATTAAAGCGGTTGAAGAATGTGAGAACTCCGAGAAAGCTTTGATGATGCTCAGATTATGGTTACAAAAATCTGGATCAAGAGCTACAGGTACTAATTTTTTTTTTGATAGTAGAAAATTAATTTATTTCACATGAGCTATATAAACGAGATATATTTGTATATTATTTACTTTATTTAATAAAAAATTATGTTTATAGTTTATGTAGTTTATGGAGCATGGTAACCCCTTTCCTCTCGTTCCTGTCAAAATCACGGTTTAAGCTTTCATCTCCCATTTCTCGTGCCCTTGATACTTCCAGTCTAGAGCGTTCAAAAGTAATGCACCAAAAAGGTTCAAATATATCCATCTCTTGTGCCCGGAATTTTTTAATTTCTTATTTTAAGCACTAGATGGCTGCACCAGACTATTTTTAATGTAACTGGGAACTGCATCTAATGCTTTAAAGTTTATCATACAAGAAAAAATTACTAATGTTTATTAATATTATTTTTAAGTTTAATATTATTCTTGAGTTTAATAAAATTCTGTTTTAATGTTTTAAGCACAATTTTTTTTTAATTTTCTTGCTTACTGGAGGAAAAAAACATTCAACATCAATAACCCTGAATGTTGATTTCAACTAAGAAATTAAATTTTTTAAATTTCAAGCTACATGCTTTTTCTTATATAATTTCTTTGAATAAAGAAATATTTTTTTCATCGTTTTCTTGGAAATAATAAGTTTGTTAGCGATTAAAAAAATTTATGTTGATACTTATTTCATAATTTATAAAACACTAATGCAAACAGCTTTTTATTACTCATAAGAAGTGCTTACATTAATAACTTATATTATCACTTATATTAATAACTAGGAAACTCCACTCGCCAAACCTCATTATTGCTTGCCATCCTTTCTTGTTTTTTTGTGATAATTCGATTTTTTAAACAAGCAAAAAAGCAACATATTTTGAAAATATATATTTAATTATTACAATTGTCTTTAAGCACAAATTTGTTCATACGTTTTGTTAAGTCAGAAAAAAATTTAATTACCTGGATTTGAAAAACAATAAATTTTAAAAAAAATTACTTAAAAGAAACAGCAGAATATGCAACTTAAAATAAAACAAAAACGAAGCAAGGAAGCGAAAGATGTATAACTCATCATCATATCTGGCTAGACAGCCCAGAGTGGGCCAGTGCCTTCCTTTGAATTCGAATCCACTTCTCTCTACTTTTGACTCTTGTTCGCCAGTTTTTCTCCTTTAGAGTAAGGAAATCAGTCTCAACTAAATCCAGCCATCTCAGCCTGGGTCTACCTCTTTTCCTGTTCGTTAGGGGTTTGTGTAATAAGATTTTCTTTAAATTTGCGTCATCATTCCTTCTGAAAATGTGAGCAACCCAGTTCATTCGATTTATTTTTATGAATTTCACAATATCTGGCTCTCTGTAGATTTTATACAGTTCAGTATTATATCGTATGTATAACTATAAAACGATAAAACAATTCAAATTGGAAATTGTTTTTCTCTTTCTTGAATTAAGTTTCTTTATTTTTAAAAGCTTTAATATAACTGTTAAGATTTATATTTCTGATAATATCCACTGTATATTTTTTTTACTACAAGTTTATTTAGTACTGTTAATAATTCTCGAAACTAATTATGAAATATTCTTTTTATTCCCTTACATGTTACCGCACTTTTCTACGCACATTCGTTATTTAAACTTTAAGTCTTATATAGTTTTGTGTAGCAAAACAAATGCATACAAATGCATATATATAGCGGCTATTACTCAAAACAATGACAAAATGTAAACCTGAACGCACAAAACGGTGTCTCTTACGATTTTTTAATATAGAGAGGTTTTTATTTTTTAACATTTTTAGCCACAAATAAAGTCTAGAAGAAATGTTTGATGAAATTTCCTTTTAATATAAAATTTCATGAAATATTTAGTTATATTTTTTACCCACAAAAACATAAATTTTTAAAAACATCACAAGTAACATATGATACGGACCTTACTAGAGACAAAAAATTTAAAGAATTAGAAATATTTTAAAACATGTGCAGCGTAAAAATAATTTTTAATTATATGTATGAAAAAAGTTCTTTAGAAACGTATAGAAAGATATTCTTTTTATTAATTTTAGCTTAAGGAATCTTATATATAAACCCCTTAACTAGTTTTAATTCATCAATTTTTATACTATTAATTTTTTCTCATTGTGTTTTTTATCTTCGATATTTAAGGTTACGTTATCGGTTGTAGAAATAATATATAAAATTTAATTAGGAAAAATTGTAATCTGATTTCATTTTTCCTCAGCAGTTTTGTTTTAAAAATTGTCTAGAAATTTATAAATTTGTTCCGCGCTGAAATTCATAATAATAATAGTGTTTCAAATAAGTGTTTTATAATTCTATGAAATACGAATAGTTTATTTCTATGTAAGTACTAATATTTATATGAAGGATCATTGAATATTTTTTTTTGTATAATATTTAATATGTATGCTTCTGTATTAACGAAAAAAGTCCAAATCTTGTTTATATATTTGAAGTAAGAAATCTTATTAAGTTATTTTCACATGTCAGAAAAGTTAACAGAAAGCTGAATAAAGCAAAGTAATCACGTGTTTTCTCTTCGGAAGCATGTGACCTTTTTGCTTGCGTCGCCTACTGTATTACTTTCAATATTTACATTTCGCCTAAGTATTATATTTCAAGCATTGAAGAACAGAATCGAAACATACATTATTTTTGTTTTAATTGCAATCCTGCTTTTTGACATTCGTTTTAAAGAAGACACTTTGATTCCATATTATCATTGCTGCCATTAGTTACCTATGTTGAGAATAAAAATAATTTTAATATTTTTCTTCATCACCGTTGGAGCAATATGGAAATAATTTTTTTTTCTTACAGCAATATTCTTACAAAATAGAATATATTCAAAAATTAGTTCGTTGTAAGAGATTCTGAGAAAAATATGTATGTATACTTTGATTAAATGTTTCACTATAACCCTTCTAAATTGGATTTGAATCTCAAACTGAACCGCTCAGCTAAATGTTGGTTGTTTCCCTTTACGCTTGTGGTTTATTAGCACTTCGAAAACTTTTATTAAACTAACTGAACGTTTAAGTTTCAATGTGATTTTTTTATGGGATGATTTGTGATTTTTGGACTAATGGAATTGGTAAGTTAAATACGACTTTTTTCACTTTATTTTGGTAGTTTACTAACAGCATTGAACCGCTAAATAGAAGGCAACTTTTTAAAGTCCTATTATTTAATTTGTAAAACCTTTTTCAATTTGCATTTTTTTAAAGGGATTGTATATATAAAAATGTACTTGGATTTATCCTCGTTGTTTGTAGTAAAAGTTATAAAAAGGTGAAAAAATTTGAGTTTAACTAATTGAACAGTTTTATGTTAATGATTTTAAGTAAAAGATGTCTTTGAAATTCGATTTCTCAGAAACAATTCGACCGATTTCGTTCGAATTTTGCAATATAAAATTACATTCGTTAAAATAATGTAAAAATTTTTGAGCATTAGGATTAAAATTTTTTTCGACTTTTATTAAGTAAAATAATAAATTGTGGTTAAAAATTATTTTTTACTTAGAATAATTTTAGGCAAAACGAATTTTATAATTGTGTGCAAATTTTTTTTAATTGGCTTGAAAAGTTCTCGAGATACTCAGAAAGTAAAATTAACATTTAAAGATGCAAACTTCGGACCTTTCTTCTGAAAAAATTATTGGAATCACATTTTCCACATTGCGGCTACCCCTCCCCCTTCCAGAAATTGAAGGTCAAAAATTTGAATCCGATGGAGCGCAAAAGATGAGTTTTTGTGTCGAATTTCGTAATTTAAAATATCGTCAGCACAAATTTAGCATACCCCCCCTTGAACCATTAAGATTGTGTCCTATAACACAAGTTACTTAAGGTGGTTAATTGAATCACCTTTTTAAGAAAATATATTTGCTATGAACTGAAGTAAAAGAACTTCTAGGCTTCAAAGCTATCATCACTTTCTAATCGAAATAATTTTTCCTCATTTATTTAGGAAATGAGTTGGAAAAAGGATTAAGAAAAATTAACAGAGAAGATATTATTAAAAACTGTATGTTTAATGTGGAACTTGTTACGGACGATGTGGAAAAAGCAGTTGCCAAAGTTCATCTGGATCAGTCTGGTAAGATTATATTATGCATTATTAAAAATTAATGTTTCATTTAAATGCAAAAATACAATTGATAATTAAGTCCATAAAATTACATACAATTTAAATAACTGTTTTATTGAAATATTTGTGTTTCGTATTTAATTATAATTTTAATTTCTATTCCTCAATTCCATTAAATTTCGATTTTTCAATTCTATTTTATTCTTTAATTTCAATTTCTACAATTCTATTCTCTACTTTCTGTTCTTCAATTCTATTCTATTTTTCAATTTCTATTCTTTAATTTCATTCTATTTTTCAATTTCTATTCTTTAATTTTATTCTATTCTTTAATTTCTATTCTTAACATGTGTTTTAAATGCATCGTAAATGTACAACAAAATATGAAGAAGTAAAACAAGCGTTTATATTAAAAAAATTATAGAATATTTTAATTAAATTGAATTGAAAGTTTATTCAATGGTGATTTTTAAAATTGAAATGAAAAAAAAAGGAAAAACATTATTGAATTTCGAAAAGTCATAAAGGAAGAAATACAAAATAAATAAAAATTGTGGTTCTTGTTAAAAAAATAAAAATATACGGTATTTAAACGATTAATTCCGTTCTTATATTAACGGTAAACCGGAAATTCTGGTTTTCAAAATTATAGAACTTATTTTTTACTCATTTAGTAAAATATACAAATATAATCGATATTTTTTACTACCCTGTTAAAACTATTTTTATTCCGTCGGCCAAAGACTCTCCTTTTAGTAAATGGTAACTGGTGTACATTAAATTTGTATGATCACAAAGTCCTCTATGTTCCCATAACAAATCAATACCTCTGGGGGTACAGTATTGGAGATTGATTGTTCTCTGGTTTAGGTCAAAATTACGATCTGTGGATCAATGAATAAATGTATGAATTAGGTCCACCCTTTAAAACGGTCTGTGACGTGTGTGTTAAAGTTTTATTCTTAGCCATAGATTGCACCACTGTAAAAATAATTTGCTTGATTTCACCAAGTAGGCTTACTGGTATCTAGCAAGTGACGCTAGAAACAACAACTTTTTTTATGTTTATTAAGAAAAATCTTTCAAGGTGGGGATTATAATTAAGTAAAAATAGAGTTAAGATAATAAGGTAAGAGTTTTTTTCCACAACTTATAAATTATTTTGTCCAGGTTTTGATGTGTTCAAGGAAGAATTGGGTTCATCTCGCGAAGCTTCAATGAGAAGAGGTGCCTCTCTAGATGCCTCAGTGGACGAGCAAGATATTACGAAGGTAAGAATTAAAACTTTTTCCCCCTTTCTTTTCCAGGTCCCAAAAAAGACTGATCGTTAGGACACGGTTCCCAGCAGATCACCGAAGTCAAGCATCACTGGCTGCGGTCAGTGTGCGGGTGGGTGACCACTTGGATCAGTCTGCGTAAGGACCGAGGGTTTTTCGGTATTGGTCCTGGTTAAACTGTTCTACAGTAAAGTGCTCGACTTCGCGTGCAGGTCGTCGGGCTACCGAAGCGGGGATGCCATCTTCTCTGCTGAGGACCAAAATTGTGATGGCATATCTTCGGATCATCCTCAGGGGTGTTTCGCAGACCGTCGCCAATAGCCCATTGTGGAGCTCTAGTGCGACGTAAATGAACAACAACAGCAACTTTCTTTTCCAGAATATTATTTGTTTCAATTTTTTATAAGATCTAATTTCAGTTCTTTTTAAAAATAAAAAAAATTAGTTTTCTTATTGCATTTTGTAATGGGTCAGTTTTTTTAAAAAATACTGTCAAACCTCATTAAAAGGTGAATACGCTTAACGTAAGTTTCTTCTAACCCTCGTTAAAAGGTAAACACGCTTAGCGTAAGTTTCTTTTAACCTTCGTTAAAAGGTAAACACGCTTAACGTAAATTTCTTTTAACCCTCGTTAAAAGGTAAACACGCTTAACGTAAGTTTCTTTTAACCCTCGTTAAAAAGTGAACACGCTTAACGTAAGTTTCTTTCAACGTGAACTTATTTTAGATTTTTATGAGTAATTATTGTTTTAACCCTTCTTTGCTAGAATTTTTCTTTTTTTTTTAATGAAATCAGGGTGATATAATTTATATTCTAAATTAAAGGAAAAATGTTTTTAAAAAATACCTAGTATTAATAAATAGTATAAAATAATTGAAAAACAGTATGATGGAAATATCCATCATAGCTTGACTGTTATAATTCTTTTTTACTCAATGGTTGTGGGAAAAAAATTGTCAGCAACAACCAATTTACAGTAACGAAACGTTTAAAGTAACGAAACAAATTACAGTAACGTTGAGTGCAATTTTTGTTCATTAAATGTTATGATGGAAATTTCTATCATCATGCAAAGAAGGGTTAAAGAACATTAAACAAGAACTTGCCTAACGTGAAATAAATATTCACCACTAACTCCGCCACTATATGTTTTTCAATAACACTAAAATTCATAGCTATGCTAAGATGAGTCGTGCTTGCTCAGAGAATAGAACCGGATTCGAAACCCAGCGATGGCTAATCGATACGAATTCCGCATCCGGCTTGCACCAACCACAGTACCGACTTAAAATATTCTCACGGGTAAACGGATTATGAGTTGGAATCCCCTTGCCGTCAGGCTAACCATGGGAGGTTTTCGTGGTTTTGCTCTACACGTAACGCGATAGATGATCAGTTCCATCAAAAAGTCTTACACGAAGGTATATTCTCCCAAACTTAACCCTTACTCGATCCAGGAGTTTTCTTGTTTTCTGGATTGAGTTCAAAAGTACAAGGCTACGGAGTTGAACATTAGTAGTCGTAAACCCGAAAAATTGGGTAGACTGGTCAACGACGGTTATAAAAAAAAAAAGCTGCAGTTAGATATGATGCTCATAAGAGTCTGTAAAGCTATTTTCCTATAAAATATAAAGCGAGTATCATTAATTTAGGATGCATGTGTTAAAAATTTCCATAGCTGCAGGTACAAAGTATTAAAATATTTTATTAACAATTGTTATCCTCATTGCTTTAAATTTTTAAGAAGTAAATCCAATCTAAGGATTAGTGTGCGCTTGTTTCGTCAAATCTTATAAAATGAATCTTTTCTGTTTTTTTTCTTAAAGTTATTGTGCCTTCAAAGTTATCATATAATCAAAGAAGTTTTTAAGAATAAAAAATAAATCGGAAAAGCGAATGTCAAAATTTTAACTAAAGGAAAAGACTTTAAAGTCAGGATGTTAAAATGTTGCAAGATGATAAATTTGTGAATTTTTTGAAATATAAATGTTTTATTTAGTCAACAAATATTTTTTAAGTTTGCATTCTTATCGTTAAGTTTATTGCGAACCTTTTTCGTGGGAATTCTCGATTTTTAGCCCCGTAGAATTAAATTTAAAAAAAAAACCATATCTATTAATTCTAACCCTTCAATCGAATATTCTTAATTATTAGAATAACTCAATTTGGGAACGAATCCACTGTTTTTAAAAAATCCGATTTTCTCCATTCTATTCATGGTGTTCTATAAACACCTTTGTTGCCAAAGACTATTAGAATTTTGATAAAACATTCGTCTTTATAATATTCCTTATGAGTCATAGGCTAATATTTAATAGGCGGGAGCGAAATCTGATCTGCCTTAGTGCATTATAAGGAACTTCTTATTTTGAGAGACTTCGAAGCTTAGTTTTAAATTTCGTCTAATCGAAATTGTTACTAATAGTCAATGCATAGTGCATATTCCATTCACGTGTATATATGAGACTGAAATTGCTCATTTTGCAATTTTAAACCCTAAGGACTTTTGTCTTCAGGTACATAATACGGTTTCTACAACACCTACTCAATATTCTTTTTTGTTGGGTCTCAGACGTAGTATCAAGCACCGTTTATTTTCGCGTCCGTGGATATAGATTATCGTTATTTAATCACTAGGATTAATAACCAATAATCTTGAAAAAAGCTTACATTAGGTCATGCTTCGGTCTAAATCGTTAGATTGTTAGTAAAATCTACACTAAATGTTTTAATTATTAGTCTAATTAGTCTATTATTAGTATTAATTAGTCTGTGCTTATCTAAAATAATATTTGCATTTTAAATTACGTTTTAAAGTATCTGATAAGGATTATAATAACGCAGCATATTAAAAAAGTCAGTTCATGCTAAGGTAATATTTAAAATTTAATTTAAGAAATAGTTAAAGAAAAATATCCAATTCGGGAAAAAAAACTTAATAAAGAAAATTAATTTTAAAAATTTGAATTAATTAGCGACAATTTCAGTTATCTATGTCTTGGTTATTCTATGACATTTGTTAGAAATATCATACATTTTAAAATGCCCGCTTAACTTTATAGTGTCATTGTGTAATAAATAGTTGGGCAAATGTAAACGGGTTTCTTGTAGGCGTGGTCTATTGAAATATGTTGCTCTCATTCGTTATAATTAATTATCCGCTCTAGCAACTAAGAAACGCTTAGGATCACCATAATTGGCGTCTACAACTTTGGAATTAATGATTAGAACGAAATCTTGCATAATATAATAATAAATGGTTATACAATTTTAAATTTAATAACGTTTATTTCATTTAGGATTCCTTACTGTGAATAATAGTTAGTAATTTTTAATTGTTGGATAAAAATTTTCTACAAAATATTTCTTAAAAAGTTCTTTTTTTATTCAAATAAATTTTATCGCCAATATATTTCCTATCTAAACTTTATATTTTTTTTCTAATTTTACAGGTTAGAGTTTTAAAAGAAACCTCGTCAGAAATTTGGCGTTAAACGTGATAAACATGACGTATTGTTTTAAATTAAATGGGATATTGTTGTATAAATTGCTATAAGCTGCTTGGAACTTTAGCTGCGATTCTTCATGTTTTATGATTTCAAAATTTCTCTGTATAATAATTATTTACAATCACGTGCTAATAATAAGTGCTACACAAGTGCTACGAAACACTTCCACAACGCTACTAAATTAAGTAGACATGATGTATAGCTTTAATGATTTAGCTTCTCCATTGCAATGATTTTAATATATTCCTTCTTTTTGTTATAAATTTTAATTTTAGAGGGTTGGTAGGAACGCTAAAAATAAGCAGGGTGTTCTCTAACAACTGTGCTTAATATACTTTAAAAAATTGCTAAAAAGGAAGCACAAAAAGACTTGTATTAGCTGTCACAAATCAATATTTTATTACGAGAGACTCAAAAACGTTGTTAAAATTTTGATATAATAGACCCAGCTTCCTCAATGACGACACGACAGATTTACTGCAATCTTAATATGATGCTAAACTCAACAATATTATTGTACTTCTTAAACTTATACTTTTTACAATACAACTTGAATTGAAATATGGATCAGTTTTATCTATTTTAAAATTGCCATACGCTAGTTTCAATGTTCCATTGTTAAACTTATTTTTATGGGAGTGCAAACTTTTTTACTTCATTACTTTCAAGATTTTTGAAAATGTGTATTTAGGGTGGTATTTAAAAACATCCTTCGTACTAAGAATTTTGATTTTGGTAAAATTTTTTTGGTGAGGAAAATGTTTCCTTTTTTAATTTTATAAAATTACGAAAATGTATGCAACTTTTAACTTTTTTTTTACTCTTATTTAGTGATCTATTAGGATATGTAGTAACAGTTTATAACCGTTGTTGAACAGCCGACCCAATTTTTAGTTTACGACTACCAATATTCACCTCTGTAATTTTTAACATAATCCAGAAGTCAAGAGAACTCCTTGATCAAGTATTGAGAGGAATATGCCTTCATGGAGGACTTTCTTTAGGGAACTAACCCGCATTTGCGTTACAGGCATAAGAAAACCGCGTAAAACACCCCACGGTTAGCCTGACGGTAAGGGGACTCTAACCCACGATCTCTCTACCACAGCGCATACTTTACGTCAGCAAACGTCTGAACAGTCTGTTCAAGTCGGATGCGAAACTCGTATCGACCAGCCATCGTTTGTACTCGAACCCAGGTCACCTCATTGGGAGGCGAGTGTTCTATCCCCTGAGCCACCTCGGCTGTAGATAATATTTAATGAAGAACTTCATTGGTTTCAAAAATATACAGATGGAAATAAAAGTTGATATATTTCAAGTGCCCAAAAATAGGCACCCATTCTCAGCATTAAATTCCATTTATATATTTTTAAAGCTAATGTTGAAGCCTACTCTGATTATTAACTCCACTGTTTACATCTCACTACCAACTGTTCTTCATCAAAATCATATTTGATTTTGATATGTAAAAGAGTTAATATAAGCTTGTTAACGGAAAAGAGAATTTTACTCATTTTTTCGAGCAAATGTTTTAAAATAAAATATCACTAATTAGTTGGTTTTATTTTTTAGGAAGCTGAGTCTGCTGCTGAAACGAGCAGTGAAACTGGATCACTCTTTGAGCGTGATCAAATTTCTCAAGCATTCACAGATGAATTGATGAAAGGTAAGACTTATTTTATTTTTCGTTCGTAAACACTACACCGTTTCGTGTCCTGAGAATGTAAATTTTAACTGTCTCTGTCACCGAACGACACTAATAAGCATTTCACTTCTGAATTATTTTCAAAATGATGTTTTCTTAAGTCCTTCTTAATATAATACTAGCAGCTAAATATTGTCTCAATAGTAGTCGTAGTTACAATACGTTGCTTAAGTATTTCAAAGCTATTTCGAAAATTAAACTGAGAATAATTTTTTGTGTTGTACCATTGTCGAATTGCGAGTGTGATATACACTCTGATATATCACATTATTTTTAATGGGATATTTACCAATTACATAAATATTTATCACTGAACTGAAAACCTTACATGAAAATCAATTAAGACATTTGAAATCAATGATTATACACTTTGTATAATTGGACGTATTTCCTGTATGTTTTCGTTTATTTTTTACCTTGTTAAGTGACATTATATATTTTAATCGGTGTTGAATGAGAATGGATAGGTGGGTTATTCTTTTGCGCAGTTGGAAAAAAAATATTTATATTCTGTTTATATTCGAAAATTCGGAATTGTTTTGCATTATTTTCATTTGTTTTAGTTGTTATTTTATATTTTTTATTTTTCAAGTGTTAAAATATCGCATTAGAGAAGCTAGGATTAAAAAAATTGTTGAATCCACTTATGATACTTGGAGAAATTAAGAATTTTTGATTAAAGAAAGTTATAATCAACGCGATCACATGCGATTCTTGACATAATGACTCTGGTGCACAGATAGCATTGATATAAATAAAGGCCTTTGCTACTTAATTCATGGTCTTGACTACGAATTTAACACAGTATGCTATTATATCATCATTACTGACGATGCACAAAACCTGTGTGTTTGCACTATGATAGTTTCTGATGTAAAACAACCGTTTTATCTTTTAAACTTTATTTGTTTTTATTACCTTGCCAAAGAATAAAAAGAATTCTGCTATCTTTAAGCACCTATGTTTTAATTTTTTTAAAGGAAAAATTTTCAGCAAAACTTTTATTACTCACTTCGAAATCTAGTTTTGATTTATCCATGCCTGTCTTACTTATAATTTTATGTTTTACAATTTTTCTTTGTTTTTTTAAAATTTTATCTTTCTTTTATTTTATGACTCGTTTTCTTTTATTATTTGTTTTTAACTATTTATCTTTTTTATTATTTGTTTTCCTTTTTTACTTTTGTTTCCATTTATAATTTGATTTCCTCTATTTTATAATTAGATCACATTAAAACTGAAGATCTGACAAATCTTCCAACCAGTGAGGAAATAAACCAACTTTTCCCTAAATGTAAATTAACTCCCGCATCTCAAAGTGAAACAACGATGCCCCACTCAAGTGACAACAACACAAAAGACCCTGCCCCCGCTGAAAATATTCAACTTTTACCTGACGATGAGAGTGAAAAAAGAACAATGTCTGTTGTTGACGGTGAGCCACTTAAGAAAATCGAAAATGGCATTAATGTGGATGTTATTGAGCAGCAGAATGAAATAAGGACTCACGAGTTTTGGCCTCCTGATAAAATTTCATCAACCCAAACTATCATTGTCACATCCAATCCAACACCAATTGGATATTCAATGAATGAAGAACCTATTGAAAAGGTTCTAATATGCTCGAGCCCCGACAATCAAAAGGTTTCAAGAACTGATACTGCTTTTCCTACAACTGCTGATTCTAGCAAGGTCCTCAATACCCAAACTAGTCTTGCTGATCCGAGTGTGTTAGAATGTGCAGGCGCTGAATCATTATCATCAGATTTAGGATACTGCAGCATGGACAAAGAAGTTGCTTTAAGTTCAAAGACTGATAATTATAAATCAGGTGGGGATTTACCTATGAATATATCTACAGTTATTGAAACCGTTTCAACTGCTGAAATCAGTGGCTCATCGAATGATAAAAATAGAATAATATCCTCGAGCGAGGATAATTCTGTTAGCGGTAGTAAAATAGTTGAAGTTAGTGATAATACCTTGCCAGACTCAAGTAAGGTATCACTTGAATATGAACAAAGTGTTCAGCATCAATTAGAAGAACATAAATCCGAACAACAACCAAAAGAAAGTGTTGCGGCCAACAGTTTAGTAGAAGCTAATGTGACCAAGTATTCAAGTGATAATTCCCCGGATGTTAACGTCTGTGTAGAAGGTATAGCAATTGCACGCTGTATTGTATATTAAGTACATCGTCAAACATTCTTAATAGCTAGGAAACAAACAATATTTTTTATTAAGTGATCAGTGCAAAAAATATATTTATCGTAGTTAAGATGAAAGTAGCATGCTAAATTTAGGAACTAAAGTTGTAACTTACTTTCGGTAACTTTAATAAATTAGTTTAGTTTATTTTTTAAATAAATATTTCTTTAGTATTCCGCAAAAGAAATTTCGATTATTACGTTTTTTAAATAAAATTTCTTTTAATCTTTTATAGTAATTTATCACCCATACTGTTTTTTTAAATTTCATTTCAAGTTTCAAATGTATGATATACTAAAAAAAAGTGGTGTAATTAAAAAAAAAACCCTAATTTATAGATAATTAGTGCTTTGTGGGAAATTTTATTTCTGCTTTATTACTCAATAAGATGTTATTTTAATTCACAATTAACTTAGAGTCGAGCTTACCAAAAAATAAAACAAATGAAAAGACATGTCAAGTACTCATTTAAAATTTTAGGAATCCTTTCCCAAGGAAAACAAACTTGTAATTCATTGGCATATATATGCCAATTACTTTTATTCATTTTGTAAAGTAAACTTAAATTTTCAGAGCTGCAATACAATTTAAAGTTTTTGATAAAAATCAATAACACATTTTTAAATCAAATTTTAAGTAATAATTTGGAATTAATAACTTAATATTTATCTCCTCACTTCATGTTTTTCATTTAAAAAGTTCTTTTTGGGATGTATTTTTTTAAGTGTAATAAATAATAAATACATTTTTATATATAGTAGCCAATAAAGTTCCAACCCATCCCTTCAACTGATTACCGACTGCAGCTATGGTTATAAAAGTGATGTGTAGGTATACTAAAGAGGCTATGAGCTACCGGATGAACGATCCAGTGATAATCAGTGGAGTTTCCCTTTCGAAAATGGTACGAGATTATGGAAAAAATAAAGTGCAAAGTTGTAGAGGACCCCCAGTCTAGCACAATGAGTTCGTGATTCTACTCTTAAACGTTCAAAAGAGAAGTTGCATAGCAAGATATTTTTATTACTGGGGTAGAAACTTCTTTCTAGATTTTAACATTTTAAATAAAAGCATCTTCTAGTAGCTACTTTTTTTATGATCGTTTTATCATGCTATACTGTATAAGAAAATCGCTTACAAAAGTTGTTGTTAGTAATAATGCCCATAAAGCATCTCTGTGTATAAAATCAATGATGCCTTACACAATTGTGAATTTTTTGTTTCTTCTATTTTGCAAGGGTTTTGAAATATAAACGCTAATTCCGCTTTTTTCCAATAGATGGTGCTGTTATCGATCTCATCTCGCAGCATATAGATAGTACTCGACATCACCTAGACATTATTTTTATAACTAGAGTTGCAGAACTTCGGTATTTAACAGGGTGGATGTGGATTTTAGTGCTTTCTATGAAATGAATAATTCGAAAGCAGATTTTCTTAATTATAGCTAAAACATTTTAGGCAAAGTTTTATTTTTTTTGTTTGTTTTGCATGTTTATAGTTGCTAATAGCAGAGTTTCATGCTTCTAGATGCCAAAATACGCAGAGCTTCCAAAACACCTCCTCCATCACCTGCTGATGAAGAATATCGGGGTATTGAACTTTTAATTTTCGTAGATTTTTTTATTCATTAGCATATACATTAACTAACTTAATTGCAAATTATAAGCTGCATGAAATTTGATTTAATTTAAATATAAAGGTTTAGGTGGAGAATAGTTTGTTCTTTTTTTTTTAAAAAGGACTTTAAGATCTCCGTTTTGTATTTCATTACCGCCGTTGAACAGCCGACCCAATTTCGGGATTACGACTACTTTAAACCGCGTTGTCTTGAATTTTGAACCAATTCAGAAGACAAGGAAACTCCTGGATCAGTACCCCAAGAGGTATACTTTTTTTATGGGAACATGGAGTACTTTGTGACTTGATAGATTTTGCTAGCATTAGTCCCCTTTTACTACCACGAGGTTCGAACCCACGACCTCTTGGACATGGGTTCAGTGCCCTACCAACCAGGCCATATCGGCTTCAAGATCTCCCATTTGTACATTCTAAAGATTACTAAGTTTTTCCATATAAATAACGTGAAAAATAGGTTCTCCCCGAGAGTTACTACACAGGGCAGATAGGCCATGGAGTTGAAAAATAGTTTCTGTCCACGCATAGATGGTGGAATGACTTGTGAGAAAGCATTGATTGGGGAGGATATTTGAAGAAAGAACTGTTCTTGTCCAACCCAACTTTCGAATTTTATTTTTTCTCAACATCGATAATTGTAAATTTTATTTTATTTCGAGGTTTTGCTTAAATTTCGTTTAGAGGCTATAAATAAATGCTCGTGACATTCGTGTATGTTTTTATTTTTGCAATGCCAACCAAATGCTTGCTCTTGAAAACTCTTACGTTGAGATTGGCTCTTTCTCAGAATCAGCTTTAATGGGCGTAAACAGTTTTCACTCCCCTGCTCTTCATATGTTTTAGAGTTGTTAGATCTTAAAAACAGCTTATCCATAGCAATTTATTTTAAAACACTAACAGTTATAACTTAACCAGAAATTTTTATGGCTGAAACCAATGTATTGAAATTGTCCCTAACTATATCTCAATCATTAACAGAATTTGCTTTTTACTTATGCTTTTATAATTGCTTTTTCCCCCACTGCCCCTTAAAATGGACTGCGAACTTTTAAGGTCCACTCCCTGTTTCTGGCTTATATAAACACCACTTGGAGGACCCCACCCGAACATGCCCGGTGCGCCGCTGAGTCCACTGGACAGATATTGCAGTGCTCCTGTCCAAGACTTGCTCAGACCACTCTATCTAGACTTAGGACTAGTCATATTAAGAGTCTAATTTTTGACGGAAACGAGAAGACTTATTCTCTGCCATCGCTGTTCTGCCATCTGCTGTTCTACCATCGCTACTCCATCTCGTATCTTAGATTGTATTCCCAGGAAAAATGTAACCTTACGACAACCTTGTCGCTGAATTTTTTTTTATTGTCACGAAAATGGTTGTACTAAAACCCTTTTTTCAATGAGGCAAAAATATTGCAGTTTCAAACCTTTCATCCTAAAAAGATTAAAAATTATTTCTTAAAGCGTTTGTAAAAAGTATTGTCACTTAGTGACGTTTAGCTGACGTCACACTAGCGATAGGATGACGTTTTAGCTGACGTCACACTAGCGATAGGATGACGTTTTAGCTGACGTCATACTAGCGATAGGATCAAATTGCATCGTCCATTAAAATTTCATGACAAAGTGAATTTTAGCTGAGCATAAAAGACTTTTCTAAAAGAATCATTATGATTACCTTGATTTAAGATTACTTTCACCTTGAGACTAGCTTTATTAAAGGATTTTTTTTCAAGCTTGGAAACCCAAAATCAACCTCGATTTAAGGTTTTTATGCAGAAGGTTTTTTTCCAAGGTTATGGATTAGGGTAATGCGAGTAGAATAAAGCAGATTGTTTTAAGGTTCGAAGGTTTACACGTAAACCGCATTACAAACCTTATTAGGTTTACATTGAAACGTTTTTTCTGAGTGAAAATAAACCTTAATTTGATATCTGGGTATTGGTGCTTCTGCGGGGGAAGCTGTTGAATGAGGGGGATGTAGTTCTTTATTCTATTTGGCGACATCGTCTCCTGAACTCGGTTTAGTTTGTCTAAGGCAAAGGGAATAAGCAACAACAACTTCTTTTTTAACTGCTTAATCTTAAGTGTTTTCAAAATTTATCAGCTTGACAAAAGTAGATGATTTTTACGCTAAATGCTAATGCTGTGTGTATTCCTTAAGAATACTTACATACTTGCAAATTTGAAGAAAAAAAATGTATAAAATATATTTTGTATTCTTTTATGCTATGTTTAGATTGAAATCTTCCATTTGAAATTTGTTTTCATGTTTTTATTTCGATTAAAAGAAAAGTTTGATATGGATTACCAAATTATGAATTATACCGTGTTTCTGGTTCTATGATAATACTAAAAACCTCGGTAATTATTATGGAAGTACACTGGTAATTATTTTGGAAAAATTAACAATATTAAATAGTTTTGTAATACTTAAACTTGGTTAATGTGGTAATTTTATCATTGATACTTTAGAGTATGTCATAAAATGCACCGAAGAGCCATTACATTATGATCACCCTCCATCTATATCAATGGGCTAGCCCAGGTTTTCATGGTTTCTCGCCCAGGAACAATGTTTCCATGGGGCACATTAGGACCCATAATCCTCATAGAACAATCCCTGACGTCTGTAAGCTACTTGAACATAGTTGCAGACCACGTTCACCCATTCATGGCAATAGTTTTTCCTGCGGGGGATGGTGTTTACCAACAGGATAATGCACCATGTCATAAGGGTCAAATCGTCGAGGAACATTCCAGTGAATTTCAAGTCATGTCTTGGCCCCCAAATTCACCTGACCTTAATCCAATAGAGCATTTGTGGTCCTACTTGGAAAACCAAATTCGTGCTGCCACGCTACCCCCTCGCAATGTGAGGGAATTGCAGGACCAGCTGGTGAGCGCTTGGTACCAGATACCTCAGACTACCTATCAGCACCTTGTGGAATCAATGCCACGGCGGTTGCTAGCAGTTTTGAGGGCTAAAGGTAGTCCTACATGTTATTAGCAGGGTGGTCATAATGTAATGGCTCTTCGGTGTACACTTATTCAGTTAAATTGAGTTTTCACTTTTTAAACTAAATGTGTGGTAATAAGAACAATAATTTTAAAAACCAGAATTTCTGGTAAACCGCTAACGTATGAGAAAAATTACAATATGAGTAGTTTTAATATCGCATATTTAGATTTTTATCACCAGAGTTCTGTTATTTTTACCTTACTGTAACCTTATAGTATGATAATTTAACAATACATTTTTTTCTGTGTCCTTTGCATCTTAAAATATCAAATTCTTTAAGATCCATAAAGCTAAATAGTATTTTATTTTTTAATTTCCAGACAATGAACTAGGCAAAAAACTGAAAGAAGTTGCTTTCCCTACTCTACCAGTTCAATCTGAAGTTAAAGAAGAATTATCTGAAATTGTTGGTAAGTGAAACTCTTATTTCATTATTTACTTCTTTTAATCTAAATTTTTTTATAAAAGACTTGTTGTAGAATCGAACTTGAGTCAGTATAATTTTTTATAACAGTTATTGGACAGCCGACCCAATTATGAGTTTAAGGCTACCAATATTCAACTCCATAGCCTTGTAATTTTGAACCCATTTCAAAAGATGAGGGAACTCCTAGATCAAGTATTGGGAGAAATTTGCCTTCGTGTAGGACTTCTTGATGGAACTAGTCCGCATTTGCATTACACGGAGAAGAAACCACGAAAACCTTCCATGGGTAGCCTGACGGCAGGAGGACACTAACCTATGACCCATCTACCACTGAGGGAATTTTATGTCAGTACTGTGGATAGTGCGAGTCGGGTGTGAAATTCATATCGACCAGTCATCACTGGGATTCAAACCTGGGACATCTTATTAGGAGACGAGCTCTCTATTCCCAAAGTCACCACTGCTTTCAGTATAAACTTCAAATTGAATAAAGATTGAATTAAAAAAAAAAGAGAATTAAAAAAAAAATGCTAGAGTGCTAATGCTACATTGCTTTAAAAAACTCCATTTAAATTTTGAGAAGATTCTATACTTTTGGGTTTCAACTACGAACGAAAAGTAGCAACTACAGAAGTTTCACTTCTTGCAGTGCTCTATTTCCGACAACTTGGCAGTTCTAATATTTTAATTCCGCTTTGTTTCCTTTGATAATTCAGCCCCGATTTCCCCAGTTGTTATTCGTTAAATTTTGCTACTGTTTTTGTCACTCGTGTAAATATTTCTTTGCAATCATTAATATGCTTGCTTTTATGGCAAGAAGTTTCAAAAGAAACATTAAGGATGGTGATTAGGGAACACCCTGTATAAAGATTTCAAATATTTTATACGGGGAACATATTGGTGTGCGTCATTGTAGAAAAATTAACGTAAATTTGAATTCTCTCAAAATATTCAACTTCCCTATCAGTAAAAGTTACCTTGTTAAAATTACCACTTAAAGCAACTACAGTTATTTATATAATTATTTAAACACATTTTAAAATTATTTTGCCAAAAATTTCTGCTGAAAAACACATTGTGTGAACGATTACTTCTATAAGCCGCAATTATTCATAGAATTAAAGAAACCGACATTTTCGATATTATTTTACTTCAAAAAATTGCTCTAGAAGAACACCTTCTTTAAATTACTGTTTTTAACAATCGCAGTTATTTATTTTACTAACAAAAACTGCCATTGTATATAATTCTTTTTCTAACAATTTCTAAACGCTTGACATTAAAAATGAATTATCATCACAGAAAATTTTATTTTTAATTAACATTGTGAATTATTTTTAATTAACATTGTGAACAAATAATTAACATTGTGAAATTAAAAGCTTTGTAGTGGAGGATTTTAATGAAGTATTTGGAGAGCCTTTTAGTATTCTAAAAAGTGATCTAGATTTTTCTCTACCTTAGATTTTCTTGTCAGATATTTGCATGTGCGGTATTAGACGAGAAATTTTAAGAAATGAAAAAAATCAAATTGGCAAAAATTCTACATAATGGTTTGAATCTCATGACTGTTTTCTTGCAGGTGCGCAAGATTTGCCGATAAAACTTACCGAATCTGAGACGTGGCCATCGCTAGAGATGGATACTAGCCAAGTATCCATATCCAGTTTACCTGATGACGAGAAATCGGAACCAACAACTGCCACTATTCCTTTAGACGTTGAAAGAAGTGCCGAATCTCAAACCCAAGAAGGTAAGATTTAAAATTGCATCCTTCTCAATAAATGCAGGGTGTTTCATAACAGTAATACGTGGTTTTAGAATTTTAGTAGAAAGAAAACCTAGTCACATTAAGGGCCCCACATCAATATTTATGTTAGAAAGAAATATGAACGTTATCTTATTCTGACGCATGATCATCATAAATAATTTTCATTCATCTAAATGTTCAAATCTAGATCCGGGATACAAATAAAACACTGTACCTAAAGAAACTCGAAACAAATTCCTTGATCTAATTGCTTTGATAATGATTCATCAAGATTTGTTCATTTTTTTTCACATCTTTTGATTATTTTCTTGCAGGCAAAAAATTGCCTCCAAAACAAACACATGACTACCATTGGAGATAAATACTGGTTTTAGTATTAATTTGTGACTTTAGATGATATTTTTTACTTCATATTTTACACAAATTCAAAAAATGTACATTAAGGGTGGTTTTTACAAAACATTATGTACATTAATTGTTAAATATGTTGTGCTTTATTGAGAATGGGTACGCTTATGATCAACTTAATTGAAATAATACATTAAAAAAAAACAATTTAGTTTGGAAATTATTATTTGTATATTTAAATATAATAAATCTTGACAAGAAACAAAATAATCAGTTCCGTAAGAACCTTTAAGAATATTGAACCTATGAAATACCACAGGCGTTTTATAAACTATAAATTTGTAATGCAAATTGACTTACTACTAGCATTTGAAAATTCTATTAAAAATAATTATTTTAATAAACAAAAAATGGTTTTTTAAACTATTGTGTAAATGAAACATACTGCCTGTTGGTTCTATAACAATAAAAACATGCTAAGTTTGCAACTCATTTCCAATTTATTCTATGCATCTTTAATTAAACACATTAAAAGCAGATAAATATTTAGTTTATTACATTAACAGCATTTTAAATTGAAAGATATCTGAATTTCATTTGCACTATCTGTCTCAAATTTATTATTGTGCTTTTGAAGCTTTTCTTATATGTATTGCTTTCACTAATATATTTCTATTGTTAGTGAATTTAAATTTTTATCTATATTAATTAAATTAATTAATATGCCACCTGAATGAAGTGTGTGTTTGTGTTTGCTATGTGGAGATTTAGCATGTCATTATTTTATGTTTTTATTTTCTATTTCATTCATAAATGCATGCTTCTAAAAAATAGAGAATTATTTCTGTTAGAATTCTTAATTATGATTTGCCTCCTCTGCTGCTAGCATTTCTACTTTGCACAGTTTTCAATCTTTAAGATACCTGAATCAAGTTAATCAAACTTAATTAATATTAGATAATTTAAAATGTTTTAAAATAAATATGAACATCCTTAAATATTGGGCTATCTTTTTTTATGGTAATACGAAACTATAGGTAAAATTTATTTTAATATTGTTATTTATAAAATTATATTTAAACAGATAAGAGCAACTAAGTTATGAATTTTCACAATCAGTTCTTCTACATTTTATAATGTTTTAAAAATAACTGGAAGTTTATCAATAAGAATTTTGTTTAGTACGTACTAAATAATTATAAAGAACGTATGATTTTTAGTTTATGTTGAGAACTAAATATTTTTATAATTTCTTCAACTAATATAATTTGCTTAACTTATGTAATTTCAGATTAATTTCATTAGAAATATTCACACGATTTATGAAATTAAATTTAAAAAACAAATTTATTTTGTTATAATTACTGATTCTTGACTAGTTGGAAAAAATTCTTGACACTTTTTATTAATTTTTCAATTGAACTATTTAGTTTTCAAGTCGCTTTATAATTTATTTTTACGAATAGATTACTATGTTGCAACAATGCATTACTGTAAAAATAAATTTCGAAAATTGAGTTAAAAAATCACATATTGTTCAGGGTATAAACTTTTGTTTTAAGATTTTTCAGCTTCATGTTTTATTTACACCTTACAAGTAAATTGTTTTTGTAAATCAATTATTTTGAGTTAAAGTAATTTTTTTCAACTATCAGTTTTAACTTTAACTCAGTTTTGATTTTATGATTTACTGAATGAAAGGTATTTGAACGAAAGTGTTGTACGAGTTTATGCACTTTATTATAAGATTTACCAACACATATTTGTAGCATCTTTATCTACACTACTTTGTAGAAAAACATATAATTGCTTTATTCTCGAAAATTTAAAAAAAAATACAACTGGGATAAAACTATATCCAATTAATTGAATGGAGTTAATTATTTTTCTAAAAAAGCTTTCTCGCGAATTTACTTTTTTATTCGTTAATATAATTAAAATTTACACATCTGAGCCGTATGAACAGGAGATTAAAATATTTATTCTGTTTACATAAAGATAAATTTCTACCGAATATGTTATGTGAAAAGAGAAATTGGAAGCAAAGTATAATAGTTAGGAAATATAATAGTTTTTACAATTTAAAAAAAAACAACTTAAAATTAATCATTGCATAAGCATAATCATTGCATAAAAAACTTAAATTTAATAATTAGACTTACATTTTTATTAGAAATAGTTTCAGTTTTCATTTACAATTTGACAATTTTTCACTTTTCAAGAATCAATAGTTTTTTTCAAATAAAATAAAATAAACATGTAAACCAGACTTTACAAAAAAAATTATCTAGTGCATCAGCAAATAGTCCATCAAATCAAATTGCGAAAAATTTTGCATTTCCATTTATTTAACACACAGTCAATACTATTATGATGACAAAATTTTCCCCATTATACCATGTATTTAGAAATTGAACAGAACGTACCATCAAACTGTCTGTTTATGAAGTACTTTTAAGCTTTGTCACTACTATTAACAATTTTTCAGTATAATACTTATTCAAAGTACATTTGTACCTTACTACGAAGCATTTAGTAAAACATGTTGCCTTCCCTGTCATAACATATTTACAAAGATCACATTTGTATGAAAGTTATTTTAATCTATTTTCACATGTGTAATCCAAAGACTAGGAAAAATATTTTTTCCGTCTATTTACAAAAATTCATTAAATTTAATTTTTTGCAGGAGATATATAAACGCTAACTTCAATTGTGTATGATTGTTACACATCAACTTTTCATCTTTAATACTATAATTTAATAAAAAAAAACTTAGGAGAGATAGATATGAGTGCTAACTTCATTTGTGTAATATTCTGCTTTGTATTTTTAAAAATAAATGAAAAATTCTAAGTTAAATTTTCCTTAAAAGAATATTACTCTGCAATTAGCTTTTTCAAGTAGTACTTTTCTAAAAATATTACCCAGTACAGTTCAACTGACAATTCATAATTTAGAAATTGAATGCCTGTAATTATTTTTAGTCAAACCATTAAGCATGAAAACTATTTTTGTATTTACTATTGTTTTATCCCATACCCATCATTTAAGTTTTTTAAGTGCTCAACACTTTAAGTTGCCTTAGAAGATTTTCATTACATGCTTATTTATATTTATTTGAGTGAAGTAGTAGTTCGTTTGAAATTTAGGGTGGCTATACAAAATTCGGTATTTATATGTTTTGGTCACCATGTTTTATGGGAAAATTTCAGATCTAGAAGATCTTGAAGAAGATACGTTGTCCCCAACAAAATTTAAAGACTTGTGCTCCAAAAAAGTTTCCCCAACAAAGTCTATTTATGAAGGAAAGGTTATATTTCCTTCTAAACTTCCAGTTACATCGCAACTTACTCCTGAAAAAACTCTTTTCTTACAAGAATTGCCTCTATCACCAGTCAAAGAAGTATCTGAAATAGAAACAAAAGAAACTTGTACCAGCCCTTGCTCGGATAAACTAGAAACTATGAAACCCAACCAACTTATTTCGACGAGAAAGGGTTTCAGAACTCGCAAAAGACTAAGCCCGATTCATGATACAAACAAATTTGAGCCAAAAGTACCATCCAGAGTAGATAGAGGACTCAGTCCTATTGCTGTGTTTACAGCTGGACCCTCCGGCATCAGCAAGGAACAAAACGAATATTTTGTTCACACTTATGATGCCCCATCGATGCAGGAACCAGTGATGACTGAGAATTTCTGCAATAGGGGAACTGAAATGTCTCCCAATACGATGTTTGGCGTTAGAACTACTAAAACTATGCCTTTCAATGGACATATTATTAATAATCAGAATGAGTCTAAACCTTCCATAAGCATGGAGTTCTTGCAGAATTATTTACACGATAAAATAGAAACAAATGACACATCTGAAAACGTACACCCTAACAGTCCCCTAGGAGAAAGTAACAGTTTCGATGCAGCGTTTGCTGATAAACTGGTTGAGACATTACTGAAAGTTGAAAAATCGACCAGTCCATTTTCTGATTTGACGTTGGATACCGGAATAGGAACTGATTCTACCGTCACAGCCGACACTGCAAGTAGTCCGTTTATGCTTGATGTGCAAACACCGTCCAGTTCTGTACATTTGTTGAAAGAAAGTTGCTCTACTCAGACCCTCCATGTTGAAATGTTGTCCGCTCATACTAGTCCAATTGATGGGCCCTTCTCCCTCCAAGATTCCAATGTATCTTGTTGCGCTACTGAAAGTAGCTTAAAATCCGACTCATTAGATGATATTAGTAAGACGTTAGGCACACCAAGTTCCGATTATGTGGAACTTAGTGTTGGCCGTGATTTAACTGATCTTCAGTACGATGTAATGAGATCCACTGTTAAAGAGTTTTTAGAAGAACATATTGTTGAGGAATCTGGTAGTGACACCGGCAAAGTAGACGATGCCGAAGACGCGTCCATTTGCTCATCACATGATCGCGAGGGTAAAGACGATCCTCTTGTTGCTCGTGATAATGATGCCATAAATAAAATATTAGTTATTGAATCGTTTAGAAATGTTTTTGCTACCGAGCCGCCATTTGCCATAGTGGGATCGGTGAAACAAAAACGTGAAATAGACAAAAGCAAGAGAAGAAAATTCGAGACTTTTGATGATAAGCTCTTTACCTTGCATGATCAACTTCTGTCGGAAGAAAGTGCCTTAGAGAGCAGCACTGATTCTGGTGTTGACCTGAAGGAAACTGGGCACAGTCACAGTATTTCGGGTTTATCTGACACGGCATCTATGAAAGCTGCAGTGTTTGATGCTGACGAAATGCAATCGCAGAATATTTACAGTGCAGTTGAAGAAATCAATACAGAAACCAAATTGCCTGTAAATGAGCGTGAAACTAAATTTGATCGAAAAAGTAAGGATAAATTAGTTGAATATGAGCATTCTCTACCAGAACAATCAGATTTCAAAATTTTGTCTCAGAAAGAATGCGATATAAAAGTGGCGGAAAAAACTAATGCTTTTGAACGAAAAGAAACTAAAAATGCAATTAAAGGGGAGCCTTTTAAGCCTTCATCAAGGGCGCATTGTCAGCCTTCTACACTTGATTTTATTGAAAATGTCGAAGAGGCAGTGACTAGTGCGACTGAACTAGGCACTAACATTTCGCCGTCACCTGATATTGACGTAATGTATGCTCAAGAAGTATTTCCAATTTCAACCGAAGTCTACAGTGCTGAATCTACTGATGTTAAGTTTGAATCTGATAAAAGTTTGTCCGAAGAAATTGTTGAACAACCTGTTATGTTTGAAAAAGTTAGTTATAGTTATGGTTCTCGTACTCGCTCTGATCAAAACCAAACTAAAATGTCAGCATCTTTCGAGATGGAAGATACTGATAGTTTTTCTGAAGTTTCATCCTTTGGCATAGTCAGGGATATGCCAAGTCCAGCTGATTCTCTAATTTTACAGGAAATAGGGAGTGATAAAATATTTATGGCTGAAGCAACTTTAATACAAGATAATAGAATTCCTTTATCCCTTTCGGAACAAAGTCTCATTTCTAAACTTGAACAAAATCGAGGTGCTGAAATCATTGAAGGTAAGCTGATACATCTCTATTAAAACTTAAAAATTTTTGTCAAAAAATTCCAGAAGTTCAAATTTAAGAAGTTAGCACTCAAACTATCTCTACACTTTTATAAACAAAAATGACTTGGGATTTTTAAGAGAAAAAAATTTTTTTTTCAGAAAATTTAAAATTAATAAAGCGACTTAGACTTGAATATAATTCCTGTCTTGCACTGACCACGACGAGCAAAATCACCAGTGGTAGCTGAATAATATAATTCCTGTGATGTTGAGATAACCCTCGTGGATTTTAGTAGTTTTTCTTCTCAGTGTAACACAAACGCAATCGGATATTTTGTGTCCACTCACAAAATTTTGGATCGCCGGACAAGCTCTGAATTTTTGATTTTGTCCAAAGAAAATTCGATCCCCATTCCGAACAAAATCGGATCACCGGATTTCTAAAGCACTTATAAAATTTGAGGAAAAAAAAGCGTAAAAATGTTTTCAATTTATATTTTTACATTTATATTGCTATTCTAGGTTGCATACAGTGATTAGTTCAAAATTTTATTGAAGCAATTAAAGTTGGCTCATTTTTTTGAAGAAAAATCGTTTTTAATGCAATATTAATATCCTAAAAAATTTTACTAACCTTCTGATAGCAATTTTTTTTTCGTATGTGTACTTCAAACTAAGTAGTATTTCTGTGCCGAAAATAGGAAGGTCATTAAATTGTTTATTAAAGTTGAGAAAAGGTTTTTTGAAGTTTCAGTTCGTTCCACATTTGTTAGTCTAAAAAAACTGAATGTTTACTTTAACACTATCTTTTCACCCAGAGTCAAAAAGATATAGTAAAGAGAATAGACTTTACCATGAACAATTAGTTACCTGCAAGTAACGTCATAGTAGGTCGTAGAAATAAATAAATCGTGGTATTTGTCGATTCAAATGCCAATCTGGTTCGACACACGCGAGACGAAGCTCACAGGTATCCAATTAAATCTGATTTAAATCACATGGTTAGGCCTAGTCACTTCACTTCTTCTCGAGTTGCAAGTACCTAATTTATGCAACATATATTTCTTTTCTTTTTTTTAAACTTTAGGCTTATAAAAGAAACTCGTGGGAATAGTCACTATGATCAAATTATTAGCAGAACACCTATATTTATTTCTTAAAATTCTAATTATTTTGGTTTGTACCCTATGGTATAAAAATACTCTTTAACGCCATGAAATGTGTATGTCTTAATAACTTTCATTAAATCCAAGAATATTCTTTCTATAAATTTAAGTGTTTCCGTTCACTTCACATTTAGTATTTTTCATAGTAAATTTGAAATTCCCGTTAAGATTTGTATTTTTTACATTAAATCAATAATTATTACAATTTTTGTTCATTTTAAATGCACCATTAAATTTAATTCTTGAATATCTCTAAGAAATGCGAGTTTATTTCTCTTATTTTCCAGATAAAACTGACGCAGGTGTAACTGTTTTATCAACACATTTAATCCAAAAAACTACTCATATGACACTCAGTTCAAATGAACCTGAAGATATTAGCTTAGAAGGTATTTTTCATAATTATATATGTTTATGAGGTTGACTTTTGTTATGTTTTTTACTGACTGGTACTCGTTATGTGATATTATGTACTACTACATGTTATGCACTAATGCATGTATGATAACTAATTCATGTTTTGCTCTAATATGTTAACATTTTTGTAACTTTATACAATAGTTTTTGGAAATAAATAAACAATTGTTTGACTCGATGCAAGAACACGCATTGTTAAAATTTTATGGTAGCTCAGTTTTTTACATTTAAAAAAAAATATAGTAAATAATTCTTTTTTTATTTTTCCCATGGTACTGATTCAATGAAAGCTATGTTCTGTCCCATCTCTAAAAAGTTTGTTTTGATTTTTCTTGTTTATAAAAATTAAGATTTTTTTACTTAAGATTTTTTTAATTCTCTTAAACTTTATGCTTTGTTTTTATTAAAACTACTTTTTCTCGAAATTGAATTTTTCGAATTGAATTATAGTGTATTTTTTTTTATACAAGTTAGGTGTAATCATAAAAATTGAGGTGCTGCTAAATTTCTATCGAAAACTGCTAAATATTGGGAGCCAAAATTGCAAGAAATATGCTTTTTAATATTTTTACTGTCCCTTACCACTTTGATATCTCAAAACTACCTTATTCTCTATAATTCAGTACACTATGTATTATTTTCCTTCGATACATAAAATTTTTTAATCAAGTCCACTTTTAAATGCAAAATTTCATCTTTGTATGCACTATTTTTTTAAGCAAGTTTCCATTACTGGAATTGTATTTAAAATTTGAAATCAATGGAAAGAAAATAATTAAAAGATAATGCTGGAAAAATTTTAATAAACATCAAGAAAAGGCGAAATATTTTTACTTAATTCATTTTGAACTATTGAAAAGTTAAATTTATTTATAATAATTATGTGCTTTGTTTAAAGTAATATGAATTTCAACTCTCTGAAAATCATTAAATTTGAACATGGCGATGTATTTTTCTCGTCTGTGATTATTTCAAATTAATTTTCCGTAATAATTTAAATTAACAATGAAGGAAAGTATTAATATCCTTTCTAAATATTATGAAAAACTTTAACAGCATTAAGACATAATTTTTTTTTCCTTTTAGATTCATGTGCACTAATCACATTTTTGTTACAAGCACACTTGATTACTTCAATTCACAGTTTATATCTACTTTGTTACTATATTTTATGCATTTAATATTAATACTGGTTGACTTAAAAACAGGTGGTATCCAAACGTCCGAATCGTTCAGTTCTGATAAGAAAAAACCGAGCTCACCCGGATCGCCAGAATTGAGTTTTGCTGAGAAAAGAGATTTCTTTCAAAAACTTTCTACTTCAACCGTTGCATCCTCTCAAACTTCTAAAGGTACAGTTGCGGTTGAGAATGTAATCGAAACCGAGAGTAAATTCGAAAGCCTCACGTCCGAAGATTCTCACCTATCCGAAAGTCCCGAGGAACAACTTAGCTTTAAGGAACGCTTGGAGTTTTTTGAAAAAACCTCAGAACCGCCAACGCCTAAACCAGAGATAAAGGACATCAAAAAGGAAGTCTGGACAGTCATAAGCGATGCTCCGGAAAAACGGATCGAAACGTCTGCCATCGAAGACTTATCGGATTCGGAGAAGGAGCGAGATTTAGAAATCATGGAAGTTACAGAGAGGAGGAAAAGTACAGTTAGTATTGATTCACAAGCGTCGTTACCATTTTACGAGAGCAGCAAAGACGTAACGGAAACCGTATTTGATTCTAGTAAAGACGCCAAAGTAGAATTGGTTGTAAAAACTTTCGTGCCAGGGTCCGAAATGTTGGAAATATGCTCTCTTGAGAACATTGTACATCCTGATGATGCGTCAGTGAAAAGCGTTGAGATCAAGGAAGTTATACTTCATTCAGATTCATCTAGAGATTTAAAAGATGAAACGGATAAAATAACGCATGAAAAATATCAAAGCGAAACCTCTAGCATTCAGTTTAGTAAAGAACCACCAGAGGGCAAAACAATCGACAAAAGCATTGGAATCACAAAGGTGGATATTCACTCTCCTCCCTCAAAAGATCGAAAGAAAGAAATCACTGTCACTAAAGAAACAATGAAATCTGAAATTAAGAGTGGCATACTGGATGGAGATAGCATGATATCTGAGGGTAAAACTTCTGAAAAATCTGAGGATATCAGAGTAATGGGCACTGCCACAGTTTCATCAGAATCAATTCAAAAAGAGATTACACTGGGTAAGAAGATACAAAAGCGTGATGTAAGTGGTAAAGAGCAAGACAGCATGTCGTCAGTCGCAGATAAATCTGTCGAAAAAGCTATAGAAACTAAACAAACCAACGTTGAGTTAATTCATTCAATAGATTTTGCTCATAATGTTGAAGATTTGCAAGAAGAAGATAGTGAATCTCTGAGACATGATAAAGATAGAAGTGATATTGATTCTGAAAAAAATAAACCACAGTCTATTTTAACAACAAATTTGGGAAAAGAAAGGATCAATGTAGAAACTGTTGAGGTTCATTCAATAGATTTTGTTTATAATGTTGAAGCTTTACAAAAAGAACAAGCTAGTGAATCTTTGGGACATGATAAAGCTAGAAGTGATATTGATTCTGAAAAAGATAAACCACATTCTATTTCAACAACAGATTTGGGAAAAGAAAGGATCCATGCAGAAACTGTTGAGTTTAAAAAACATGGCGATATGACTGATAAAAAATCGCCAAGTTCTGACGAACCTATCAGAATAAAAAGTCAGATAAAAGAGACTTCAATTCAATCGACCATTGTGAAAGAACTAAAATCTGAAAGCTCAGCTGGTTTTTCTGATGCAATTAAATCTCCAGAAAGTAAAGACTCTGCAGATGGAAAAGATAGTAAGTTAAAAGCCGATGATAAAGAAATTAAATCATTCATTTCCAGTTTAGATGAAAAAATTTTATCTGATGAAGAGTTAATAAGTAAGACGTTTAAAACGATGGGTGAGAGCTCGCATGATGTTGCTAAAGCCACAACTGATGCATTTAAAAAAGAGGCAAGTGATACTGAAACTAAGTGGCAGAGAGAATCACCCGATAATATTAATATTGTTAAAGACACAATGGAACCAAGTTTGGGCAAAAGTGAAATATTTATTTGTACTGAAGAAACATTAGATAATGTTAAGAAAATATTATCAGCTGCAGATGCTGAGTCTAATGTTGTAATTCTTGAAAGCGAAGTGACTACCACTGCCATATCTGAAGATAGTTCGAAGTCTGTGAAAACTGAGAAAGAAATAATTATATGCACTGATATTCCAAGTGAAGGCAAATATCAAATCGAAAATGTTAAACAATCTTCTTCTACAATGGAACTTGATTCAAAAAAATCTGAAGGGGCTACACTGAATAAACAAGACTACATCGCTTCAGAAAGTAAAAAATTAGAAGAAATGGAAAAACTAAGAACAACTGAAAAACTTGATGAAAGAATAAAAGAAACCGAAAAACTGGAAGAGACGAGAAACCTAGAAGAAACTGATAAACTAGAAGAAATCAGTAAATTGAAAGAAATCAGTAAATTACAAAAACCTGAAAAATTACAAGAAACAGAAAAATTACAAGAAACAGAAAAATTACAAGAAACAGAAAAATTACAAGAAACTGAAAAATTAAAAGAAACTGAAAAATTAAAAGAAACTGAAAAATTAAAAGAAACTGAACAATTAAAAGAAACTGAACAATTACAAGAAACTGAACAATTACAAGAAACTGAAAAATTAAAACCTGAGAAACAAAAAGAAGCTGAGAAACAAAAAGAAGCTGAGATACAAGAAGAAGCTGAGAAACAAAAAGAAGCTGAGATACAAAAAGAAGCTGAGATACAAAAAGAAGCTGAGATACAAAAAGAAGGTGAAAAACTAAAAGAAGGTGAAAAACTAAAAGAAGCTGAAAAACTAAAAGAAGCTGAAAAACTAAAAGAAGCTGAAAAATTAAAAGAAGCTGAATTATTAAAGGAAGCTGAATTATTAAAGGAAGCTGAATTATTAAAGGAAGCTGAATTATTAAAAGAAGCTGAATTGTTAAAAGAAGCTGAATTGTTAAAAGAAGCTGAATTGTTAAAAGAAGCCGAATTGTTAAAAGAAGCCGAATTGTTAAAAGAAGCTGAATTGTTAAAAGAAGCTGAATTGTTAAAAGAAGCTGAATTGTTAAAAGAAGCTGAATTGTTAAAAGAAGCTGAATTATTAAAAGAAGCTGAAAAACTAGAAGTCACTGCAAAACTGGAAGAAACTGAAAAACTTGAGAAAACTAAAAAAAAATTCACTCGAACTGATGATGCGCGAATAAAGGAAGAAGTATCAAGTTTGGAGATAAAACCTGACGATCTATCTAAGTGCATTATATCTAAAAAGGAAAACATCATAAGCCCAAAAGAGATTGATAGTAAAGAAATTGAAATAATACAAACAGAAAAAGTTAAGATGGAAACTACACTTTTAAAATCTAAAGATACTGTTTCATGTGCTGAAATTACAGAGAGTAGAATAAAAAGTGTCATTCCGAAAGTTAATGTTGAGTCGGAGGTACAATCTGATAAAAATATTTCTTTAGATGTTGATATCAAAGATGAGGAATTATTAAGCAGAGGAAAAGCTGAAATTACCGAGAAAGAAATTAAAATAGTACAGAAAAGATTTGATACTTTTGCATCTGATAAAAATGTTAAAACTGGTATTTCAGCTGAAGAAAAACAACTGTCAGGCCATTCGAAAGAAACTGAAACTGTAATCCAAAAGAAAGTATTAACGGAACAAAATATTGTTACTCCATTTTCGTCTAAAATTGAAATATCTGGCGAATCAGTAATAACTGAGGCAAAAACTGTTATCAAATGCACTACCATAAAAGATGTAGTAATACCAGAACACAGATCAGGAAAGGATGAAGTTGATAAGGAAACCTCTCGGCAAAAAATCGAAAAAGTTTCTTATAAAGAGTGCGCATCAGTTTCTCCTTCTAAAGAAGGAATCAAAGATATTTCTGGCGATAAAGCAGTGACACCGGAATTCATGAGAAATGTTGAAAGCGAAATTGAAGAATATGCTACAGCTACAACGGAATCGAAAAAACATATTTCCTTTGCCGAACCATCTGGTCTGACACTGAACCTGGAACACTCATTAGTTTCCGAGTTATCATCTGAAAACATTAAAGATAAAATCTCTCACCTTGATCAAAGTGAAGAAAAAATTTCCCGCATAGCTGCTGATATTAAAGCTGACAGATCGAAAAAGATTGTAATTACAGAAAATGCTTTTCAAACTCAAGATAGCCATCCCCAGTCAGCTGGAAGTGCAGAAGAAAAATCAGATTCGTGTTTCAGTTCTACAAGAGATCAGTCTGTAGACATCGAATTTTTGCCAGTCCTTGAAGTATCGGATGATATTAGCAATGTAGCTGTTGATGTAACTGGACATGAAGCTTTAGGAACGCCCTGTTCATTCCACAATAAAATGTTCGAAGATAAAGTCACTACTTCGACTGAAACTAAAGCGCATGATCAGTCTGATGTTAAAAAACAATTGGAAAAGGATAGCCCCGTCACGTCTTTACCTGGAGCGGAAGAGAAAGCGGATTTTGAAGATGTTGAAAAACCAAAGAAGGTAAGTCTGGAAGAAATGATGTATAAAGAATCAAGAAGGGGTGAACGTTCCAGAAAAGAGACTGTTCAATCTGTTGAAGTGATGCAAATAAAAGAACACGCTACTGAGGTTTACAACGTTTCTTCAGAAAAACTGAAAGAGAAATTTTCGTCGAAAAACATACAAATCCAAAGCACAACCGAGGGCAAAGAAAAATCGTATACTTCTAAGAGATTCGATCAATTTTTAGATTCCGTTACTCAACAGCAGGAGGAAAGTATTCCTTTACCATCCGAATTAGCGCCAGTTTTAAAACGAACTGAAGAATGGATAGATCAAAGTGGCCAAATCCTGATGAGAGAAGGTTGTATGATGGACAATGAAGACCTGGCTCTCTACGAAGATCGTCCTCCAACTCTGGAAGATGAGCATCACAAAAGAAGTTCTCCTACAGCGGAATCTTTCGATGATAAAGCTAGAATGGAACAGTGTGATACTGATGTGATGATGCAGCTATTGGATTTTGTATCTCGCAACGAGGTGGAATTATCTGAAGTTAGAACTGAAGATGAAGCTCCTGATATTGAAGAAGATGTCTCTCCATCCGGAGAAGAGGAAACTGGCATTAAAATAGGGTTCGAAGAACAAAAACAAGAGGAATCCCATACCAAAGACACTTCTGACAAGGTAGAGAAATCTCAAGAGTGCCTTAAAGTTCTTGAAACCGAAGCATTGCAGCTCTCTCCTCAGCGTTCTTCTTTCGATTCCGTTACTAGTCCATCTAAAAAAGACCAAGAAACCGTAATTGAAGTTGAATCTCAAGAACAAATTACTCAAAGTGTCCGTGCAAAAGAGAAAATGTACCCCCAGTCGTCTTTGGAAGTTGAAGTTGGCAGTCATGATAGCGAAGAGTTTCTAGGTGGTGACCTAGATAGAGAAATCACTCCTCTTTCATTCGTTGAAGAGGAAGATAGTAAATTAATAAATTCCTCCGTCAATGATCATATCTCTAAAAGAAGTTGTTCAGATGTGCGCCCATTAGAAGTTCCTCGGAAATTAATGAACGGTTCTGCTGTAATAGGTATCCTTTTCTTAAGATGCATATTGCAGCTTCTTTTGAGCTTTGTTTCTTCGTCGTTTTTTCATTCCAGTATCAGTTTTTTTTTATTTAGTTTGCTGCCAAATCAAAGATACATTTTAATATTAGTGAATAGTTTTTTTTTAATTTTTTCGTCTCTAGGTGTTATGGTTGTTGCTACTTTGTCATATTAGAGTTTTAGAAAACTCGAGGACTTGTGTGTCACATCTTGCCAAACCCAGAAAAGTTTTAAAATAAGGCCAAAAAGCAATTTAATGAATGAAGTAGTTTTTGTAACAGTTTCATTACCCATCCAATATTTTTTTCCAATATTTGACATTTATGTTTTAATGAGAAGATTTTTCATTATTTTCTCGTAACGCCTTGGTGTTGTCTTGGCAAGGTTTGATTAGCTAAACCTCGATTGCATTCATAATTTATGTTTTCAATAAACTGCTCTTCCTTGGTTGCTTTTTTTATTTATTTGTTTATTCATTCTTTTAGATTTTTATTTACTTTATACATATTTTCATTACTTTTTTAATTTGGAATGTGATTGAATTATAGCTTTTATTTGCTTCGATGTTAAAAAAGTTATAAGATATTCTTATAAATTAATTTCGCTGCAAAGAAGGGAACAAATGTAAAATACATAAACAAAAATAAATACTTTCAAATTAGAAACTACAGTATTTGTGACCAATATAGCCGTTGTTTGAATAAATTCTTTGTAAAACACCATTTATGATAATTAGAGATTGTATCTCTATAAATTATTACCATAATTATTTATAATAACCACATCTAGTAATTAAAGTAATTATTATGGTAATCCTAAACTAATGTAGCATTTGCATCGCTACGGTTTTTGTGAAATACCATTGTTGACAATGAACATATAATAGATGTGATGAGGAAGAAAAACTGAGTTTATATATTATGGTGTTTGTTCCCTTTAAATTGCTGATTCAATTGTGGAATTGAAACATTTTCAAAACTAATTTGCATGTTAATTTTGATATTAGAAAACAAATGGCATTATGTTGCTGGTTATAATCAACAATTAAAATCTTATTGCTTTCCTTGCAATTATTTAATTCTTCTCGGTTTAATTAAAATGGCGTTTAATTACATTAAAATTTTAACAAATTTTAATGTAATTGGAACATAAAATTAGGTCTTAATTTTAAGTCCTAATTTCAAGTCTTAATTACATAATTATGACTTAAGATTAGGATTGAAGTATTAGGACTTAAAATTTGTTAAAATTTAGGACTTAGAATTAGGACTTAAAATTTGTTAAAATTTTAAGTCCTAATTCTAACAATAAACCTGGAGTAGGGAAAATAAAATTTCAGACTTGAGTGTTTACTTTATTGTGGATTTTACAAAATTACTGTACATTTTTACAGCTTCTGATCTCAAGCAAGATGTGACTGTTCCCAAACTACAAACTGATGAACAGATTGATTTTGCACAATCTAAGGAACCATTTGTTTCATCTTCCAGTCCGATTTTAGCAGATTCCAAAGTTATCGAACAAAGTCAAACTGTTGTAGAGACGGTCAGTTCCTCATATAAAAATGGAGACGTCAAAGTGACAACTGCATCCATTACTATTAAATCTGCTCATGCTCCCGAAGCTGATATTTCAGACAAGATTACAAAATCTGATATTTCCGAATCGGTTGGAAAAATTGTATCAGGTAAGCAAATTTTTGTTCCGTACTTCAAAAGCAAGAGTTTTCTAACCTGATTTAGAAACTTTGAGATTTGTGAAAAAATTTTATAATTTAAGATATCAGACTGGGTAAAAATAGGCAATTTCGAAGAAAATTATGATTTTTTTTTATAATCCGTAATTGAACTTAAGTTAAGAAAGAATTAGAAATATATTTCGAGTTATTAATTTCTTTACTCTCTGAATTTTTTTGTATTTTGAATGCATTTTCTGAAGAGCGTTGATTTTTACATATTATAGAAAAGAAATCATTTAAGAATGCTTTGAAATTTTGCATGTAGTTTTTGTATATTTTTAGCGACGTTTTGAAGAAAAAGATAAAGACTAAGAGTGAATGTTATTTTTATCAAGCTTTGCGTAAGAATATTTCGAATTTTTTAAAAAAAAATCAATATTAAACAATATAATTAGTTTTTTTTCATTGTATTTTGGAATTTTGCTTCTAATATTTGCTTAAAACATAGGTAATTACATTATCGATTTAGTAGAAAATTACTTTGGAATTTATACATTGCAATTTGTTGTACAGCTGTTTGCGTGAAAGTGAAAAAGTTTAGTTTCTAAATTCTAAATTTCCCTTATTTACAAAAATATTTTAAAAATTTTTAAATTTAACTTTACCTTTATAGTCTTAGGATTTAATTTTTAATTTAGATTTTAGACTTAACAAACATAAAATTAAGATTTTGACTAAGCTTATTTTTAAAAAAAATTGTTTTAAAAATAGTCGGATACATTAAATAAAGTAATAATAATTATTAATAAGTAATTTAGTAATGATAATTATTACGATTTTTGAAATCAAACAAATCTATTAATCAACAGAAAGCACAAATTCACTTATTCAAACAAATCATAGCGCGTCATGTGACGTGCTCGATATATTATTTTTAGAACAATAATCTTTAAAGGATAAAATATCAAAAAATGCAATAATTTTTTTCTCTTTCATTTTTTGAAAAATTGTTCCCCCTTTAAACCTTTGACGCAGAATTTTTATTAAACCTATTTTTCATACTTTTTTGTCTTAATTTTGGTCTAAATAAGTTTAAAATGTTATATTCAGCATTTTATTCATTTATGGCTATAAAATACAACGTGAGAGACTGAAACTTAGTATATACCTATATAGCTGTCAAAATGACTCCAAAAGCAGTCAAAATGACTGTATTGTGAAAGAATAATTAATGTGTAAAGAAATTTGTTTAATTAATTTTTAATATTTTTTGTATTATTTACAGTTATATAGTAAATATTAACAATTAAAAAAAATTACCTCACTTGGAAAAAAAATTATGCATCATTATTTGTACATTTTTTGCAAATGAAAAAGTAGTCAAAACGACTTCCTTGGGTAATCTAGTGCTAAAGGTAAAATCTTCCAAAAATGGCTCACTTCCGACAATAATTTTTCACAGTTGAACTTATTATTCGTTGTATAAATCTAAGTGAAACAGTTATTAGTCTTTAAAATTTCTTTAATATTCAAAATCAGTTATTAATACATTTTTGAATATGAATGGAAATTACTACTTTTATGAACTATAATATATTATCTCAAAATTCTAATAAGAGCTTTTGTTCAAATTTGTATTTCAAAAGGTGAGTACAATTATTATAATATTTTATAAAGCTTTAAAATTAAATGATAAACTGCTTTATTATTGCTTAAATTTTTAAAAATCATTGTTTGTATATTAAGCTTGAGTATTACTAACACAAATTAATAGCTACGATTGTGCACGTCGTGTGTATTTGAAATATTGTTTGCTTGACTGCTTTTATCTGTATGTATGTATGTACTGTTTGCCTACGAGAAATTGAGCTCATAATCCTAAATATTAATTTAAGAAATTAATTTGAACTTTCTTAAAAGTAGATTATCACTTTAAAAATACACATTGGACTAATTTTTCAAGCAATTAAAATGGCAAGTAAATCAAATTAAATTTTAATAAAGAATGCCAATTGATTGCAAAATGATTGCAAATTGATGCAATTTTGAAGCAAAATTATATCCTAAATAATAAAGTAATGGTAATTTTTGTACTATTTAAATTGGTTATCAATTTAATGGAGAAAAGAACAATAGTTGTAACTTTGAAATAATCATAGTTCTGAATTTTTTAAGTAAATAATGCAATTGTCTCTAATACTGAACAATTTAATTACTTGTGATATAAAAACTGAAAAGAAACATGGTAGTTCATGAATTAAAAATCAGCTGGAAGTACCAAACGTTCACGAAACATCGAATTTAAAATAATATTTTGAAGACTGTAAGCAGTCAGCTACTAGGTTTTACTGAAATAAATATACTACAAAGAACTTTTCAGAAGTTACAACAATTCTGCATAGTATACAAAATTGTGTTCTCAAACTCTATATAAAATGACTAAAGCAATCGGTTAATAAAACGTTCTTGTGGGAAATACGTGGAATATAGATATGAAAATCTGGTAATTTCATTAATTTTTTAATATTGAAACACTATTTTAAAATTTTTATTTAAAAGCTTTGTTTTAGGCATGGAATTTTATGAATGCTTATTTATGTATAAGCACTCCTTTACACAAACAAAATTTTGTCGGAATCGGGGGGGGAGAGTGATTTTTTTCACATAAATGTAGAATATACAACTCCAGCCTACTACGATGATCTTTTCACCTTTTTCATGAGATTTATTATCGACTTTTTTTCTTTAGTTAAATCTTTGTTCTTTTATTTCCTTGAAGTTTTGCCATTTCTGCTGGCTTTTGTGCCATCAAATAAATAAAACATTTATTTTAAAACCAATATGAGAATTTCAGCTGACTTTATTTTGAATCCTATTAAGAGAAAGGTTTAAACCAACTATTTCAGAATTTAATCTATATCGAGCTCTTTTTCTGCATGAAATTACAACTAATAGCTTAAGGCTTTCATTTGAATGAAATTGCTTACGTTTAAATGATTTACAGTTTGTTTGAGCATGTGTGTACCCATTAATAACCTGCTTATTGTTTTACTAACATTTTAGAGCATGGTGAAAAATTGCAAATGGAAAGTGTTTTGAAGTCCGAACAAATGCTAACCGAATCAGAGTTAAAGCCTGAGCTTGACTTAAAATCTAAACCCGAAGCATCTGATAGCAGCTTTGTACCTTGTGCGTTTGTTAACACTGCCTTCGCCGGTGCTGAGCTAATAGATGAGGTTGAACAAGTTGCTTCGATGCGCTCTCGTAGTCCGTATGAAGTAGTACGAGATGGTCAAATTGTAACATCTAGCACTACCTCCCATACAGAAGAACAAACTAGTGATATCCCCGCATCAATTGTAAGATCTACCTTCGTTACCCGCTCAACAGAAATAATCAGAAGACCTTTATTACAGCACATCCCATCTGAGATATCTGAAGAAGATCTAGTTGAGAGAGAAATAAGCTCTCCAATAACAAAAGAATATTTTGAAGAATTTTCTCGTTCCACTGGCGGTCAAAAGTCAGAACCCTTGCAATCTGCTGAATCAAGCACGGCGGATTATAAACTTTCACACTCTGCAACTGAACAAATAACAAGCCATTCCTCTGAGGCGGCATTTATGGATAGCTCCAAGACATCAAAATCTCAATCAATTGTTAGAACTAGCACCGTTACTCAAGTCTCTAGTACCATATCATCTGAAGGTAAAATTGAGGGTACCCTTGAATCTGATACTGGTATTCCATCTAGTCCGTTCGAGTTAATAAGTGAGAGTGAAATAAGTGATAAAGAAACTAGAAGTGGAACCCTCCCATTGTCTTTAACCATGCCAAAAAGTGATGAGGCAGATAAATCTCCGGATTCCGTGATAATGAGCGCTAGTTTTACCGATAAAACTTTCTCAGCTGATGGTGTGGCCCAAAAAGATTCGAGTGAAAGTTGTACATTGAACGAGGGAAAGAAAGATTACCAAATTAAATCAGTTGAATATGTACTAAATGGACCTGGAGAAGTTGAATATACGGCAGAATATGACGATGGAGATGAGTACGGTGTGACAAAAAGCTCATCCAAATTTTACGCTTTCGAAGAATCAATCACTGATGGCAAAACTTTTCATGAATCCGTGGAATCTGAAGAAGTTAAGAAAAGTCACTACAGCAGTGTTTCTGATGATGTAGCTGATGCTGAAATAGGTGAAATTTTAAAATCGGATCATCAAATGGAGGATATTATTGAAAGACCAGTGACGCCCGAACCTCCAGTTGACGATTTTTCAGGTAGCGGATTTATACGAAGTTTTGATGCAAAAGAACCAATTTCGGAATTTCTGGAACAGGAAGTTGATGAAGAAGCTGATTATTCATTATCTGCTGATGGCGAGCAAGCAGTTTCGTCACCTCCTCTTAGTCCTGACGATAGCAAGTCTGGGTTTGCCTATGGAATGCAATTCGAGAAAGATATTCTTGATCTACCAGATGAAGCAATGGATGTTGATAGCGATCAACTGAGTGAAGAGAAAGAATCCATGTTTTCGTATGGTATGCGATTTGAACAAGATCATGATCTCGAAGAAGATATTCCGTGTTATGGTGATTTATATACGCATGAAGAGGTCGATGAAGATGCGCTGGAAAACGGCGAGAAGAGTAAAATTATTCCGAAGTATAAGAAAGATCCAGAATTTGATATATTGGCAGGAAAGAAATATTTTTCAAAAAATGTTGATCTAGATGAAATGTCTACGTCTTCTCTTCAAGAATTTGAAAGGTTGGAAGCTGAAATTGTATCAGGTAGGAAATCCAGTATTGGCTCCATTGATTCGTTAAATGGAAAATTGACAGTAAGTAAAAGTGGTGATCACGATGATGTCTCAATGAGCTCTTTGACGGAGTTTGAGCGACTTGAGAAAGAATGCATTGAAACTGATAAAATACCACCCGAAATGCAAGAAAGCATTACTCAATTATCTGAAATTGAAGAAGGCCACGAAAGCCAGGCATCTGAAACCAGTCAGGAAAATAAATCGGATGCTGCTAGAGAGGAAGATATGAGCATTGCAGATGAATACGATGCCCATTTCGACAATATCGAAGAAATCATATTAAAATCAGAAAAAGTTGTTAAAGATGAACTACCTTATCAAATATTAATAAAACAAGCTCAAAAACCTGTAGATGCTAGTTTAGATCAGGGCATGCTTCCTCACAAAGTTACTGAAACTACTAAGCTTTCTAATATTGAAACAAAAATTACAACAGTTCATACTAATAAGATTTCTCTCAAATCAACAGATCGAGACTCAAGGGAAGATAAATCCGAGGACATAGAGCAAGATTCATTGCGCGAAGAGTTCTCTTTAAAACCAGACTCTCTTACGGAAGATAGACAAGAATACTTAGATTCCTTGCATGAAGGCAAATGCGATGACGTAGATTCACTTCAAGGTGATGAAATGAGAGATTCGCTGTTTGAAGACAGACACCTTGAAGATGATTCACTTCATGAAATGGACATTTTACCAGATGAATCGTCATTATCTCTGGAAAGTAGTTTCGCAGCTGCCATGTCTCATGATTCAAGTAAAGCAGACGAGATGAGATCTAAGTTACCGGAAGTGGGCGAAACTACTGTAATCAAGCATTTAACAACAAATTTAAAAGGAGAAAGAACAGAAATCGTAGTTACTGAGATACCGAATAGAGATGTAATGCTATCGAGTACTGATTCTTTAGAGCAAAGTAGTTCAGCCGCTGCTGCTTTTCATTTAGAAAGTGAATCAGCCATGTCTACTAGTTTAACCAGTGCCTTGATGTCTGAAGACAATACAATGGTTTCCAGCACTGATACACTTGAGCAGGAAGGGCGTATTACTTTCAGATATGAAGACATTCCAGTTGATGAATTAGAAATTCTAGTAAAAGATGGACGGAAAGTGATTGTCGACTCAGAAGGCAATATACAGACAGAATATAATGTTGAGCATTTCTTAGCGTCCGAAGATAATATGAATGATTTCAACATAGGCTCAAAAGACAAAATTGGAGCAAACTTGCCATCTGCTAGCACCACCCAAGTATATACTACTAGAACAACGAGCTACGCGAGTCAGCCTAAAGAAATACAACAATATCGTATTTATAAATCAATGCCAGATGAAAGTGAACCAGAAGAGGATAGGTACGAATCTTCGCAAGCTGAACCTGATATTGAAATCGAAGAAATTCATACAACTGATGAATTTGGGAATCCTAGAACTATAAAGAAAATGAAAAAAGTAATTCATACAAAAACTCAGTTTTCCTCGTCTTCTTCCTCGAACAATGTGGAAGAAAAATTGAAGGAATTTCTGAGAGAACATGCAGCAGGAGAAACAGCAGGTTTAGGCGAAGAGGAGGTACAGGAAGAGAGGTCTTTTGATGAAAAAGGAAATGTTGTTCTAGTGCGAACTGTACAACAAAAAATTCTTACTGAACCTGAAGTACATTCCAGAACTTTCACTGGTCCTGAAGCTGATACCTTATCACAAGAATTTGTCGACAGATTTAAAAGTTTTGACCCATCTGACGATACTACAGAATTCGAAAAAGTAGACGAACAAGGCAATGTCATCAGAGTGACTAAACAAGTGATAATCAAACCAGAAGTCCACTCTGTTTCTTTTAGTGGACCAAACGCTCATCAACAAATGGAAGAATACATGAAGCAGTGGAATTCTCGAAATGGGGATGGAGCATCTTCTCATTTTTCTTCACACATCAAAGTTTCTAGAACAGCAGAAGAGTGCCAGGAACTTATTCCATCAGGTATATGCATGTTTTTTGCTTCAAAATTGCTTTTTTGTCTTATACGTTGAATGTGCTTTTACAAAACTGCTGATCTTTTGTTTTTTTACTAACTCATGTTAATTAAAAAGCGTNTCTCTCTCTCTCTCTAACTTCTATATATATATATATATATATATTCATTTCCTTCATATTTTCCTATGCTTTCGAAAATAAATTTCTTCATATGTCGTAAGGAAGATACAGCTCTTCAGGAAAATTTTAAATGATTAAATGACTTGTATTACGCAATCACATTTTTCATTTCATTTTAGTATACTGTGTAAAACATAAGATGACATAAATGAAGTTATATCATGTATGACGCCAAACTATGCGAAACGTTATATTAAATCTTTCGAACATAAAGGATTTCGTTGATTATATTAAATTTTTTGATGATTTTTCAGCAAATAATTTAACTTAAAACCGGATGTGTGCTTAAGTAAAATTATCTATTTTAATAACTTACTGCGTTTTTGTCACCTATAAACACTAGTAGTACATTATTCCTATTTGTTTGTACAATTAAAACAAGTACACTTCGCTACTATCGTATGTTTAAACAAATGGAAAAACTGCTTTTAAATTATTTTATTTTAATATTTTTCCTAACAGTATTTAGACATTTTTTGCTCTGAAATGCATTCTATTTTAGATTGCTCTGTTTTTTTCAACGCAAGGCAAATTTATAAACGTAAAATTAAAAATTTTATTCAAGTATATTTTTATGCGCTTTTTCCGAAGGTGTTTTTTTATAAAAAATAAAACACCCTACGAGTTATCTGCTTTTCCATTTAAATGGGTATTTTCGTGTCGGTATTATGTATAACTGTCTATAAACTGCAATATTAGTATTATTAACACTTAAATTTTAAGCATTTTATTATACTTTAGGTGATACGGAAGTCAAAGAAACTATTTCTGCAGAAGCTGCCAAAACGTAAGTTTCAAATGATATAAATTTATATATAAGCGTATATTGTATAATTTTCAAAACGTGTTATATATGTGTGTGTGTGTGTGAGTGAGAGACTTTCCATGCATGCATTTTATACCTGTGCGAAATATTCCCCATTTTATATTTTATCTATCAATTTTAGGCAATGTGTACAATGACTAAGGCATTCTATAAAAGACCAAATTTCCTACAACATTTTTTCTGTTCTATATTGTAAAATATTTTCTTAAAATTACAATCGTTTTAATGGATTTTACAAAGTGTTATGTAATCACTACCCTAAATGTTTAAAACGATAGATGAAAAGATAGGTAATATTGGGCAATATCTTTAACTTTAAAAAAAAAAACAGTTAAGGGAATCCTAATGTGGCGCAAGACTTATAGACATTACACCAAAGAAGAGTTATTTCTGCATTACCTCAATATTGTATTACCTTAACGATGTTTTCAACGACGAACGGGAAAAACAGACTAGAATTTAACCGATTAGGATTGATTTTCTCTACTTTATCTGGTGAAATCTAGGTGCTTTTTCTGTAACTCCGTAATGCAATATGCATCTTTCATTTCGTAAGCTAGACTCCAATATTATGGGTAATATCACATGATAAAAATTATCGGAAGCGAAATCGGCAAGTCGACCGTTAAGTGCAATTGTATCTTCCACTGTTTCTCGAAAATCTTCGTGTGATATAGAAATCACGGTTGCCCGAAATATGAGCAACTGTTTATCTACGCTGAGAGAAAAATTTCCTATACATAAGAGCAACTCATTTTTGAACCAATCAGATGGTTTGCTTTTTATGACGTTTCAGTTCTATGAGATGACATTTACAATTGTAAATAAAAATGGCGGAGACGTTGATGAAGAGGATGATAGAATGAAATTTTGAGTTAATCCATTAAATTATTTAAGTTAATACATAAAATTAAGGATGTCTATTTTAGAGCGTCCGTGAGTTACTTTGCCTTCCTTTACAAACATCGATGAGAAAATATGAGATAATAGCCTCACATGAAAAAAATAATAACCAAAAGTTAAGACAAGTACCAAAAAATGGTAACCATAGGCAACTTCGAACGGTGAAAGAGACTTTAGAGTGGAGGTTACGTTTATGGTTACTCTTATTTTTCTCTCGTGTGATATCCATATTACTCAATGATATTTTAGCATTTGTTTTGGCTGGATATTTCCAGAATTAACTAGAAAAAATATTGTGTACACTATATAGTTACCATTTATCGATATTTTATCTGTTTATACCTTTTTATTTTGTAGGCTAGAGTCAACTACTCCTCACACTTCAGAGCAAACAGTAACTCACACAACAACTATTATTTCTTCACATTCTGAGTCAGGTGAGCAGACTTCCAGTGGATCTGGAGATAAAGGTGCATCATCTGCCGTAGAATAACTGTTAAAGTACTAAAAATAAAAAAAAACTCGACCAAAATCACTGTCCATTAAAGTGCCGAAGCCGTTAGAATTAGCTTGGTTTTAAACTTGCTTGGAAATCGCATTATTTAAACGAAAAAAGTTTAAAAAGTTTGTTCTTAATAATTATCCATTTATTTCAAATGTAACATATGAAGTGGTTCTGTGGCTACACCGTGAGCTGTCGCCAGTTTTCGTTCCTGTGCTTCTATATACTGCATCTGTGCCATATACATTATTTAATTATGCGGTTTGCCATTTTGTCTTCATGATTCTCAGTTCCAAGGCTTTCAAAGAATTAAGAACACTAGGAGGAAGAAGATTAGTTGGCGTGGCCTTGGGGAATAGTTTCGATCTTTATGATTCGCGGTTATTCAAAGTCGTCTGGGGTTGCCTGCCGTTTATTTCGTATTATCTTCGATTCTACGTAGCTAGGTTGTGTAAAGGTGTACAGTATCAAAAAAAAAAGACATTGGTTACGTTCTTTTAAAATAAAGTGCCCTTCTTGAACAAATATTTATTGCTATTGTTTATTTCGAATTAAAATAGGTCACTTTTCAAATTTAATTGAATTATTATTAAATGCGAATTTCTCTTGTGAACTGTGAGTGTAATGAGTACGAGAGATGCATGCACGGAAGATTTATGCATCTTCCATCTCGCCTGGGATAAGGGTAAAAAAAAATAAACTCTGTGAATGATATAATGCAAGTGAAAGGCTTCTCTACTATTAGCATTGCAGTTCTAAATTTTGTGTATTCATGTTTGTCCATTTTTGAAAAAGCTTCTGGTGACTCTTAAGAAAAACAAAAGCACAAAATATATTAATTTAGTGTATTTAGTATTCACTCTTCATGTGAAGAACTTGCCTTTATACATTGTAAATTAAATTATTCTTATCAATACTTGCGAAGGAAATGCATTTACCCTTCATTTTATTCCATTGATTTAGTTCGTATATCAGAAGAATTAAAAGCTCAGTAGTAACTATTGATTTTTTTATTTCATTTTACACATAAAAAAGGCTGTCATCTCAATGAAGAACTATGCTTCCTGTTTTTTTATTTAACAGTCATATAATGAGCAAGAAACGCTCATTTTTGAGCAAGAAACACTCATAATTGAACAAGAAACGCTCATTGTTGAGCAAGAAATGTTCATTTTTTAGTAAGAAGCGCTCAACATTGAGTAAGAAGAGCTCAATATTGAGCAAGTAACGCTCGCAAGAAATGCTCATTATTAAGCAAGATAAGTTCATTATTGAGCAAGAAAATCTTATTAAAAAAAGATGAGCTCATTAGTGATTAAATGTTATTTTTATTAAAATTTAATACATTATAAATTAATACGTTATAACGTTGTTAATACGTTAGTAATGTGTAATAAGAAATTTTATACGTTGTACGCTTTACTTTTAGCAGAAAGTCAAATTTTCTTGTTTTTTATTTATTAGAAGCAGCTATGTGTTATTAAACAAGAAAAGCTAATTATTATGTAAGAAAATCTCACTATTGAGCAATGAAATATGGCTATTGAGTTTCATGTTTCTTAGATTTTAATTTGTATTAAATGCTTTAATTTTAACGAAAAGTCATGCTTTCTATTTCTCAATTTTACTTCTTAGAATCATCTACACATGAAATGCAAAGATTTAAACAATAAAGATATATATTTTAATAAATTAGAGTATGGTTTTATTTATTAAATATTTATTTTACTCTATTGCTTTTTAACATTTAATAATATTTTTGTCCAAGATTCATACAATTTTTTTTTTAAATTTTAATATCGATTGTTGTAATAAGTTGAGTCATAAAATAGTTATGAGCATTCTTTTCTAATTTATAGTCGCTTTTTAACATATTTGATTATTTAACATTTTTGTTTAAAATGTAAGCAATATTAAAATAGAGAATATTTTGAAGTCCCATGTTAAGTGCGTATTATTTCAGAGCTTGTAAAAACTAGTATTATTTTATACTTAATTTAAAATCAGAAAATATGCCATGAGTTGTTAATTATGTTATTATTATAAAAATTTATTTACATCATTTCAACATTGCTAATATTATATTATTGAAAAGTTAACTTTTAAGCTATTTTACGAGTATGTAAAATTTATTTTCTGTAGAAATAAGAAGAGTAGTATTATTTTGCTATATAAAATATTTTGTACATAAAACTAATTCGAAATGTTTGATTGCATGGTAGTACTACTATATTGAAAGAAATGATTGAGATTTGTACTTAACCTTCATGAATATATCTGCAATACTGTCTGAAGCCAATACTGGAGAATTATTTTTGTGATGTGGGAAATTGAGCGTAAAAGCTGAGTTATAATTTCTCAATTAAATGTGTGATTATATTTAAATGTTTTATCAAAACAATCATATTGAAAGTCTGTGGAAAGCTATGTTTTTTGTTCAAACTCATAACAAACAATAATCTATAAAAAAATCGTGGAATCCTGTTCCAAACTAATTCATGTTTGAGTGTACTTTTACTGATTAAAAATATTCAGTGTTAAAATGAATTCTTTTGCGCCTTCACTCATCTGGTTCATAGCTTGTGATGCGCACTTATAACTTGAACATTCTATAGCGAAGTGTATTATAAATTTCAATAAATACAGCTTATTTATAATTCTGTTTCTGTTTTCATCTTGTATTGTGTCACTGTTTGGAAATTCTTTTCCTTCGGGGGATTCCTCGTTCTAGGGAAAGCCGGGATAGCCTGCCTGGTAGGGCATTGGTGCCATGTCCGGGAAGTCGTGAGTTCGATCTCGTGTACAAAAGGCTGACTGGTGCACGCTAAACCTGACGAGGTCACAAAGCCTTGCAAGTTCCCATAACAAATCAATACCTCTGAGCTTACTGGATCGGAGATTGATCGTGCTCTGGTTCAGTTCAAAATTTCGGTCTGCGGATAGATAGATGGTGTGTGAATGTATCCTCCTTATAAAACGGGATGTGACGTGTGTATGTTGTCTCCGGATTATCCTCAGAGATGTTTCTCAGACCGTCTCTAATAGCCCAGTATGCGACGTAAATAAAACTATCACACCGTACCTCGTTCCAGAACCTGATCTAGAAATGTGGGGACACAACTGTCAGGTGCTTTCGTAACTTTATACCAAGTTTACTTATTTATAAAGTGCCTTTAAATTATTTATAACAGGAGTAAATCACGATATATTTAGTGTGTAGTAAATTTGAGCTTATATTTATTACAATTTTTGTTAACTCACAAGTCCAATGGAAGATTCTTGAGGAAAAACACTAAATCATTTGTAACATTTAGGGGACCCCCAGAAATTTGTTTTCCCCCAATCCTGGACCAATCAACTCTTATAAATCAGTATCTGCCTCGTTCTCCAGGCTTTCCCAGTAACTATATATTCTTTTTTTCTGCATCAGGTATATTTTATAGCGCCGTTAATTCTGTTTACTTTTTCTAAACGCAATCAAACTAGACTAATCTTTCTTGGATATTTAAGTTTTTTTTTTTAAATTTCTTGCACAATATTACCCACATGAAACATTTTCGAGTATATTATTAGAGTTAAGGAAATTAAATGTTACAAGATTGAAAAAAAAACTTTACAATTTTTAAAAGAGATCTAGGTATTACAGTAAAAAATTGATGTTTATTTGAAAAAATACCCATACTATGTTTCGCAGAAAGTTTTACGTCATGGTAAATGATACTTGAAAATCCACTTTTAGGTGGTATACGGGTGGATAATTGAATATCTTTTATACGGGCAAAACATTTTTTCCGGTGTATTTGTTTATGGTGATTCTAATAAGATTATGTACGAAACTAAGCAACCAATAGCTCGGGGAAACAAATTTTTCGTTGATTTTATGCTAATACTTGATATTGCCTAATCCAGGTGGGGGAATTTCAAATCTGAAATTAGCTTCGCTCCTAAAGCAACAGAATTGATTTAAACGACATTTTTAGTATTTTTTTTTTGTCGAAATGTTCAAGTTTAAAAACATTATATATAATAAGGGGTCGCATAAATGTGGCGACTAGCTTTTAAGAGCGTTGGGACTTATCATCAGGATTAAAATTTTATGGAAATTCATACCCAGAAATGTCATATGTGGCTGGGGCGCTGACCTATTTATTTCCTGTTGAAAAGCACACGAAGAGACAATTCATAATGGAGATGTGCCCCCAGTGGCGTATGACAGCATCTACGAGCATTGGTTTCTATGCAATTTTTTATTCTGATGATGTGTCTTAACTCTCCTAGAAGTTTGTAGCAACTTTTACTCCACCCAAGGTTAATAACTCAATGTATAATGTTTTTAAACTCTTACACTTCTACAAAAATATTTCAACAAAAACTGTAGTTTGCAGCGAGAAACAGATTGTAGATATGAAATTAGTGATACAAAAGTATCTAAGATCTGCTAAAAAACACATGCAACAAAAAATAGTTCTTCAGTGTAATTTAGAAATTAAAATTACATACGTTTGACTTACGCATCGCCTATTTACGCATCTGGCATTGCAATTAAGACAATGTATTTGCTTCTTGTGTTTCTTTTTTCAAAGAATAAACCAAATGACACCTAACAAAAGTGAATGGAAATAATAATTCAGGAGTTTTTATTTATATATTTTTGTTATCTAATGACTCTTTTGATAGCTATAACTTGTATGAACTTGTATGTGGGATTAAAAGTAATTTTTTATTAATTATGGATACGATAATTTTTGTCTAATGTCTTTAAAAAAATTGCTGTTTATAGATTTTTATGTTATCACCCGTAAGTATATTTTAAAATAGCTGTCTGATTTCAAATACAGATGAGTGTCTTACTTTAGGCTGATAACTTTTTTTTCTTATTGTATTTTTTGTTTGTAATAGATCAAATTTTAATTGAAATATAGTATAGAGCTATATAGTGTTAAAGAATTACGGAATTTCCTTAGCAAAAGTGGCATTTCATGTAGCTCCAGAAAGGTTTAGTTAAAATTGTTACTATTCTCACCATGTATAATAGGATTTGCCAATCGAAAAGGCACTGAACTTCAAGCATCGAGTTTTCATATTTATATGGATTAAATGTCATTTTCAAGTTTGACTCTGTCATAAAAACCTAATTTTTCCAACAAATTTTATTTAAAAAAATTTTAGACTACGGCAATATGAATTCCTTAACTTTTGGGCATTATTAACTATTAATACAGAATGTTCCATATTGATCGTTCTAAATATATATTCTTAGCAGTTTAGTTAAAAAAAAAATAAACTATTAAGAGACAATGCTATCAAAACCTGAGGAATCAGTTCTTCAGAAACCGGGATTAAAATCTTCAAAAACCATCTTAGGGAAGAAAGTATTTTATCTCCGTTTTGGATAGATTAAACTGGTTGTTGAAAAGTTTAACTCCTCCTTGTAAGAATAATCGGAAAGAAGAAAAAAAATTGTAATTTTAGTTCGTTTTCTACAATGATTCTATGAAAATTATATATAGACGGGCCTCCATATATATTATGAACTAGCAGAAAAATAGTTAAGCTTTTTTGAATAAAAATCTTTTATTTTCGTTTTATTTATGTTTAAAAATATTCTTTTGGAACCAACCAGATTTTCCAGCATTCTTCGTCTTCAGATCAGGTGAAGAGGGACAACTTTTGTGAGATGATTGAACAGGTAATGCACTAGTATCCTCACAAGTCAAAAGTAAACTCTGTCTACAAAGGTGAGTTACCGTACTCATGTCTTTCTTACGTTTGCTCTTTTTTAACCTGAGGAGACTTGATGGCATTTTGAAATCGTGACTTAGGACTGACTTAAACAGTGATGAATTCGATAATGATTTTGAAGGTTTCAAGTTGTGTTTTTCCTCTACTTGATTGTCACTTTTTTGAGGTTCCAAATTTCTTTTTGGCATTCGCAACTCTTGGCAGTTTGCCCCTGCCCTTAACATAACAATGTTAGCGGAGTCCATTGAACTACAAGATGCAACATCGTCATCTTGTGCAACATGTTGCAATTGTCTTTGTTGATCTGTTTCTGCTGCTTTCCTATATTTTACCTCATTCTGTAATTTTTCCATTTCATCATCATTTCCTAACCTAGTTATACACTCTGTTGGCAATCCCGGTGGTAGGCTTAACGATGTCTGGGACGATATAAACTCTTCCTTTGCTCTTCTCAATGCCTCGGCACGAGCAATAGCTAAAGGACTGGAAGGAGGACTCTTAGAGACCAATTCGGAGGTAAAATGTTTAAAAATTGGAGAGTTATTACTAGATTCAAATGTTACAGGTGTTGTTGGAGTACTAAAGAATGAAGGAATGGTTTGAGGTAGAGGACTTTGACAAGATTGGGTTGGTGCTGAGGTCTTTCGTATTGTAGAGGGGGAATTCACATTACTAGAATATGGACTTCGAAACGTTTGACTTTCAATGACTTTTTGATTGTACTTTTCTATTAGCGTCTTTACATTTGGAGCACCTGATTTGGACTTCTTTGCACAAGTTTTTCTCCAGTCCAACTGTGGCGCTGAAGGGGATTTCACATAATGTCCTTTGGAATCATCTTCTGAGGTAAAATTACTGCTGAAATCATGGGAATTCGATTGTAGTAACACTCTATCAAACTGATCAGCAATTTTATTAGTACCGTTTAAAGGGGAATTGTCTGTACTACTTTGATCTGCTTTACGTTTCCGCTGAGGAAACGGTTCCGTTGGTGAATTATTCGGAGTGTTCATTTGATTTCCATCACTACTGAAAGGAGTGTCAAATTTGCTTAGGGACACCAATTTCAAAAGTCTAATGGTGCCATTTGCCTCATCTGTACTTGTTTCAGTTACATCTTTATCTCCTGCGTTTTCTGGTAATTGAAAATGATGTTTACTACTCTCCTCTGTGGAATGTGATAACCTTGGTGAGCTTTCTGATACACTACTGGATTCGTGCTCAGAGCTCAAGCTGCGTTTCTTTGGCATGGTAATGGTGAACGTATGCTCTTCGCTCGCATTGGCATCGTCCCTGCTACGAGAACCCTTTTTTATTTTCCGTTTTGGGAACTGTATTGTGATGGTTGGAATTTCAGAATGCGATGAACGACAATCTGTTAAAGAGTCCATAGTTACATTCTGCTGGTTCAATTGTTCTTTGGAAGTTTTTTGCTTAGAATTAAATTCGTTCGGTGTGTGGTATAAAGCAGATTCTGGTGGTGATTTTAAGCGTTTCTTCGTTCTTTTCTTTTGAATGTACTCTCGCTTTAAAGTGGCTGTTTCACTTTTATGTTTTTCACTCATAGAACGAACAGGATGGGTCAAGTTTTTCATCGTTAAATCATTTGATTCGTCATGTTGATAATGCATAAGCAGTGGTATTTTAGAGTCCGAAGCTATCTCTCTTAATAGTAGGTGTTCCAAAGTTTTTGGATTCATATCAGTCTTTGGCAAATTTGTGTTTTCAAATTTCTGCATGGAATTATTTGGACTTTGCAATGAAGATTTCTTTCTGAGACTACCACTTAAGCTTCGAATCAGATTAATGTCAATAGGCCTGTCTTTTACACTCTCCTCAATTTGTTTCCTGGTGATACGGAAAGAATGGAACTTCTGTGGACCTATTTCGGAAATATTTGGTTTGACCAGATCTCTATCGGTGTGAAAAGTGTGTGATCTTTTCCTGCAATTTCCCGAACAATGTTTGGACACTTTTTGCAGTTTCTTTTTTCTTTGAACATGGGATCTAGGAGGGTTTTCACCGTATGACATTAGCAGTCTTTCTGTGTCCTGATTATCCTTAGCATTAGAACGCCAGGATACTTTTGTGTAATATTCATCAGACGAATCTTCAGAATTTGTAGATGAACTTGCATTCCTTTGGTCCCCTTGATTGAGGCTTAGATTATCGGCAGAACTTCTTCGAACTGTAATTTTCTTGAACTCTTCTTTGGTGGTTGCATGGTAGTTCTTTCGATTATTTGGCACCTGTAAAAATTATTAATTATTATTTTCGAAAATTATAATATTATTATCAATCACATAATTGAAATGGTGGCGGGAGATAAGGCATCTACTCAGAAGCTGATTTCCTTCGCTAGAGTAACAACTCAATGAAATGTAATTAGTATGTTATTCTATACCGTCACTGTACAAAACAATTGAATTTGGATGAGCTGGTGTATAAAAGCTGGAGTATAAAAATAAGCTGGTGTATAAAAATACGTATTTCATTCTTCTTATTTTTTGTCTTGTAAATTACTTTGCAAAAAAGTATCAGGTGGAACGTTTCACGCTTATAATTTAAAAACTTCTTGAAGTGTTACAGAGTAAACTCAGCTCCACAGTATCTATTAAGTGGTCCGTAATATAATGTCGTTTCGGTGTATTTGATCTTAGTAATCAAGATTTTATTTTTAATCAATAATGTCTTCACCCTCCTTAGCAACAACCTTTCTATGCCGGATCGAAACTGAATCGATATGGATCTTAAAAAAAATTAATTGGTTTTTAAGACTAACGAATATTTAATGCACCGAAATGACATTACTTTCCAGTCCACCTAAAACAAAGTTTTGTCCTACATTTATTTCAATTTCCTCATAAGCCTCGTCTACTTTCTCAAATTAGTATTAGCGATAACTATGGTTGCCAATATTCAAAAAAAAAAAACATGATGCCTGTAGTGTTTACCGAAACTTTAAAACTGGACATCCACGAAGTTGAAACTTGTCAAAAATGTCATGTTAAATTTATAATCTAACATACAAAATTATTATTATGAAAAATGATGGTTCGATGGTTAAAGCACTGAACTGTCATTGAGGTGAACTAGGGTTCGATCTCCAATGGTGACTTAAAGCCCAACCAGTTTCAAATCGATGAATACCAGCTTATCCGGGAAGTAAAGGCTGCCAGTAGTGCTGACCACATTGCCACAATCACGCTGCTGGCATGACATCGTGGAGTGTTTTAACCTCATGACCCTCCAAGACCGTTCCGAAAATGCTTTAATTAATATGAAAAATACAGAAAATTTGATAATGGTATGGAACAGTTGATAAAGTGAGCAGCGTGGCTTTTTCATAAGAACTACAATGCGAATTGTTCTTAATTCCACATCAAGCGGCTAACATTTAAGACGAGCAGAATCTTGCCTTTTCCAGTTTTGTAGAAATTCAGTGTCTGAATTTGTGTAGGAAACTAAAATATGTAATAGTAATAGGAGCTTATTTCAAAGTTGTATAAGCGAAACTATTGGACAAAATGGAATCCTAAATTTTTCGTATCCTAAACATTTAAGTTAATAAAACTAATAAAATTTTTATTTAGTTGAAAAATTATTGTAGCTCTTAAAATATAATTTAAGGTAGACTAGTTTCAACAACTTTTTTTAAAAATTTTAATACAAAATTTTAAAAAACCAGTTTATTTGTTTTATATGCAAAAACTTATAAAACTAGAAAAAACATTACCAATATTATTATTATATGGTAATTTTTAGGTAAAATGAGGCATTTTTTTGCATATACGCTAAACACTGTAAAAAAAATTCTATCGCCTAAAACAAAAAATCCTTTGAGAATTTTATTTAGAAAACTATTCGCTATGTTTTAAACTATTATCTTAAAAACAAGTGTATATACTAATGAGTTGTACTAGTGCATACACTAGTCAGATACCTTAATGAAAAAAGAAAAATTGGAGAGTAGATTAATAATTATTTGGAAGTATCCGATTTTATTCAACTTAGTCAGAAAAAGACATGCTAGTGAAATATTTATTTATAGTAAGGAAATAATTCCATAAACCTCTTAAATTGATAAGCTTATAAAGTAGCTTATTAGTAATAAAACTATCTTATCGAGGTTAGTAATAAAGGAATATATTAGGAACTTATCGAAAATGAATTTAGTTTTCCATATTTAGGAATGGTGAGAAGAACAGATGGTTAAGTTCACCTGGAACAATTCAAAAAGAACTGCATCACGAAATATGTTTAATTAGAAATCCTTAAAACCAAGATTCAGAATAGTAAGCAAAACATTTTTGTACGGAGGAGTGTGGATGGAAAGTATATAGTATAAAGTAGTACAGTCAATTCGCTATAACTCGAAGTACGATAACTCGAATATTACTATAACTCGATTTTTTTATGAGGTCCCGACCCTTTTATCTTCAATTTCATGTTAATTATTCTCGATTACTCGAATTTTACTCCCTTTAACTCGATTTTTTTGGGATCTTTTAAAGCAAGAAAAAAAACCTAGGAGCTGATATCTTGCCCCTTCCTTTGCAACACACACACAATATCTTTCGTACTCTTTATGGAGAAGCTGAAGCTGTCCCTCTTGAAGTATGTGAACAGTGGTTAAATGAAACGTTACCAAATTTACTTCAAGGATACTCTGAAAATGTTTTCCATATTGATGAAATGGGTTTATTTTGTAAATGTCTTCCAAATAAGACTATGACGTCTAAAGATGAAAACTGCCCAGGGGGTAAAATGACCAAGGAACATTTTACTGTCCTAGTTGGAAGAAATGTGCTTGGGACAGAGAAATTGCCCTTACTTGTTATCGGAAAATACCGAAACCCCCGATGTTTCAAGAATGTTAAAACGTATCCTTTGGATTACAAGTCTAACAAAAAGTCTTGGATGACATCGGTTCTATTTGAAGACTAGGTAAGAAAATTGCATGAATTGAAATTCTTCGCTAAAAAAAGAAAAGTGATACTCTTTATGAATAAATGCACAGCACATAGTGATCTACCTAATTTGAAAGCAGTGAACTTGCAGTCTCTCCCGCCAAACACAACAGCAAAGTTGCAGTCGATGGACCAGGGTATCATAAAGTGCTTCAAACAGTCTTATCGTTAAAGGCCTGTCAGAAAAATGATAAACGGTATTGAAAACAATATTTCTTTCAAAGTTGATGTACTTGAAGCCATGAGGCTTCTTTTCAGTGCTTGGAAATGATGTAAGCGAAACGACAATATGAAACTGTTTCCAGAAGTGTGGTTTTTTTAAAGAAGCACAGCGTGAACCTGTGATAGAAGAGCTTCAAGATGAGGAAGTAATTGAGAACTCCGATGAAATCATTGCTGTTTGTGGTGATGTTTCCGACGAAGAATTTATCACAAAAGAAAATTATGAAAGTGCTGCTGAGGAAGAAGGTTCAGAAACAATGGTCCCAAACATACTTGAAGCGCGTCCATTTCTTGAAGTTCTTCAGAAGTTTCTAGAGAGTCGAGAAGGAATTGATAGTTCTATGTTTTTGCACCTGCAGGTGATTGAAGATTTACTGTTTCTAGAGACTCAAAAGATATTACTTCAGTATGAATGGCGGATTACTTAAAAAAAACGTAAAATGTAGTACAAATAATAAAGTAAGTTATTATATTATACTTTATAGTTTTTTCTTAAATATTGTAAGCATTTAGAAGATTTGTAATAAATAAGCATTAATTAAATAAGCCGACAATACTTTAAGAGTCCAAAACCGAAACTAACGGCAAGTCGAACTTCCGATATGTCGAAGTTTTTCGTCATTCCTATCAGATTCGAGTTATCGCGAATTCACTGTATAAACTATGCTTTTAAATACATAAACTGAAAAATCTTACTTCAGTAGTCTTGGTGGTAGTAGTGGCATTGCTTTGTAGTACGTCATCACACTGGACACAATCTGTCAATTTAAAAAAAAGTTGTTTTTACTGAAATTTAGTTTTGTTTGAAACATTTAACGTTCTTTTTAAAACATCTAAAAATAAGTATTTAGTTTTACAAAGGTAGCTCTCCATTGAAAAAGATTATTCCTGACAGATTTTGCAATTATTTAAATCAAATATTTGAATCAATGTTCCACTCTTTATAGAATTAATCTGCTTCGGTAAGTAACTAATAGTATAATTTCATTTATTTAACTATTGTAGTGCCTGATTAGACTTTTTAATATTTATGAAAAAAAACTCGCCCTTGCTTCATAGACAAATTATTCAAATTCCAAATATCTTAAAAAATTGTTCATATAAATGTTAAAAATATTTTTAGCTGTTTCTGAGAAAAAAAGTATCTAATTGTTGAATTGTACTCTCTTCTTTAATATGAAAGCACTTAAAGAAAAGTGCAAAACTACAGAATCAATTTTCGAATATTTTTTTCTCTTGCTATGGTGCATATTTTAAGAAGAAATTACTATTAGTTTCAAACGATAAGAAAAGAAGAAAAAACACCCAATGAAAAACTTCATTAAAATAAATGTTTTACGAATGAATGAAAATGACAATTATCTACGATTGAAATCTTTAAAATAATTTCTTATTAAAATGTGTGGCATAGCAAGAGAAAAAAATGAAACAAAATAATTCGAAAATAGATTCTGTGGTTTATATTAAAGAAGAGAGTGCAATCAAGAGTTAGATATTTTCTTCTCAGAATAAGTTAAAAATATTTTTAAACTTTATATGAATACTTTTTAAAATATCTTGAATTGGAATGATTTGTCTACTAAACAAGGAATGTGTATAACTTTTATGATTTTTTTTAACAAAGATTCTAAAAATTTATTTTAAACTAAGCAGTTAACCAAGCACCCAACATTTTATTTTAAAATATCAACTACAGTATTCAGCCGTAAGGTTAAATAGTAGCAATAAATTAAAAGAAATCGTTAATTGAATGTAAATTATGAGTAATAACCAACCTGTGTTAGATGTCAACTTCAGCACTTCTTTGTTCAATTGCTGAACAGTATTTGCTAAATGGGTAGCTCTAAATTCACTGTTTGAGGCTTCACAGCTATAGACTTCTGTAGATAAAGTTAAACTGTCTCCGGAATCCTGTTCCTGAAAAATGGCCAAATTAAAGTCATTTTTGGAACGTCTGATATCACTATAATCTACAGGTAGTTATCAAAATAATGGAAACACCCTAGATTTTGAAGGCTTGGGAATTGCTGTTCTGCCGTAAATGTTCTCTTCATGAAGGTATCTCCTAACTGTAATTGTTGACACTAAAGAATCCAGATGCTGATTGAGCTCTGCGATCACTTTGGCTGCAGTTGTTTTCTTTTTAGACATTACAATCCGCTTCAATACCCTTCGGTCTCTTTCACTCAGCTTCTCCTTCCGTCCACTATTTTGCTTTGCTGAGCTTGTCTTCCCGCGCTGTGTGTATGCTGTCATGACTTTAGACACCGTGCATCTAGAAACGCCTAAAAGCTGGGATGTTTCGTTCACTATTGCTCCAACTAGTCGGGCTCCTACAATTTTGCCTCTCTGAAAATCTGTGAGGTCTGACATTTTACCCTTCTGACAAAAAATCAAAACGTAGGCAACTCTGCTAAAGCTCTCTCATACCACCTAATATATAGGTACTTTTTATATTAAAAAAACTGGTAGCTAAGATTATATTTTAATGCTTATGAAGCGAATTCTTAAATGTCCCTTTTATTCTCAAGTGTTTCCATTATTTTGATAATCACCTGTATGTACTACGGTTATCTAGAAAACGTACGATTTCACATAGCTAACTAAAACGTAAGTTATCAGAACAAAAGTCTATTTACTGAAAGCATGAAATCTTACTCTATTTTTCAATGTAGTCAACATAGTGTTCAAGTTACTTATCGTATCGTTAAACCAAGAATAAAAAATTTATTATTTTCTCTTACAGCTATTATTTGAGTAAAGATACCACCACTTGTTAGAGGGTCTTCCACCCAAAAACGTCTCAGTTTCGAGACTACTGAAAGCCACTTAGTGCGGACTCGAGACTTCACAAATTTCTCTTTAATATTTTCTTTCAACTGATCATTGACCAGTTGGAGGTTATTACGCTACAATGAGTACCTTAACAGCATCGAAAAACCCATGACTTAGTAAATGAAATTTTGTGTTAGTTTATATTTAGTCAAGGCAATTCAATGGCACAAGAGCCGGATGCTATTATGCCGCTCCAAATTTAAAATAACAAAACTTACTCTTTATAATTATTTTTTCTTTTAAAAAAACTGAATTTTAAGAAAAGTTCTAACGTGTATGTGTGTAGAGGCTTCTTCAGAAGATCTTGATCTCCAATGAGCATATTTGGATCTCTTCTTGTGAGCCATGTGAGAGTGCAATTCCGTTTGTAGCTTCACTGTTGATAAATCTCGATGCAACAGTTCCCACTTCAATTGACAAATCTGCCTCGTCTTTGAAGACAGGGTGGTCTCTAAATCACGAGTCTGGTCAAAAATAATAATAATGGAAAATTAGCATAGAGTAACGTAAGTAATAATAGTTCTATAATCTTTGTTGAATATTAGTAGTAGCATAGGGTAACGTAAGTAATAATAGTTCTATAATCTTTGTTGAAAATTAATAGTAGCATAGGGTAACGTAAGTAATAATAGTTCTATAATCTTTGTTGAAAATTAGTAGTAGCATAGGGTAACGTAAGTAATAATAGTTCTATAATCTTTGTTGAAAATTAGTAGTAGCATAGGGTAACGTAAGTAATAATAGTTCTAGAATCTTTCTTGAAAATTAGTAGTAGCATAGGGTAACGTAAGTAATAATAGTTCTAGAATCTTTGTTGAAAATTAGTAGTAGCATAGGGTAACGTAAGCAATAATAGTTCTATAATCTTTTACACAGTGTACGTGAACAAATATGTTTAATACAAATTGGATGGATATTAAAAAATATATAAAAATTACAAAAGGTTTTGAAAAATGTTTTTTGAATGAGAAACCAAATGAATTTTTTCTACTTTAATTAAAAACACCTTTTGGAGTAAGCGGACAAAGTGAATATTTTTAAAAACGAGCACCACTTAAAATGCATGCTCGCAATTTTTAATAGCACAAAGAAGAATCACTCAAAGAAATAATAAAATATGCCTTAAAAAATAAATCCACAAATAGAAATAAAGTTAAAAATGTGTCAGAAGTTTTGACTAGCTTAGAAACCTTTTCAAACCCTGTTTAATATTTGTTCAAAACTATCCTTTGAAAGGTCAGGTGAAATCAATAGAGTATCTATTAATAGATTTTATCTGCCAAATAAACTACTTTAGGATATCTGATTATCATTACTATAAGATTATTGTTAGCTGTGGAACGTGAACGAGGAGAAAGTTCTGTAATGATTCATAGAAATTTGATACTAGTAGGTTTTTCTTCATAACGAGTAAATATTGCTTTGAGATCCATCGTATATTATACTCCAAATAAAGGTTTTATACTTGATATCGATCCAAAAACTGATTATCAGGGTAAGTCATTGCAGTAAAAAAAAGTACAGAATAAATTTTAAGAAAGCAAAAAAATTTTTGTTTGTTATTGCAAATTACTTTTTAAAGTCTTTTAACCCCTTCCTTCTCGCTCCCGTGAAAATGACGAGGTGAGATTTCGCCCTTTACTTCTCGCTCCCGTGATATTTCCGGGCTGGAGTGTTCAGTAGTAACGCCCCAATAAGTATAAAACTAATTCATTTCTTTTGCCCGGAAAACATTTTATTTTTGATTTTACTCACTAGATGGCAGTGCCAGGATATTTTTAAGGTAATTATAGATAGTTAGTTTATTTTAAACTAGATGTCAGCACTAATCAAATAGCACTAATTGAAAATAGGCACTTTTATGACCGTTTTCTTGAAAATTAACCGATCGTCAAGGGCTTAATAAAAAATCTTGAATTTGAATGATTTTGCATTTTAATTATAATTCCAATTTCCGAAATAGCCTAGTTTGTAAGACGCTGGGCTCATCTTCATAAGATCGTGACTTTGAATTCCGCCGGCCAATGGTGCACGTTAAATCTGTCTGGATCACAAAGTAATCCCAGTTCTCATAACAAATCAGAATTTCTGGAGGTACTGAATTGGAGGTTGATTGTTCTCTGGTTCAGGTCAAAATTACGATCTGTGGGTGAATGAATGGATGTATGAATATGTCCTCGCTATAAAGTGGACTGTGACGTGTGTGCGGCTGAAGTCTTATTCTTTTTTATAGATGCGCCACTGAAAAACAAGAAACCCACCCTCTGCCTTAAAAATCGCTTGGGTTCCCATAGCAATTGGATTCCCATACTAGTATTGAAAGTAGCATTAGTAACAGCAACAAATATAATACTCACCTGCTTCATTAGCAGAGCGGATAACTCTTGCAATCGTTCAATTGTACTCGTTTCCAGATATGTGGATTGTTTTGTTTCGAGATCTGTAAAAAAAATTCAAATCTACATAAGTGATAAACAATATGCGGAAATGTCGTTTTTTGTTTAAAAATAAATAAATGTCAATAAGTTTTATTTGTTTGGCAGGAATAAAAATGAGCCAGTTTTTTTCCTCTTAGCATGAAAAAACCTATTTTAAAAAATACAAACTCTAAAATAAAATTATTAAAATTACAAAAACTTCTTTTTGAATAACGAGAGAGAAAATTGTAAAGATACCAATTTCTTTTAGAAAGTGTATTTAAAAAGCACATAATTGAGTAACATTTGAAAACTTAAAAATATGTTAAGAGATATTCCAATAACAATTTGAGAAAATAAATGTGTATAGAATCAGAGTAAATGTGTATAGAAAATAAATGTGTATAGTATCTGGATGTTGCTGAAAAAATCTTACACACTTGGCATATACTAAATCAGCATTTCATATTTACAGTCAAGCAAGTTATATTCGTAAAAGTTTTTTTTTCAAATGGCAGGCACTGAACTTTATTCTTCGCCTTGAGATGTCGGTATTGTTACACATTTTACGTTACCCAGTGGGCACCTGTGAACCAAAGTCACAGAGGCGAGCAACACTACCCACGCCACACCGCCACAAACCCGTTCATAGGGTGGGTCACATTCACACACAACAGAGGACAACACATAGAGAGAACATCCATGCCCAGAGCGGGATTCGAACCCGCAGCCATCGGCTTCGCAGTCAAGCGCTAACCGCTCGGCCACCTGGCCGGCATGTTCTTAAAAGTAGAAATCTGTAATTCAAAATTTCACTTATTTTTGTCTTAAGAGCCATCACTTTCCATGTATAAACTTTTCGTTTATTAATTTTTATTTGTTACTCTTACTTTTATCGATTTCGATTGGTTAAACTAGTGAGAAAACATTTAAAATAATGTAAAAGTTAAAGATTATTAAGTTAGTTAAAGATTATAAGAACATATAAAAGTAAAAGAGTATTTTTCATAGACTACAATTGCTTGTTTTTTAATATATATATAGCCAAATAGGTTGCCAAAGAACAATTGAAAACCAACTCAAATAACGTAGTAAAAACTAAAAATGTTGGGAGCTACTGCTACATATCTTCTGAAATTTCTTGCAAAAAAAGTGTTTTTTAAACCACATGTTTCTTACAATTTATTTGTTAAAACTTCAAAATTATATACATTTGTGTAAATTTTACTAATTTATATTTTAATATTTAGTACATTTTCCCTCGGAGAGAAATTGTTAATTCTATAACTATTTGAAATATTCATTGAAAAAAAATTATTGCTTCGAAAAAGAAATTGCGCGTTTGAAAGCTTGGAGAATGTAGTCATTTAAAAATACATTTAAAATTTATACATTTAATGCACATGCATTTTTATACATTTAAAAATAAAAATTTCGAAATATTTAGTTATAAATTTTAAGACATTTTGAAATGATTTTAATACAAAATTTTATTAAATAACAAAATTTTATTAAATGACAAAATTACATCACCTATGATTACAATTTCTTTGTAAAATCCTTTACTGTGCTTCATAATAATTTTGATTTAAAAACATGTTCTACATTTAATGCAAATATATATGACCAATACAGTATCCAAATACTCGGTTGTAAGAATATGCATTGTTTTGAAAGAAATGTGCATTTTTAGGGATAAAAAATTTATAAAGCCTATTTTGAAACAAAATAATTAGGATTTAAAATTAAATTAATCTGATATTTTATGAAAAAATTATTAAATTTATTAAAGTAAGTTCATAGTTATGTTTAACAGTAACTTTTACTTTTCAAGATATATATAGTAATATACTATATAGTTTATAATTTTATCATACTATATACTTTGATTATATCTAGAAATTTTAATGCTCATATTACCGTTTCCAGTTTTCGATGCACCAGCCGCTTTAAGTTCTCTCATTTTTCCCAATAAATCCAAAGTCATCGTTTCTTGTTCTTTCGAATGGTATCGAAAACTATCCTAAAGAAGGAAAAAGAAATCTAAATTAAGCAATTTTTCAGTTTTTACTTATTTTTAATTCGATATTCCTTGTATATGTTTCCGGCAAAGTATGAAAAGCCGGCATTGTATAGAATGCCGGATGTTTTTAGGCAAAGTATGAAATATGAGAATTATTACATACTTTCTCTAGGCATTGTATATAATGCCTACACATTCTATGCTATTTAGGCAAAGTATGAAATAAACATCTTGATGAGGTTATTATGTAAATAATGTTCTTGTTACTGTGAATGACCGAAATCGGTGGTTGTTGACTTTCATCGGTGAATGATGACAATCACATAGTCGCTTTGGTGAATGTCCGAAATATTTATTACATCCGATTCGATATTAATTTATTCGTGGATATAATTACATTTATTCGATATTTTAATACTTACTGACGCTAGATTAGAAGAAACATCAGTGTAGGGTATACCGGGCAAATATATACCGGGCAACGGCACTTGACCTTAAAAAAACATCAGTGTAGGGTATACCGGGCAGTGGCACTTAACTAGACTTAGTATGACCTTTGATAAATATCCAAAATATATACTAGGTCTAGTTAAGTGCATCTTCTCGGCATACATTTGCCCGGTATATCCTACACTGATGTTTTTTTAAGGTCAAGTGCCACTGCCCGGTATACATTTGCCCGGTATACCCTACACTGATGTTTCTTCTAATCTATCGTCAATAAGTATTAAAATATCGAATAAATTTAATCTATCGTCAGTAAGTATTAAAATATCGAATAAATCAATATCAAATCGGATGACGTTTTGAATTTGTCATTTTTGAATGACATTTTGACAAATCGGAGATGTATTTTATACTTTGCCGGTTTCTCATTTGGTATTCTACAGAATGCCTGGGAAATGTGTGAAATATAAATCATTTCATACTTTGCCGGCTAATTTTAGGCATTTTTTACAATGCCGGATTTCATACTTTGCCGGTAACATATGTACTATAGAATACGTTCAACATAGTTAGCAACTCTTCTTATTTTATGGAAATCACCATTGAATTTGTCATTTGTCCATAACCCTACCTTAGCTGCCCTAGATTCCAACATCATCATTTAACCCTTTGAAGCAAAACTTTTATTAAACATATTTTCATACTTTTTTCATTATCTTTTATTAATTTCGGTCAAAGTAAGTGAAAAATATTATATTTAGCACTTTAATTATTGATGATTATGAAATATTGGTATCTTTATCTGCGTTAAAGATAAAATTTTCTAAACACGACTTACTTCTGAACAATATTTTTTTAAATTTGCACTTATTTAAATCTAAACGAAACAATTATTCATCATTGATGCTTCTTTTATTTAAAAAATCGATTATTGTTAAGTTTCTGAATATGAATGAAAAGAAAATTTTAAACTCCTTTCATTAGATTTCATTATTAGTACAAATATAATTCAGATAATCTAACAGATTTTTTTAGTTAACTGTTTTCTACAATTAAAAACTACTAAAATATACTTTTACTTGTAATTACAGGTTTAAAAAATTTATAAAAGGAATACTGGTGTCTCATCTGTGCCAAAAGGTTAAATTAAATAAAAAAAAGTTAAGAGTTAAAACAAAAACTAATGTTTGAATCTTATTCTTAGGGTCGATCACTTTTTCTAAATGCAAGTTTTTAGAATGCAATAAAATACGCAAAATTTAACAATTCATATTATAGTATGAAAAATTTTTGCTCTCATAAAACAAAATGTCTAGAAATTTAGAGTGATTGAAATATACAGCTTTATTTTAACAAGTCAAAATTAACTCAACCAAAAAAAAAAGAGCGAAAATTGAAAACAGAATTATTAAATGAAATATATAAAAAGGTGCGAGAATATATTAAACAGCGTAAAAAATTCGACATATAAATAAAATTTCTTGTAGTTGCTGTTATAAATGGAAGTAAATTCTATATCGTATTTAAAATTTTATTTAGGTCGAAATTTTTATTTATTATTGCTTAATTATTATTTTTTTTGAAATTCTTCGTAGTCCTTAATAATGTATTCTTATAATTCTTATTTAAAGTATATAATGTTTCCCTGTTTCCTGAAATACGATTCTAATGTATGTTCACGTTAAAATTAAACATATAGTTTTAAAATATTTCTCTTGTCTTACGCTTAATGGACAAAAAATAGAAAATTGCTAAGCATTTTTTGCTTGCAATTTGCTGTATAAATAAATTCTCGTTCTTAGTGAGCAAAGCAATTTCTTAGTGAGCAAAGCAATTTCTTAGTGAGAAAAGCAATTTCTTAGCGAGAAAAGCAATTTCTTAGTGAGCAAAGCAATTTCTTAGCGAGCAAAGCAGTTTCTTAGTGAGAAAAGCAATTTCTTAGTGAGCAAAGCAATTTCTTAGTGAGCAAAGCAATTTCTTAGTGAGTAAACCATAAAAAATGAACTCACTTCCACAGTTTCACGTTCGTATCTAAGTTTCTCTGTACACCTTTCTAAAGTATCAATCCTCATTTTCAATTGATCCATCGTCTGGCGACACGTGATCATGTCTCTGGGCGTCGTGCCTTGTCTGTGCATTTCCCATAATTTTGCACGGTAATGCTCTAAAACCATACAAGTCATGAGTCAAAATGCATTAAATCAGCGATTCTCAACCTGTGGGGCGCGCCCCCCTAGGGGGGCGCGAGTACACCAGAGGGGTGGCGCGAGTACACCAGAGGGGTGGCGCGAGAATATTCAAGAGAAAATATTATTTAAAAAAATTGATTAACTGGATGAAAAGAAAGCACACATATACATAGAAAACAAAATACATTTTGACATATTTAATAACTTATTAAAGTGAAACAACTTATTAAATCAAAATTTAAGGTGGGGAGCCAAGGGTGGCTTGGCCTTAAGGATTTTTTTATAATTTTCTGATTAAGTCTGTGTATCTGAATTTTTTCTGTAACATCTTACACCTATCTCTAATATATATCACGTATACTTTTAATTGTAAAACAAAATTTCATTTATTTTATAGTACAATTTTAAAATTTTAGCTTCTGCACCTAAGGTTTCGCACAGGTTCCAAAGGTGAGCCATGTTTTGAAATCACTTTTTCACTTACTCAAATTATCTTTAGAAAAAACACTTGGACTGGCAAACTTCTTTTAAAAAGGCACTTTAAGTGTCTTGCTGGTAGGAACAAGTTTCCCGACTTTAAAAAAGATATTTGTTTTCAGAGTGTATAATTTGTTTATTGATTTTACTTTGATAGTTCTTGTGTGAAGTCACTAGCGATTCTTTTGAGTTCACTCATTAGAATTAATCAAGAATTATTGAGTTAATTTTTTCAGAAGGATTAGCCAACAAGTAAGAGTTAAATAACCATACTAGAGTTAACTAACTAAACCCATAACTAATCTAAAAATACCCAAATTTGCAAGAAAATACCAGAATCGACCACAAAAACACTCATAACTACCACAAAAATAAAAAAATACCTGAAAAATGACTTTAAAATGCAAACAAAACAAAAAACTTGAAACAAAATATCGCAAAGTCTACTAAAGTGCAGAGAACGTCAAAATATTATAAAAATTTAAAAAATACCAAAGTTCCACATTTGCTTAAAATGAAATAAATCAATTGGCATTTAATTCAAGCATTCCTTTTTGAGAAATAATATGCTACGTAATGATTTATAATTAACTCTTTTATAGATTTCACGTTTGCTTCCGAAGGTGGCCCGAGTGTCGCGCCACTTGGGAACATACATAAGGTCTCTCTTACCATTTGCACGACATAAAACTATTAATCTGATAGATTAATTCGAATTAAAGTAATGTGGTTAAAGAAAAAGAAATAAACTTTCAGAAAACATATTATAACTCAAAGTTCTAAGAATTTAAACACATTATCTTCTCACCTGGAAATTAGAACGACAACTGCAAATAATTAAATCACTTCATACAATGGAGGCCATTCAAGGAAATATCTTCCAATTCAGCCTCGTGCACCTCAGATACAAGATTTACAATGCAGAAGGGACATCTTATGATTCAAAATAAATTTCATTTTACTTTGGGGGGGGGCTACGTTAGGAGCACTGGCCACCTTTGGCTTACCCACCTTACTTAATCAAACATACTAAATTTTTAAAAAAAATTAATAATTTTTAGTGACTTCCTTGGGTCTGTCCTGCAGAGCAAAGTTTTTTGAGGTGAGGCTTAATATTAGAAATAGCCACTCTCAGTCCTGTTTCTATATTTAGCCGTGATCTATATTTTGTCTTCAAAGAAGCCACAGCAGAAAATCCAGTTTCACAAAGGTAGGATATTGAAAACGGTAATAGAATGCGAAATGCCCTTTGTTTCAGTGCAGAAAAATCCTCCTCCTGCCAAAATTCAAATAGTGATTTATTACTAAATTGCATTTCAGTTTCGCCACTTGTCGTGAAGTCTATGAATTTTTCTTCCTCATCAATTGAGAGTCCTTCGGGAGTCTTATGAAATGGATTCCTAACCCACTCGTAACTTGCTAGCAGTTTGTCATGAGCAGGAAAATACTTTTTAAAATTCTTTGCCAGCATGGCTAAATGATTTTCAATGGTTACAAACGTAACTTTCATATATTCTTCTTCAGCCTTATAAGTTTTAGTACAATTATCCACATTTGCAAACATTGTTAGGTTTTTTTGCTTTAAATTTCTGCCCCACAATTCTAATTTTCTACAAAAAGCATTAACTTCATCACTCGTATCCAACATATGTGTATTTGCTCCTTGGAGTTTAAGATTCAAGTTATTTAATTTCTCGAATATGACGACCAAGTATCTCAATTTCATCACAAATAAACAATAGTGTAAATTCCCGGTTTCCGGTCTGTTATCTTCTAAGAAAATGACGATTTCTTCTCTTAATTCATGAGCACGTTGCAAAAATTTCTCACGTGATAAACATCTTGCCTCACATTTAAATAGTAACTCTGAATGTACTGAACCCATGTCATTACAAAGAGCAGAAAAGATTCTCGATCTCAGGGTTCTCATTTTTATATAATTTGAAATGGTTACAACCGCAGTTAATACAATATTTAAACCAGGACGTATTTCTTTCGAACCCAAAGCTTCTCTGTGGATCATGCAATGTGTCCAGACGCATTGAGGCGATTTTTGTTTTACTAGTGCTTGTATACTTTCGAACCTTCCGGATATTGAACAAGCATATTCCGATGCATATTCCAGTGCATATTCCGATGCAATTTTTGCATTCTGTGTTTGCATCATTCATAACATCATTTAAAATAGCAAATAATGCTAGCGCTGTTGTTTTGAGTTCTATTGATTTGCAGAAAAGTAGTTCTACTACTGACATATTATCACAAAATCAAACATAGGTTTTTAAATGAGCATCTTTATTAATATCTGTTGCTTCATCAAACTGATTGAAAACATTTAGTCACGCAACATCGAGAAAAGCTGACACTACATTTTCAGCTGCATCACCAATTCGACAAGCAACAGTATTATTTGAAAGAGGTATGGACTGAAATTGTTTTGAAAAATTAACTCCAAACATAGTCTCTACAATCTCAATTGCTGCTGGCTTTTACTTTACTTTTGTTTTAGCAGTTAGTTAAAAATAATTTAAAGACAGAATTCAAAATACTCAATATACATTATTGTTGTATAAATTTTACTGTAAGTGGGGGGCGCGATGAAAATTATGATTGAAAACTGGGCCGCGAATACTGAAAGGTTGAGAAACGCTGCATTAAATGAAGAAAAAAGTTTGTAGAAAAACGAGCTCAATAAAAATTTCAAAAATCTTAAGAAATTTCACTGATTTCCAATACCTTAGTACTATCAATTGTAAACATGAAAAGCAATAAAAAAACTCATCCCTTTAGCAAATATTTAAATAAGGCTGTTATCAATGAAAAAAAGACATTTTCCAAGCATCTTAACATTTTTAACAACTTGTTGTTTAACAATAAGTTGATATTTAAAAGTTCAATAAACCAACACTTAACATGTTCATGGAAAAAAATATTTAATTTTAAAAGTATCTTATATTTCGATTAATGTTTTCACAGTTAATTCAATCCAAAGTTGATCTTTAATTTTATTCATTATTTCAGAAAATGGGTATTTACAGATCAATTTAGTAGTCCGACGTAACGAACATAAATTGCGCAGTGGAGGAAAAATGAGAACGACGTCACTAAGTTCGAGCTACTAAGCTGTGCAGTGGCGGAAATTCGAAAGATGTCATTACGTTAGGACAACTAAAGAATCGCATTTCTTGTTTATGGTAACCCGTGCTGAGACCTTCTCTATTTTATGAGGTATTGTGCCTTAATAATAGGAACAGATTCATTATTTATCAAAAATAAGTTTTTCCTAAACTCAAGCCAAGCGTGCCAACCCAACAATGAAAACGAATTGGTTACTTAAATAATTTACCGAAAGAGAAAAAATTCCAAAATACATTAAAAAATTAAAACAGAGTTGCAACGGAATGCATAAAGTTGAAGAGCAGCTAAGTTAAAGGAAGATTAAAAACAGATTTTGATATGCGGTTATGTGAGACAGTTAATAATAAATTCGTTGCATGTTTACATTGAGCAATTAGCTGCCATATATTTTGAAAATGGAAATAAAAATTAAATATATTTTTAACAGTTAATTGAAATTTATAAAGCTAGGAAACATATAATGCTGATAATGGTATGATATTTAGTTCCTGCCTTTTTTTAAATTTTACTTAAATCATCAGACATTTCTGAAGCACCCGATTTGTGATTTCATTCAAAACTGCTTCATTTAACATACATTTTTGAAGCACCCGATTTGTAACTTCATTCCAAACTGTTTAATTTAACATACATTTTTAAAGCACCCGATATGTAACTTCATTCAAATCTGCTTCATTTAGCATTGATGAGTGAGCATTCTCATTAATTAGACTCACTGCATTTTTTCACTTTCTAGAATTAAATCAGAAAACTAATTGAAATTGTACAAAACGAGACCCTGGGAAAAATTTGAAGATCAAAATGAGTTAAACTGTAAAAATAAAAGTATTGGCTTGCAGGGAGCCAGGACTGATAGAGAGCACACTTTCTCCATCGCAATGCCAAAACATTTCAAGAGCTATAATCTATTGTTCTGGTTGCTATTCAAAACAAATGTTTCACCCTATTTTTTTATTTGAGGAGGATTAATTAGTAACCATTCAAGTGACCTCAAACAAAGTATACAGTGCCTTAAAACCAATTCAAAAAGATTTGCTTCATATTTAAATTTTGTGTTACATTTTATACCATTTTCCTCGTTAACGATTTTGAAAATAATGTTACATAGGTGGTGGTTTCAGAACCCGGAAAATCCATACGGGATTGAGCAGTTATGAAGCGTGGTTACTACTATCATCTACAGTCTGATTTAACACTTTGACTGCCACGTCACCCATATTCGGGTGACAGCAATGTTTCTGATCGGGCCGCGTCACCCGGTGATGCTTATTTGACTATTTGCGAACGATATTCGTATGTATTTTTAATAAGATATTTCAGACAAAGTAACAAAACTATTGAATTGTTATAAAAGTAATGCAAAAATGTTTTATTGAGAAAATTATTGTGAGCCTCGTAAAAGCTTTCTCATTCACTGCTATTTGAATCACTAAGAAATAAGTTTTCCATTTTTTTTTCTTTTCAAAATTTCAACGAACTTGAGCAAAGATTTTACGTTATACTCCCCTCTTTACTCGGCAAAGATTCAAACTTGATCGGGTAAAGTGGCGATATGAGAAACAGGAACGAAGCAACGGACACAAATAAACAGACATGAAATGAAACCATGGAAACAAACGTAGCAAGATATTATTCTTGTGACTATCAGAGACTCGCATAATTGTTTTTTAACTGTCGCTGAACAGCCGACCTAATTTTATAGGTTTACGACTACATTGTTCAACTCCATCACCTTGTAATCTTGAACCCAATCCAGAAGACAAGGGAACTCCTGGATCGAGTATTGGGAGAAATTTATTTCCCTTCGTGGAGGACTTTTTGATGGAACTAACCCGTATTTGCGTTACATGGAGAGGAAGACTACGAAAACCTCCCACGGTTAGTCTGATGACATGGGGACTCTAACCCATCCAAAATCCGTCTACCACTGAGGATATTTCATGTCAGCACTGTGGTTGGTGCAAGCCGGATGCGGAATTCGTATCGACTGTGATTCGAACCCGGTTCGCCTCACGACTCGCATTATTGAAATATCGGTGGGAGTACTAAACTAAACTCAGCGGCGCGACAGCCCATAGAGGGCCAAGGCCTACTGTGCCCATCTCAGTTTTCTTGACCTTTGGGCTCTGGGGTGCAGGAGCAAATGTTCCGGTTAGGTGGTCAGCCGAACGCGAAACCCCCAGTGTTTAGTTCCCAAGCATGCTTGGTACTTATTTATCGACCCACTGAAGAGATGAAAGGCTGAATCAACCTTGCCCGGCCCGAGGAACCAGAATTTTCTTAAGGATCATTAAAAATTATCAATCCAAGATCATCATCAATATTTTATTTGTGTAACTTTAGTTCGATTTAATAGTAAACGAAAATGTTTCAATTGCTGCTAAATCAACTAAAAAAAATGAAATATTTTGTTTCGAATAAACTCACAGATTACCTGTTTCTTGGATGTGATGGGTATTCATGACATCCACTTTTTCGTCCAGTATCTCCAATTCTTTTTCCAACCTCCTGCAGATTTCCTCTTTATCTTTCAATTGCTCCAGCAGGATGACATTCTCTTCCAAAAGACTGTAATACGTTTCGGACTCCTTTCTTTTCTTCTCTGTGTCATTATCTGGATCACTTTTCTCAGCTGTATTCGCGGCTTCGTCATCAGCTGGAACCTCGTGACACCGTATCTGAATGCAGAAACAAAAATCATGTATGTGACAATTTCTCTTGATTTAGCATCGTTTTAATACAAAGTTAAAATTTGCATTTTAATCAATATCGCCGAACGGCCTGTGTAGGGGTCAGGGAATTAGCCTTGCATCAAAAAGGTTCTGGTTTCGAATCCCGGGCCAAGCTATGAATGATCTTTCATTTTCTGTACTCTCTGTCCTTGCTTTGGGAGCAACGCTGACCCACCTAATATGCTGCCCCTGAAAGAGTGGCCAACAAATCTGCCCGTCAGATTCCTGTATGAAGAAAGTTCATTCTCCAGGTGGGCATTGGAAATTTTTTTTTATAAATAAATGCTATCTGCTTTTATAGTGCTAATTACTATTTTATCTACGTATGCATGTGTATCCACGTATCTAAATATGTGTGTTTTTACACAATCTTTCCATCCATTTCTCATATATTTAACATCCTTGCAAATGCTGCATTAAATATTTTATCTTCAGCTGGATCTTCAAGATATCGTGAAGCAAAACTAAAATTTATGTACCACAATCGAATTCTACCTGACTTAGAATTGTACTGTACTAAACTAATTCACTAGTAAGTATAACCTTAAAAAATATAAATAAATAAATATTGCATACTTTTACAAGGTTGACGTCGGTTTTTTTTCACAAATACATGCTCTCTTACAACAATATTTTAATCTCTGTATTTTTTCACAAAACTTTTTACGAAGTTTTGTTCTTATTTCAGAAAGTGAAACTAGTTAACATGGTGTTTAGAAGCACTTTCACCAGCAAAATTTAAAAAAAAAACACAATTTAAGTGCCTCACACTTGAAGCAAAGCTATAATTTCAAACAATATATGCCCTCATGCCTTGAAGAATTATCTGGGCTTTTACAGCAGGCAAATAACATAAATATTTTAAAAGTTATTGAAAAACGAAAACGAATGCGAAAAGTACGAAATATACTAATTTAGGTATAAAATTTTGTATTGATATATTTGGTGATCAGCCGACCAGTCTGTGTAGGGGGCAGGGAACTGTCCTTGCATCAGAAAGGTTCAATCCCGGGCAAGGCATGGATGTTTCTCTCTCTCTATCTGTGTTCTATGTCCTTTTCTCCTTTGTGTGTGAATGTGACCCGCCCTATAAGCGGGTTGTGGTAGTGTGACGTGGGCGACGCTGTTCCACCGCCGTGGCTTCGCCACAGGTGCCCACTGGGTAACGAAAAGAGAATAAGCAGTTCTGGCACTTTCTGTGGCCAATGGACAGTAGCTCCAAGTGCCCGCCATTAAAAAAAAAAATATTTGGTGATCATTAAAACTTCTCCAATACAAAGCAGTTTTAATGCCGATACTTTGAAAGTATTTGTCTTATGTCCCCTCGAAAGGGATAATTACCGGAGAAAATTAGTTGCTCGTGGTGAATTTTTATTATCATGAGTTGGCCGCGTGCAATAGCATCATGCTAAGTCATGCTTAATACATTTTATCTTTATTCTAATGGGATGAACAACAAAAAAAGAATTTTGCTTACTTCAATAACATAAAGTCACTGAAAAGGGGCAGCAAAAAATATTAAATAAAGAAAACTGAAACTTTTTAGCAATATTAATTGAAAAACTTAGTGTAAGAACCAAGTAAGCTGCATTTTCAGAACGAAAAAAAAAGTTGTATTCGAACTATTTTATAACCAATTAGGGATAGATAGGACTAATAATTCTTATAATAGATAGGACTAATAATTCTTAGGGATAGATAGGACTAATAAGATAGGACTAATAATTCTTTGCCTTATTTTATTTATCACTGCCTAATTTTAAATAAAAATTATACAAGCCTGCTAAAAAGTGATATGAATTAGTTATGTTAAGGACGCCTGGTGGCAGAATGGTAGCGCTTCGCGCTCCCGTGCCACAAGTCCTAGGTTCGATCCTCGGACCGGACAAGGTTGACTCAGCTTTTCATCCCTTCAGTGGGTCGATAAATGAGCACCAAGCATGTTTGGGAACTAAACACTGGGGGTTTCGCGTTCGGCTGACCACTTAACCGGAACATCTGCTTCTGCACCCCAGAGTCCAAGGTCAAGAAAACTGAGATGGGCACAGTAAGCTTTGGCCCTCTGTGGGCCAAGGCCTACCATGCCCCCAGAGGTATAATCTGTTGTGGGAACATAGAGGACTTTGTGCCAGGAGAAATTTAACGTACACCAGTCACCATTTACTACACGGGCCGTTTTTGGCCGGTGAGGCCGTTCTTGGCTCCCATTCTCATGAACGTGAGTCCAGCACCCAGCCGACCAGGCTATCCCGGCCCTGTTGTTCCCTTAAAGTTGAGATGTGGTGTGAGAAGCTTTATTCCTATTCATTTAAAAGTCCTTATTCATTTTAAATATTCCATAACACAATTTGTGCAATTATAAAACATAGATATTAAAAAAAACTTACGGAATTACTTAGCGAAATGCTTGCACCATTTTTCAGAGCAACCAAAGTAGACAAGTCTGGTTCAGAATTAGCTCTGGATGAATGATTTGCCCTATCAATTTCCAATCCATCAGCCAATTTCACAGAAGGCAAAGAATTAGAGGAATTGTGAGATGGTTGTCCCATGTCGGCAATACTGGACTCAGATCTCGACAGCACTCTTTGCAAATGGCCATTCTTTTGTGTCATTGATGGCTGCGCCACCAAATGGCTAGAGTCCAACAATGCGATTGTCGATAGTTCTGGCCCTAGTCCTCGTTTGGTTTCCCATTCATATAATTTCTTTGTAAAAGCATCTGATATACCCTCGAATCTGAATTCCCCAGCTGCGGTTTTGACAAGGACTTCTCTCTTATTCGAATTGTTTGCTGTGAGTACCGTTTCTCTCAGTTTTTCCAGTCTCAGGGCCCTCTCTTCGTATTTCTGCCTTTCTTTAGACAGTCTCTGTTTTTCCTTTTCGATTTTCTGCAGCTCTTTCTCCAGCCACGCAAGATCTTTGATTTTCGGTTTAATGTTTTTGCTGTCGTCCCGTTCGGATTTCTTGCGGTTTCTCGCGGCGTCTGAGGACTGTTTGTGATCGAATTGGGGTGAGCAGGACAAGGCCCCGACGCTCCGCATTCTTTCCCATTCCTGAATTTTCTTGTGGAAATCTTCGCTGAGGTTCTGCTGAAGCTGAAGCATAAGATCTGAAGATGGAGATACAGGGGATAGTTGATGCACGTAACCTTCGCTGCCAACTCTATTCATTTCCGGTCTATCGTGGTCAGCATCGTTAGTCATTTCTGTAAAATAATAAAATATTGCTCAGAATCAAAGGTATATATATATAAAGGCTACAAAAGCTGCTAGGCAGGTTTCAAATATTTACCATTCATTCTAGTATAGATAACACTTATTATAGAATGAATGGGTAACTGAATTTAAACAATGGCAAGCTTCCTAAAAATTTAAAAATCTTACGCTGTATCCCCAACCCATCTAATGTTACTTTTACGAAGCTTGTTATTTTTGCAACTTGTGTTTCAATTTACGCATCATTTTACCATTCATAAAAGTTTTTTGCAATTTATAAATTCTAAGAGGTAGTAAGCCTTAAATAAATTTAGGAAAACTAATATCACAACTTAAATAAAGCGTATGGTTTTACATGTTCTGAGTATTATCCCCTATTTGGCTATATTTGCGTAAAATATCGCAATTTGGTAGCATCATAGCATGCTCGTGGAGTTGTCCATATTCGTTTTCTGATAAAATTCGACGAATTAAGCCTAAGTTAAAATGATACAACACGTTATATAGTAAACATTGCAAGTGTATTAATATTTGCTAAAGTGCTTTTTCGTAAATAGGCATAAAAATAAATCGTAAGTAGTAACTGGACATTTTAAGAAGAAAACAAGGTTACTTTCCATACAATTCTATTCTTACAAGGTTAACTATCCATACAATTTAGCCTATCAAAGCTAGGCGTGCTCTTTTGTTTAAGCTTGAAGGTCTTTAGGCCTTCAAGAGGCGAGCTTGGCTAAGCGTGCTCTTTTGTCTAACCGGGTCTTGGAGGCCACACCTCTCCCTCCCCCCACTTTTCTTGTCTCCTCACGACCTAGAATAGGAAAGCAGAAGCAATGCATACATTATATGAGTTACTCAGTTCATTATATGAGTTGAGTATAGTCATTTCTTGCTGCCAACTTTAAATCATTATCCGTTAATTGCTAGGTCATTTCTGAAAATATACAATAAAATTCATTATTTTCCGAGCTTCATAGTTTTTGATATAAACTTGAATTGTTACCACAAAAGTGTTCAAAAGACTATTTAACTTTAAAAATATGCATATATAGTATATACTATTTTAGAGAATAAAAAATAGTTTTAATTAATCTATAAAATAAAAGGTTCCATACCGTCAATTTCGTCAAATGTGAAATTCCCATCATGTTGGCTATCTGGACTTGCAGGCGTAGACAGCGACATGAGGTCTCTATCATCATCCTTTTTTCCCTTCAGAGCTTTTTTCATTTTAGTCCATGTTGATTTCCTGTGGAATGTTGGCGAAGAACTTGGCGTTCTTGGACAAACGTAGTCTACTTCTTGGTCAAAAATAATGGGACCAGGCTTATTCCTTTTTTTCTTAATAGCATCTTCTGTCACACTTTGTCTAATGGAGGATTCTACAAACTCATTGTAGTTCTTTAAATCTATTGCTTCCGAAAAAGACAGAGGTCCTTTATTCGATGATGGTTCAAAGTCTGCCAGTGAATAATCTCGTCGTAGTGACCGTCTTTTGAGGCTATCTCGACGTTTTTCTATGATGGTTTTGACTCGTCCCCAAGGACCTTTTCCCCTCTTCCCATCATCCTTGTCGAATTTGGATAGGTCTTGAGAACGATAACTGTCTCTTTCAATCGTGGCACACTTGATTTTCATTTCTAAATTAAATTAATCGATATTACATGAGTAGAAAATGTGTATTCAAAACATCTGTATGTGTCAGACATGAAGCAAAGCATTTTTTCTGTAAACAGGAAAGTAGAATTTCGCAAACAAACTTATTTCGGAGCTTTTATGGTTTTATAGGAACTTAAATTTAAAATGTCTCATATAAACCCATCATGTTGGTCCTAAATCAGGAAAAAGTTAGTGGCATAATAATTTTGTAATTAGTTTCTCTCTGAATGGAGATAATTTTACTGTCCATCACTACCAATTCCAATAAATATGCTCTAAGAATAAAAACTTATTTGATTTGATACAATAAAAATAAATAGGAACCTTAAACAAAACTATTCCATTAACTGAAATTGAATTTTTTAAAACTTTTTTACACATTTTGGTCCCTTGAACTATTATCGTAAAATAAATGAAAATGTTAATGACTCTTCACAAACTGGGCAGCAGGTTGTCACAATGACAAAATTGATGTTATAAGCATTTTTAAATTTAAAAATATTCTATTTGAAGGTATATTTAGCAATCTTTTAAAGAAATAAGCATATAAGATTTCATTTATTTATTGATTAATAATTAAACATACTTTAAGAGCGTTTTTAGAACTTTTCAAAAATGAAGTAACTTTGACTGCAACATAGAATTTGATAACTCGTCTCTGACTTGTACTCTGTTAAGATTTTCACTGGCCTCAGGAAGTATTATGAAGTAAATGTCAATTTCAAAATATGTAATTTTTTATGTACAATTAGAGAATAGAATTTATTTAAAATTACATTTCATATTATAACATTAGAGTTGAAGAATTAAATTTCAAAAAATATTTTTGCACCAAACATTAAAATCGTACAAAACCATAACGCACTTTTGCACTATGCATCTTATAAGATTCTTAAGTGAATATTTATGATCTAGGAAACTCTTATAAAGTATGCACTCATTTCATTTGGATGTTTTTTAATTAAATTTGCAACTTAACTACATTAATCTGTTTCTGAAATTTATGAATTAAAACATATTTTATTAATAATACATTTATTAAGTACATATTTTTCAAACTTTTTCTGCTGCCCCAATATAAGAAACATGAGTTAAAAACCGTTAAACTTCTTTAGATTAAGTTTGTGATAAGTTATAATTTTAATAGTTATATAATTTATTCCAATAATATTTTTGTTCTCGTGATAATAAGTACTCGGCTAAATAAGTTTCATAACATCGCAATTTTTTTCCTTTCGCTTCTAAAGTCATAACATATTACTTTTTAATTCATTGGAATAGAAATCATGTAAATTTCCCCGCTTCAAGCAAATAGTTCATTTATTAATTTTGGATTTTTCAATACTATTCTGCGTTTTTTTTTCTCCAATAATTTGACTAAACAAGAGCTTAAAAACGTTTAAATGTGATAACTCAATTTGTGATAAATTATGACTTACATATTTGTCATATTCATTCGAATACCATTTTTGTACCCATAATTTTAAATACTTTTCCATACTAAGTACTTTTTATAAGAACTAAAAAAAAATTTTCCGCTTATGACTTCCAAGACCTAATTTTTAACTAATTAGAGTCGATGTCAAGTACATTTTTCTGTCTCCGGAAAATTTTCTTCCACTCCAGCAACACATCACTACCTTTAATGAAGACATGATATGAAAGAAAAGTTATTTAAAATTCTGGGGTTTCACGTACCTGCGTTAGAATGACTTTTATCACTTCCAGGACTAGGCGTAGATTTTTGTCTTCTCAGTCCATCTGATGGGATGTCGAGGGTGATATATTTGTCTGACGCTACGGATGCTCTTTTCCATCTGTCTATGGAAAATAGCAAATTTAAATTAACAATTCGCTTGCATTCTATTGGGTTGTTCAGAAAGCAATTTCGCATCTTCTTAACAGAGGACTTAATTATATTGTTTCACTACAAACTTCATACTTAAGATGCGTAATCGTTACATATTTTGAAAGGCTTATTTGCGAAAAAATTCGATTGATTCTGCGCAGTAGTTTTGGTTGATGCCTTTTCAAATATCGAAATTGAGAGTTTTTGGGTTTATTTTACTTTTTACTTTTGAAAAGATAAAAATTCTGTTCAAGCAAGAAAAAAAATTATCCGATGCGTATGGAGAAGATGTATAAACAGTACACCAAAGCCAAAATTAGTTTGCAACATTTCGATCCGGCAAGATTGCAATTGAGATGCACAAATGTGTAACGCTCCCGTTTAAGCTGATGAAGACAGCATAAAGATATTAATTAATGCAAATCGGCGAATAACAACTCGCGAAATCCCTGAAACATTAGATTTACCGAATTTGACAGTTAACAATAATTTGAAAAGCTTAAGGTTTAATCTCAAAGTTCGACATATGGGTTCCGAATGTTTCTACGAAAAGAAAATTGTGCCGTCGCGTCGACACCTGTGATTTGCTTCTCAAATGACAAGAGACCTATGTATTTTTTGAAGCGCATCATCACAGGGGAAACAAAATGGGTTGTCTGTAACGCTGTTCTGGTCTCTTTTTTTTGACCGAAAGAACTTTACTTAAAATAAAGAGGGAAAATATCATCTGGATCAGTTTCAATAACGAGAATTTTAAGCACGTGGAATGAACTACTGCCAGAAAGATGACAAAAGGCATTTGTCCAGAAGGGACAGTATAAGATTCAATAAAATATTTCTTCACTATAAGAAAATGACCAGGGGATAAATCCAATGAAGTGAACCGGGTTCGAATCCCTGTGATGACTGGTTGATGCGAGTTTCGCATCCGGCTTGCACCGACCACAGTGCTGACATGAAATCCCCTCAGTGGTAGACGAAACATGGGTTGGACCCCCTTGCCGTCAGGCTAACCGTGAGAGGTTTTCCTCACCGTGTAACGTAAATGCGGGTTAGTTCCTTTAAAAAGTTTTAAGAGACAGCAAATTTCTTTCGATACCTGATCAAGGAGTTTTCTTGACTTCTGTGTTGGGTTCAAAATTACAAGGCTACGGATATGAACATAGTAGTCGTAAACCCAAAATTCGCTATTCCACGACGGCAATAAAATAAAATGTAAGAAAATGGTCTTTAATTTTCATTAAAAAAATAATTATTTACCGAACAACCCAATAATTAATAATTTATAACACGATATAAAAGTTTTATGGGGTTAATCGATTTCTTACTGTCATCAAAATCATCATGAATATCTTCTAGTGAGGAATGTATTGATGCAATGTCGTGGTACCATGTTGGACTACCAGGATGGCGAAGAATTTGCCTTGCCTCGTCAGAGCGTCTTCTTGGCGCTTGAAGAAGATGGCGATCTTCTTTAGTCTTCCCTGAATCTTTTCTTTCACTGTAAATAAGCATTGAAAAAATGCCATGCAAGATGTGAAATAGAAATTAATTTCTGCCATCCATTTAAATAATAGTTTTATTACTGTCATGTGATGTTCCACGCATGAATTTAAAAATAGTTCAACACGGGATTTTAAAATTGGTTCAAGTATAGGAAAGATGTTTAACACAAGATTTTAAAGTTGGTTCAAGTACAGGAAAGATGGGTAACACAAGATTTTAAAATTGGTTCAAGTACAAGAAAGATGGGTAACACAAGATTTTAAAGTTGGTTCAAGTACAGGAAAGATGGGTAACACAAGATTTTAAAGTTGGTTCAAACTTTTAACACAATATGATTGTACGGATGATTTGTCAATTTTGAGGATTTTTTTAAACTGAAATGGTTTTAAAATAAAATTGATCTTTGCTGATGATTAACATTGATTCGAAATTGCACATATTTTAGTAGTCAACATCAAGATGTTAAAGTAATCATTAACCTAAAAAAAAGTATATTAACAGGTAAATACCGGATAATTTCACATAAGGGAGAATGGAGTAAGACCGGGTTGTAGGGCGAGACCGGATACCTCAATTGTGTCAAAGTTACATCTGTTTTCTTGCGACAAGATCTGAATTACACTTTATTAGTCAAGAAGAAGGAGCTTATCATATTGGTGCGTCGTTGTTGACAAATTCCTGACGCTTGGTAGAGAAGTTTGTTTTACTACGTTTTTGTTTATTAACTATCCTTATTTATTGGTCATTACAGTTATAAAAATTAATTTTTGTCCAGCTTATAATATGTTTACTAACGATTCATGCACAAACAAACAATAAGATTTTAGTCTAAAAATTGCTCCGTCCTGTTTAGTTTAGATAACCTCTGCTCCCGGGGAAAATCCGAGAACAACAAGCTCTCCCTCCTCTCTTGATGTTTGTCTATGCTGAGCCAACAAAAGCTGCAGTGCAGCGTGGGGGGGGGGGGGGNGGGGGGGGGGGGAGATAACTACTTCACTAGCATAATATTCCTAAATTTTATATTCAATAAAAACTTCTGTTTTTTCTCTAAAATTCTAGTATTACGAAGTTTGCCATAAACTTAATATGTGTACCCATTCTTACCCCATTAGTAAGATAAAACCATTAATGACGGGTGATTAGATTTTTTTCTAGAATAAAATCATTCATAAAAATATGGTGTTTATTAACATTGACGGGTTTTCGAAAAAATAACGGCAATTTTATATTTTAATGTAGGACAAAAAGATTTTTTTTTCAAATAAACTAAAGAGCATTTAAGGAACTTTAATATACATAACATGTTTGGATTCATTTCCCCAAAATATTCGATGAAGTTTTGTCCAACGTTAAGATTTTTAGTCATGATTCTCATTGTTTATTTGAAAGTTCAAATTCGAACAATTAATAATAATTGCAATTTCATAGATTTCGGTTACGTGTTAAAACACTGAATAAGAACGTCTCTTTCAAATGGCAGAACTTCTCAGTTTACAGATAAACGAAACTTATTAAAATAAATACCTCTCCCATCCAAAGGCTTCTTTCACTTTGGACCACTTTGGAAAGATTCTTTTTGATTTAGTATCTTCTCCTAAATCTTCATGTCCAACGGATTTACTCCGTTCTCTTCTCACACCTACTACGGGGTTCTGATGTCTACTTCGACGACTTAAATACTTAGATGGACTTCGGTGTGAAAATGCGGTTTCTTCCTTCTTGCCAACATGGGTTTCAGTGGCGCTTTTCTGCAACTCGTAAGGGCCGGATTTGGATGGTTTAACGAAATCTGAACACGTTTGTCCACTTTCTGTAATCTAAAATATTAATAGTAATTTATTAAAATATAGTAAAACGCTTTCAACATTTCAAATATTTTAGAATACATTATGAGTTTTACAGAACGGAGTTGAATATATTCATTTTTAGAGAATTACGAAAAATATGTTTTTTTATGTTTTGAAATCAGTTACAGACGAAACTTCAGGGTGCTCTAGTCGATCAAAAATTCTACTTTAAAAACCCTTATTTTCGATCTGAAATTCGTAAAAGTAATTAAGATTCGAATTTTCGTAAAAGTGATTGAGAAGTTCAATTATTTTGGTCACATTTTAAAAATTATAATACCAAAGGAAAAAAAAATTTCAAACCAAATCATGTATCCTATTTTTAATTCTATCCCATTCGTTTCGAATGCTGTAACTCTTCTTAAAGTTTAATTTCAGTTCAACATATTATTTAAAACACTCTCATGTTCCAAACATTACACAAAAGTTAATTTTCGAAATGGCAAAATCAATTTTAAGGAAAGTACAAGAACACTTAATATTGTACGACGTGCGTGATGATCTGAGCTAAGAGTATGATTACAAAATGTAGAACGAGAGCAATGTACCTATTCTGAACTAGGTAGATATTATGGTATGCTACGTAGATATTACTGTCTACTGTGTAGATATTGTGGTATGCTATGTGTAGTGTGTCTACCACTACAAAACTCCGATTCCAATTCACTAGTATATAAGACGTGTTAACTCGATTTTATGTTAGGGTACCTTAACATGGGGTAGGTTGACATGGTCGATATCCACTCGCCCCCCAGATTGGTGACCATCGGACCTGAGGTGAACACGCCTACCTCGACAAAAACTCCCTCTTCGATTTGAACACGTCAACTTCGATGGACTGTCCACTTTGGACAGTTAACTTGCTACTCGTGACTGTGACATTATCCACCTCCTCGCATTGTCTCGATCACACACAATGTCGGCATGCATACATTCGACTGCTAATGGCAACACAAGAGCATTCACGACCCGAAACTTAATACAGCTGTCAAAAGTATGGTGATCTTAATACAGTTCTCCCAACTTCTCACAAAGCAGCAAAGAATCAACTAGTGACATATTTAATTTTATATTTTTTAACCGTCGCTAAATAACCGACCCTGTAATTTTGAACCCAATCCAGAAGGCAAGGGAACTCCTGGATCAAGTATTGGGAGAAATTTGCCATCTTGGAGGACTTTTGATGGAACTAACCTGCATTGCGTTACATGGAGAGGAAAACCATGGAAACCTCCCATGGTTAGCTTGACGGCAAGGGGACTCTAACTCATGATCCGTCTACCACTGAGGATATTTTACGTCAGCACAGAGGTCGGTGCTAACCGGATGCGAAATTCGTATCGACCAGCCATTGCTGGGATTCGAACCCGGTTCTACTCATTGGAAGGCGAACACTTTATCCCCTGAGCCATCACGGCTCGTGGTATACTATGCGTATAATATAGAATATTAGGTAGAAGTTGTAGTTCCCTTCAAATTTTAACTTTGACATTTTAAACATGTGCCATTTTCAATGAATAATCTCAAGAAACTGAAGCGGAAAGGCATGCTTAATACTATATTAGCTTAGAAAAAAAACGTGAAGATGGTAATAAAAGTTGACAGGTTTCGAGTGTTCAAAAATATGCGATTAAAAATGCATTTTCCCCCATTTCGCGTTTCTCGGCTACTTCAGTTTTTCTAGTTAGTTTTCACCGTCATTTATTTTTCATTTTCTCCCTCAGCTAACGCGATTTTGCTTTGATTTTTTATTTCTTTTAACCTTTATTTTCCATTTTTTGTAGGCAACTTCACGTTTTCCATCTCTTTGTCTTCATCGTTCAAATCTGGCTAGTCTTGAAAAAATACGCCCATTTTTGAGCACTCAAAACGCACCAATTTTTTCACCATCTCCATATTTTTTGAAGCGAATGAAGTTTCTATATCATCTAGTTAATGGCATAAGTTTAGCCTGAGATGTTCTTGAACTTAACTTCGTTCGAACTTACCTCTTTATGCATGTCGTGTAATGACTTCAGGTCTTCCAGGTATTGTACCCTCCTATGTAGCTTATAGTTAGTATCTCGGAGTTCACTGAGCTGTTCCATGAGCTTGCACAAGTTATCCAAATGATCTAGACCCACTTTTGTAGTCGTACCGCAAGCTGTCGGACTTTTGCTTTTAGTCGACATCGAATCAATCGACCTGTGATGCTCCCACGACTCTTTAGTGGGAAAGGACATAACGTATTCAATGAATGCTTTTTCCGACTTCAAAGCCTCGTCCATGGAAGCCCTGTAAGTATAATAATGCATTGCGACTAGGTACATTGTCTTAGAAAGCATTCACAAATTTACTTAAATAAATTTAGCATGGATTTAAAAACGATGAAAAATTTCTCAAGTCGAAATTATAAACACATTTTCAAAACTGAAGTCCAGGATTTTCAAACTTAATGAAAGTATATAAGAGTTTTTAAAAGCCATGTCTTTATTTGATCTAAAAAAGAGAAAAGAATTCAATTTTCGTGTTGCTTGAAAAAAAAGCTGAAAACAGTTCAAATGTGCAATTTTTTTCAAAAGCGTTATGCTCATCACTTTTTAAGAAACCATTGAATTACCATAAGTTATATGTTGGTAAGTTATATGCGTTCTGCTTTTTTTTGCCGTATGTTTAAAAAGTAAAGAATTAGCATTCTCCTTTTCAGCTTTTTGCAAAAACACTAAGATATTATTTCATAATTTTCTTCATAATACACAATAATTGAATGCACAAAATGTTTTTTTCAATGATTATTGATTATATCTTATTATTTTATTTAATAATCGTTAAAATAAATTTAAATTGTAAGTTATACAAATTTTTATCATTTTAAAGAATGTAATTTATATATAAAATGTAAAATATGAGAGAAATCGGTCGAATAGTTCCTGAGAAATCAAATTTTAAGCACACAACTTTTTAAAAATTTGATAACTTAAAATTTGTTAGACAGACTTATAATTCAAATTTTATATTTTACAGTATAAAATTGCATTTTTTAAAATGAAGTAAAAATTTGTATTCCTAACTATACAAAATTATTTCAAATATTATTAATAAAATAATATTTACCTACAATTATTTAAAAAATATTTTTTTAGATTAATAATAGAAACGAAACATTTCTTACATTGCATTATAAATATATTTTGGAATTATACTTAGATCACTGAATTTTATAATTGGGTACAAAAATTTCTCCTGACATAGCGAAATGTGCAAAAAGTCGAATTAACATTAAGGTGTTCAAACTTTCAACTGCTCTCCAGGCCAAACTATTTCATAAATCTACCCTCCCCACTTACCGCGGAACCAGGGGGAAAGAGAGGGCCTCAGCCCCCTTACATTTCATAAATGAAGGGACACAGTGCTTCTAATTCTGTATTCCGCTTCTAATTTGTATCAATATATTAGAAAGCACTCCTTTTTGAGGATGAAAAGATTATACCTTTTATTTTCCGGATTTTTATTAATTATTTTCCTATTTCTTCTGATTTTTTTTCCTTTTTCTTATTATTTTTATTTTTATTATTATTTTTCTTTTTCCCCCTTTTTTTCAATCTTCTGTAATTTTTTCCACGTTTTCTCTTCATTTTGAACTTATTTTATGAGTTCAGCTTATGCGCAATAAATAAAACTTATTGTATTTCTTTGTTTTCTTCGTGTTTTTTTTTCTTTTTGTCCTTTTTGTATATATGAAGAGAGAGAGAGCCCCCCACTCTTGAGACATTTCCGTGGTCACTGATTTCCCCCTTATAATTTGAGGATCAGATATCTAAATACGTCGAAAAAAAGATATGTTTATTCATATAAAATACGTTTTCGTGTCCGTTTTCTTAACTTTAATTATCATTTGCACTTATTAATTAGCATATTTGAAGGCGCCACTTTAAATCATTATGATTGAGACTAAGAAAATCAGATCACTAAAATCAAACGTTATTTTTTTTATATTCGTCGTTGAACATCCGACCCAATTTTGGGTTTACGACTACTAATGTTCAACCTCGCAGCCTTGTAATTTTGAACCAATCCAGAAGACAAGGGAACTCCTGGATCAGTACCCCCAGAAGTATTGTTTTGTTATTGGAAAAAGGAGGACTTTGCGACTCGACAGGTTTAACGTGCATCAGTCACCATTCACTACACGGGGAGTCTTCGGCTGGTGGGGATCGAACCCACGAGCTCTTGGACATGGGCCCAGTGCCCTACCAACCAGGTTATCCCGCCCAATCAAACGTTATTGAGAAAATTCCATTTTTTTTTCACACTGACCCTCATTTTCAGGTTTGTAATCGCTTTATAGTCTATCTATGGACTCGCCATTTGTCAGGATAAATGATTGTGACTATGGTTACGAGGCTTAAGTATTTCAAGTTGGGTTGTTAGGTAAATATCTTTGATAGGTTTCGGACCGGGTCAGTAAGACAAAAAAAATCAGGACAGAGAGTAAATCTCCTCTTTGCTATCTCTTTGCTAAAATGTACTATCTCTTGTTTCCCTAGTGACAGAGAATCTTAAACTTTGTGGCGAGGGGAGTTCTTTCTATAGACGAATTATACTGAATCGCGCACTGTTTACCAACACAACTGTTTTTTTTGGCGTAGGCTAAATTACAGCTATTTTATTAGAGGATGATTACCTATCAGCATAGTCTTCCTTAGGTGAATCGGTGACTATTTCAGGTGTTCGCGGTAATTCATTGTGAATTTCATTGTGATCTATAAACACAGATAGAGAGCTGGTAGAAGATGAATCCAGTGGATCTTGGGATTGTGTGCGACTGACTCCTTGCTCCATTTCATCAGATTTACTCTTAGTTTCTGAATTGGCTTCCATAAGTTTCAAGTAGGTAAACAAAATACAGCTCTTCTAGATACTTTGCATTGTTACTGTCTTTTCTGTTTCCTGGTTTAAAAAAAATTAACAACCATTTGTTTATTAAATCGTCAAATAAATATAGTTTGTTCATCAGGAGTTGGCACTTGGCTCCACCTCCTCCGACGAAGAGTTCATTTCAGCGCGGGAGTACGAGGAGAAACGTCGCCGCGTTTGAAATTGAGGCAACCCTTAATGCACGCCAAACGCAAACAGTGAATTATTTTTATAGTCACTTACTTTGTTTTAACATCTGCTATTACACCTTTCGTTACTTTAGCTCGTTAAGTATATTGTAGCAAAATGTCTCAAAAATGACTAACTATTCAAACTCAAAAAATAAATATACATTAAATTTATGAAATACTGAATGTAACATAAAGATTGCGAAATAAATATTTTTGTCATACGATCGCCAAATAGCAACCCTGTTCAGGATTGTTCACATCCTTCTCCCAAAAGTAGCGAAATAGTATCGTCGGATACCACGTGATGAAGGCGGAGCCAAGTGCCAATTCCAGGTGAACGAACTATATATAACGTACTTTCTAAATTGGTAATAATAAATAAACAAAAAATACAAACACTTAAATTAAAAGCTTAAAAATTGAAATAAAATTGTATACAGTATGTATTTAAATATACTTTCATAACTTTCGTATCATCAACCCGATTCAGTATTATTTAAACAACTCATTAAATATTTAAGACATTAGACTGTTTTTTTTTTAAAGTAGACTCTGTCATTGCATGAAACAATTTTTTTTACCAAAGAATATGCTCTTTTTATTACTGATGTGAGTTTGCAACAATTACTGTTAAATTTTGCCAGTTTTTAGTTAGCGCCCACTATACCAATATATATTGTAGTCATAATTCTTGTAAAATTAAAAAGCATTTATGATTTAATTTTTTAATATATAGTTGAAAAGTTATTCTTACGCAGTCTAGTGTTTGCTCATAAAAATGTGCGAAAATTGAGAATTATTCATTTATTTTCATGATTTTCATCTAGGTGAAGACATCTCATCAAATTAATGATTTTTAAAAAAGCTTATAATTTAAAAAATAATAATATTTTAGCTATTTTTTTGTTCTAGAGGACGGATAATTCTTTAAGGTAAGATCTCAATTTTAAAATTATGAAGTTTTAACTAATTAGAATAGTTTAGTAAAAAAAATTATAAATAATATAAATAAAAAGAAAAGTAATTTATAATTTTATAAAATTATATTAAATTGCAATAAATTATTTTAAACCTTATGTATGTGTAGTTTAAAATTTGTTTTGTACTTAAAACACCCAAATAATGTGTGTAGAAAAAAACTTAAAGAGTTTGACGACAAATATTCGGAATTATAAACTATGTCTGATGCGGAATTGGACATTAACTATTTGTTAAGTTACGGTACTTCTGGAAAGTTATCAAAAGACATTAAGGGTAAATCGAAAATAATTTTTTAAATAAAAAATTTCTTTTATTAGTTGATGACACGAAAAAATAAATAAATTGATTCAGAAACTTTTCGACAAATCATACGAAAAGTAAAATATTCAATACCTTTCGTGTTAATGTTCAATTAGTTGTTATAAAAATACATTTAATATATGAATTAAAACATGTTAATGAATGGTGCTTTGTTGCATTTTTTTTAGAAATTGAAACTCTTAAAATAGTACTTAAAGCGTGTTTATGTCTGTGGTTCATTCTATAAATATAAATCTTGAATTACATAAATTATTACATATTTCGCCAAACTAATTAAACATTTTTAAAACCAGTTACGAGGCTAACAAAGGCACTTTGTTTTACTGAGTTAATTGGTCCTTAATTCTTCACATATCTCAAGCAAGACCGTTTATTCATAAAAAAACTTTTTCAATTAGAACTGAAATATTTCATTTGATTCATTAGTTTTCTGTTTACGACGCGAGTAAAATATCAGTATCAAATATGTTAAGAAAAAATAGGACACAACTAAATATCTTAGCAGATGAAAAGTCCCTTAATGATTAGCGGGCAAAGAAATTCCAGGTCTAAATTTAGTAGTGTGTTGGGCCACTACATCAAGCTACCTCGCTGCAACTTATTATGGAAGTAAGATGAACAATATTATCCCCATGATAACACATACTATGATTTTACATAAAATGGAATATGATTTAACATCTTATTAAACTTATATTAAATTTAAACCGTATTATGGAACCGTATAACGCAAAGTATGATATTATGGATTAATTTTTGATATCTTTTGCATTATTGTTTTGTTCTTTTTTCAACTTTCTCAGAGAAGATTTATTAGAACAAACAAAAATATTATGCATAATTTTTTTGTTTTTTGTTTAATTGTTCTCGCTCCCGTGAAAATGACGGGGGGAGGTTTCGCCCTCTATTTCTCGCTCCCGTGATACTGACGGGCTGGAGTGTTCAGTAGTAACGCAAAAATAAGAATAAAACCAATTCATTTCCTTTGCCCGAAAAACATTTTATTTCTTATTTTACACACCAGATGGTAGTACCAGAATATTTTAGATAGTTAGTTTATTTTAAACTAGTTGCGGCACTAATCAAATACGTAATACAAATACAAAAGCCAAAAAAATAGGCACTTTTATGACCGTTTTCTTGAAAATTAACCGATCGTTAAGGGGTTAAGACACATACGAAATGTGAGCATCAAATTTGTATAGTAAATACAGTCAGTGGGCAACATTTCGAACAACTCAAGTAATACTTATCAAGTAATTTTTTTTTAGTTTCTCTTGTAGTTGCTTCTCAGCGTGGAGTCGATGAGCCACGATATAAGAACCAAGACTCAGTAATAGAGCCCTCGCCTCCCAGTGAGGTGACTCAGGCTCGAATCCCATCGGTGGCTTGTAATACGAATTCTGCTCGCAACAGCACAATGCTGACGTAAAACATATCCTCAGTGGTATACAAATCATAGGTAAAAATTACCTAGCTGTAGAGCTAATCTTGGAAGGTATTCGCGTTTTTTCTCTTCTTCTAGGGCAAATGTGGGTTAGTTCCATCAAAAAAACCTCCACGAAGGTTAGTTTGTCCTAACACTTTAGCCTGGATTATCCTTATCTTCTGGATTGGGTTAGATTAGGGTAAATTACAAGGCTACGGAGGTGAAAATTTAATATTCGTATACCAAAAAAATGGATCATCTGTTTATAAAATAAGAATGATAGTTGCTTTATATCACCCCTTTGAACATATCGGTCATAAATTGGAAGTATGTTTGAGAGATACGAATGCCAAATATCATATCAGATAAAAAGATTCCTAATGACTTTTTAGACTCTCTTATAAAATTTGGAGCGTGTTGCATCACACTTATGGTTTTCATATATTCAATTAATTATTCTTATTCACTGTAATCATATTGATTAACCAATGTAGTTTATTATAATATTATAAATTATATTAATAATATTAACATATTAATTATAAATAATTATAATTGGTTATTATGAAATATATAGTTATTATGAATTCTTATAATTAATCATAATTATTTACGATAATTCATTTTAATTCATCATTATATATATGATTAATTATTATATTGTGATTAGTAATTAGAATTTTTTATTAGAGATAGTTAATATATTTTTGTGATTATTTAGAATTTATTATTGTGATTATTATGATTTATTAGTAGAATTATTATAAATATTATAATTAATTATTGTAATTAATTATCATAATTAGTTATTATAATTAATTAATATAATTAATTATTATAATTAATTATTATAATTAATTATAATTAATTATTATAATTAATTATTATAAATGACTATTAGAATTATATAAGGTCAGAAATAAACTTTAAATACTTCTGGACGGTAAAGGGTTAAGTATTGCTTAAATTTGAGCTGCATTTCGGGTTTTGTCTGAGAGTATAAAATTAATAGGAATTACTTAAAAAGCGTATGTAAGAAAAACATCAAAAACTTCTGGTAGAATCTGGTGGTTCTTATTTTTTTAAATTTCATTCAAAAACGGTTAAGCGAATTTTGACAAATCGTATCAAATTAAGGGTTCTAACAAATACCGTAGTTAAAAAAGAAATCGAATTCAAAGGTAATAAAAAAACTTCAGTAACCATAACGAAGAGCAAGTAACGAGCAAAAATGCGAAGTATGAAATTGTATTCTGAAAGTTTTGTTTAATGAGTTAAACGAAATTTCTGTAGCAGTTTAAGTTCATATTGGTTATTTTTTATCAGTTAATAATTATCAGATATTCCTTCAGAAATAACTATTGCCTGTGACATTGTTTAAGATTCTCAGATATTGCAGTATAGGTTTTGATAAGTTCTTATTCTTAGTGGATCAAATCACCTTCACGTAAATAAGTTAGACACAATTTTTAAATTCTTACACAAACCATTAAAGAGGATGTTTCTATTTTAAATAATAAGCAACAATATAAGCGGATGACAAACATTATAAGATAGCAAATGATATAAATTTGAAAATTTCATTGGTATGAAAAAGTAGAAAATATTCTTGTCAGGGTCAAACCTCCGACGTTTTATCCATAACATTTCAAGCCAGCTTTAAAGCAAAAAAAGTTATGTCCGGTGTGGACAATGGGATCAAGGAGGTCGAGTGACCATAGTTTTGTGACCAACCATGATAGCGACAATGTGATCAGCATCATGCACCGATCAACTTTTACTTACTAGACAATCCGCCAACAGGAATAGGACGCTAGGTATTGTCAGTAACAGCTCAGCGCCTTAAGAAATTTATACTATGCTAGAAACTTTTCATCGCAAATTATTTTTACCTCCATTAGTAATTTAAAATTTAAAAATATAAAGTGATTTCAAACAAACCTAGTGTCAAAAACTGAAAAAACCTCAAGTACAGGAAATTCTTTTTTCAAAGATATTAAAATGAAAACTCAGTGTTACTCAATTGGAAAGTTTTCTTCCAATAATTTGTTTGCTCTTTGATATTTTTTTTTCAGCAATTCTAACTTCTTGGCTAACTCAAGGTTTACATG